ATTTGATCATTCAGTAACGTAGCTATCGATGCAAAACGTGTATTTGGACAATGCAACTCTCTGTGTGGTAAATCCACTGAAACAATGAGCTTACTAAGTTGAATGAATATTACATAATCCAAGTGGAGCCCTGCTTTTGATAATAAGCATTCGCGAACAATATATATAACCGAGCTTTTGGGTCAATCTCTACAACACGAAAACCATTCGCTTTTTTTTTTTTTTTTCCCATAACTATATATGAAAAAACATATAAATTCTTTCTTTCTCATAAAAATTTTTCTTGCTTTCTTTATAATAGTAATGAATGTCGAGCGATTATCGATTTTTAAATTCTCGAGCATCTCGTTAAAAATAGCAATTAAAACAATTGAATTTTATAGTTTCATCTCATTGCCATCATATGAAAGGAGAGGAAAAGACAAAATGAAATATCTGCTTGACATTCATATCACTATTTTTAAAATATTGCACCAATTTTTTTTTTTGTATGTTTTACTAAAAAAAAATCAAGAAACAAAATTTATTTGATTCAAATAATCGATCAAATATATTTACCTGAACCAAATAATTTTTATTCGAATTGAACAAATTGTATTTGTACCAATAATTTCTGTATTTGAAACAAATATGTAGAATAATAATTATTTGATAAAAATAAATATTTATTGGATAATTGACACGTAAGTAATTGTTTCAAATAAATTTTTTTTTTCAATATATGATTTATAGTGTTTAGATAAGTGTAATTAATTAAATATTGTAATACTCAATGTACAGAATACGTTTAATCGATTATTTTCATTATCATACATAGTTATCGTTCATGAATTATCAACACAACAACGCAGCGTGGCGAGTTAATTCCAATTATGGTATTTAACGGAGTTAATCGATTTGCCTTTAATGTACCAAAAGCGTCTCCAAGCGATTTCGGTAAACAAGGATTTAATAATTCAAACACGACCGATCACACATAACTTCACAACCATCTGCTATTGGCTTCTGCCTGCCAAATTCCAACCCTAAACAGACATCCTGTCCAACCACTAAACGCAACCCTCAACTGCCTCTTGATTCACGAACCTCTATAAATTTCTTCTATACTACTTTTTTCTCCTTTCTTTTTTTTTTCTTTTTTTCTCCTTTTTACAACCCTCTACATATCCATTTCCCTCTTTTTATCATTTTTATAGCAATTATTTCATACTTTTTATTCACAAAATGTGAAATATTTTTCTTAACAAATTTTTGGCAATTTAGAATAGAGTTTTAAAACAAAAGTTATACTATATCCTGTTTGATAGAAAAAATTTTATTTCATTATTAAATAATAATTAAATAACAAAAAAAAAAATTTACTTTTTTTAAGAGCTGAAGAATTGATACATTTTTCTAAAAAAACGAATACAAAAGAAATTAATATTGAAGAGAAAATTTAAATTGGGAATATACTTTTTTTTCCGTTTAAACATATGTATATTTTTAATAAGCGATAAAATAATTTCAAATATAAGAAACTTTTTACACAACTATATAAACTTTGTAAAGCGTGAATAATTTGGAAAAATGTTGAATGGTTAAAACTCAAATCATGGAATTTAAATCCCCAAGGATTGTCAGTAATCTTTGAAGTAAAAGTTTTATGGGTCATTTATATCGTCAGTAATCCCTTTGGGTAGATTTCAACAGCCCTCAATATTTTAAAACAACTTCTCATTCAAGACTTGTTTTATAAATATATCTGTCTGCAAAAAAAAAAAATTCTAATTCAAGTTTAAGTTAAATATAATGCAATAAATGTGATGAGTATAAATTTATTAACAATTTAAATTGAATGAAAAAATAAAAAAATAAATTACAATAAAGAAAAATGCACTCTCTAAATCTAAATTAGTAAAAAAGTTTACTAATTAGTGACTCACTTTTTACTAATTGAGAAGCAAAAAGTGAGTCACTAATTCAAATTAGTAAACATTTTTACTAATTCTGATTTAGAGAGCAATATTTACACAATAAATTCGATTTGTACATTTAAGGAATATTCCAGAAAATTTTTGGAATCATTCTTAAGAAATACTCTATCGATATATGTAGAGGAACATTTCAATAATGTCCTAGTGCTAGAATTTTACTAGTTGGAATGTTTATATATGTCTCATTCTAATGTCTATACTAAGATTGACTGTAATTTTTGTGAAATATTCTAGAAATATTTCAGTTTTATTTAAAATTCCACAAAAATATGTTTAGAAAAAATATTCCATAAATATTTCAAAGGAGAAAAAAAAATGAAATAATTGCCAATATCTTATTTTCAAATATTTGAGATTTATCTTAAAAGTAAGATTTTTCATTTTATTCAAATAATCTGTATAATTAATTAATTATTAAACTGGTAATAAAATTACAATAGTCAACAGAATTATGTAAATGTAGATGTGAATACAGTTGTATTTGAGCTATAAAACGAAATGATCATGGGAAAATTGTTTGGCACCACGCACGTGTACATACGTTTATGTAGCTCTGCTAATTTCAGTTCATCGATACTGACTCCAATTTAGCGGTATTTGCGGCACACTGACGGTTGCCTTCAAATGAGAAGGCAGCTTCAAAATTGCCAATCTGTGATGTTCGTCACATACGCGCTTCTGTATATTTATGTAATAAATTCTCCGCATATTATTATATCAAACTCTTCAATCGCCTCTTTTCACACTAATTTTCATATTACATTATTAAATATTTCCACGATCCATTAACTATTATTAAATATTTTCACATGTTATTAAATATTTTATCATATTATTAATTTATTATTGTCTCATATATTGTCCAATATTATCACATATTATCAAATATTCTCATATATTGTTAAATATTTTCAAATATTATCAAATATTTTCAATAAGTTGTTATTATTATTATTATTATTATTATTTTTATTTTGGTATCACCATAAATCAATATAGCTAGAAATTTAATTAAAAATTATTTCACTACCTTTCAAACAAACGAAATATAGTTATCATTTATTTGTGTTAATTAAATACCCAGCGGCTAATGCTATGCATAATAATGCATTTTATGATTATTAAATAAAAAAAAGAAAGTTTATGGCTTTAAGCTACACTAGGCACACTTTTTAATTAGACCAACAGAATTTGAGCTAGACTCAACTAACATTTGAATTTTTGAAAAAAATTTCCATTTTTTCAAATGAAGAGATTTTCCCTACAGAATATCACCAAAGACTTAACCCACAAGTTGCGAACAAAAAATGACAAACTTTTTGATTGGTCCAGCGGATGCTGAGCTAGGTTAAAATAAACTTTGGAATAATTTTAAAAATTTAAATACCACCGCAAAAAAAAAATCGATTTTTTGGAATTCTAAACCAGAAAATCCCCTTAATATTTCCATTATTCATTCACTTTATTTGTTTATTCTGCAACTTGAATATGAAAATTAATGAAACGAAAGACAAATTGAAAATGTGTAAGAAAAAACTCTAAACTGTAAAAACAATTCAAGCTGGACAATATTACTCGAAAAATTATGTTTAATATTTTCATTATTCATTTATTTTTCAACTCCAAAGGAAGATATAATTAACGAAACTTAAAAACACAAGATAAATTATTTGGAGAAAATTGTGTCTTTAATATAATTTTGATATTTGGCTCATGTTATATTGTGTACACAATGACAAAAAAATGAGGCAACAAAGTCTGACTAACCATGATAAATATATTTTTTGCCTGAGGTAGAATGACATTAGGTGAAAAAGCGAAAGATAAAACGAAACACCAGTACTTCGAGACACACGATAACACACAAAACTTATTTTTCACTACATAAAATAGTTTTACCCCTATTACGATTTATATATAACATTATGTTCCTCATCATGTTAAACAGTTATTTTAAATAAAATTTCTCTAGAATATATATATATATATATAATGTAAAAGCAGTTTTATATTTTACTAAAAAATTCTTCTATTTTGTTATTTTTAAATTAGAATTCCATTTTTATTTAAAGTACCATTATAAATTACTTTTACATATTCACAAAAAATATTATTAAAATGCGCATACCTTACTAAGTTTTTATTTCCATTAAAATTTTAATTGATTTCAATTTTCATTAGAATATTTGTATATACATTGAACACACACATACACACACTTTTTTGCTTTTTTTTCAATGACAAAGAAACTCAGGGACGAAATAATTACGTTAGTTGGTTCCCAAGTGGGAAAAGAAATCGAATTACCAAGGCCAGATTGCTTCCTAATTGTAAAGCATCTCGTTACTGCGTGCAAAAGAATACTGCAATTCGTTGAATTTTACATTCAAGACGTAAAAACATGGAAAGCGCAAATTTATATAGTGGGGGGGTTTGGAAAACATAAAACTGAAATTACCTCTTAAGTTTTTAATTGAAAAATGACTTAACTTTTTAGCATTAAGAATCTTTTGTAATCAGATGGGAGGTCTTACCTCGGTAAAGTGGAAAAACTATCTTAAAAAAAAATTAAATTATGTAATTTTAACAATTTGGCGATTAAAAAATTTTAATAATATAATTTATTTGAATTAAACAAAAATACATTTTTGTAACCTGTATTTATTTGTTTCAAATAAAAATTTTCTTTTGGGCAAAAATAAAATTTTTATTTAAAACTAAAATATTCTTGAAAATATTTCAAAAATTCTAATGATTAAGTGAAAAAAAAAAAAAATTGAATAAAAATAAATAGTAAATCCAATTTTAAACTTTGGCACGTGGTGTTAGAAAAGCCCTTTTGCACTTTTGGTATTCTGCGAAAAGTAGTTCTTTGCGCGATCTTAAGAAGGAATCAAGGCACATTGCCAGCGGTTTCCTGCCAAAGTAAAGAAATTGGAAGTACAGAAAACTTTTGAGACAGTTCAAGATTATTTTTTATTTTTATTTTTTTTTTTCAAACTTTTTTTCTCACGTGTGTTTCAGGTGTCCTTTTTCTCAACGAGTCCTGAACTATCAAATAAACAGCGCTTTGAATATTTTACAAGGACTATACCGAGTGATCATTATCAAGTCAAGGCTATGGTAGATATCGTAAGAAAAATGAACTGGAGTTATGTTTCTATTATTTACGAAGAGAGCAACTATGGAATTAAGGTAGCAAATAATAATAATAATAATTATTATTATTATTCTGAAAATATAATTAATTAAATCACACAAAAAGACGTATATATAAATATATTCTCTAAAGAATTTTTTAAACAAACAAAATCAAAATAAAAATTATGCACCTGGGAATGAAATTATTTTTCCCCAGTTTTTTATTATTAAAAAAAAAAATAATGATAAAAAAATGTTGCGACTTTTGCTCACGTAAATCATCACAAAGATAAAGTTGAATGTATATACATTTCCTCTTACATTATACATAATTCAGCGTGTATGAATTTAAAGAACTATATATCTATATATGCTAATGGAAAAAGATTATTTTTTTTGTTTTTGTTTTTGTTGTAAAAATTTGATATTTTTATATAGACGTCTCTTTAATGTCATACTTTGTTTGCTTTAAAGGCTTTCGAGGAACTGGAAGATCTTTTGGCGAAATATCAAATTTGCATTGCCGTTAAAGAAAAACTTGTTAAAGATTCAGGAGTGGCTGAAGAAACGGCTTATGACAACATCGTGCAAAAATTATTAACAAAACCACGAGCAAGAGGCAAGTTAAAAGCTTTTATAAATCCCATTTAAACCTCTTAAGAAATTCATACTTATAATAGACATAAACGGAAATAGAAATAAAAATCGATATAAAATTACACGTTATATACTCGGAAGAATAGAAACTAATAGTGCGTAGAATTTTTCAAATGAAAAAAGAAGAAAATAATTCCAGGTAATAAATGCACAAGAGTACAAATTGAAACTACTTTTTGAATAATAATAAAGAATTTCACATGAGTAAAATGAAATCTAAGGGTATAGAATAATTTTTCTTCTTAACTATGTGCTTCATTTTTCTTCTCGACTTATGATCGAAAAAGACGGCATTTATCTTGTCGCTTTGATCCACCTGTCTTCGCCAAGTATGGGAAACTTTGGCAATTTTTTCAAAAGTTCACTTTTTCAGTGAGTATCATGGCATACTTTAAAACTGGAAAAGCGAAAGAACGAATCCTTGAGTTATGTTAAGATACAAAAAAAAATTTCCAGTATAACTGACAAATTCAAATTTTTCGCATTCTTTACAAAACAATTGAAAATTATATTTTCTTTTTCGAAACGTTAAAATAGAATGATGAAAGTGAGATTTCCTTTCCTATACTATTTAATGGATAATATTTTTTAGGTTGCATAATTTTTGGCTCAGACCAAGAAGTTGCCGGGGTAATGAGAGCAGTGAGACGTTGTAATGCTACTGGAGCATTTTCTTGGATTGGGAGTGACGGGTGGAGCGCTCGAGGGCTCGTAAGCAATGGAAATGAAGCCGAAGTTGAAGGTACACTATCAGTACAGCCTCAAGCAAATCCCGTCCAAGGGTTTGAAGAATACTTTTTAAATTTAACAGTTGAAAACAACAAGAGAAATCCATGGTTTGTTGGTGAGTCAAAAATATACTCAGAATATTATCATATAAACGATCTTGAAACTGAATTAATTTTATAATAATAAAAATAATAATACTACACTGAAAAAAAAAATTTATTTACTTCAAATAATCAATTACCTGTTTATTATCAAATATTTATTGAAATATTGAGTCAATTAAAAAGTATTTATTTCAAATACAGAAATTGGTTCAATTTTATTTAATTCAAATAAAAAATCATTTTGGTTCAAATAAATATTTATTTGATAATAATCAAGTAACCAATTGAATCAAATAAATTTTTTTTCACTGTAATAAATTATTATTTTTATTAATATTTACTTGGATTGGCTAAAACAATTACTAATATAAGTAATATTATTATAATATGCTAATTTTAATATTAATTGAATAAAGATCGAAATGAAAAAATAAAATTTGACATATGCGTTTTAGTGGTTGGTAAAAATGTAAAGTTTAGTGCGAAATTTGGTGAAAGCCTCTTCAATCTTAATAGATCACTAGAATGAATGGGTTTCGAACGAACAGAGGACTGAAACCACAGGTACCTGGTCGTACAGCCTATATCTATGTTGTTCGATTTATACGCATCACGTTTAACAGGATGTTCCTATAATGAGTGGAAGGGTTACCTATAAATCGTTTGTAATCTTGTATCCCATTATACATACAACCAACTGAATTACGCGCTTGTTCCTATACAATATACTCGTATAATACATATATATAACAAACTCACACACACACATGTAGGTATATATAAATATATAGCAATTCGTCCACAGATAACCGCAAAATATGCATTTTCATTTATCGCGCATTTTATTATATATACATTTTTGGATTATAGCCAGACAAGTGATATTTGATAATAATACATTTTGCCATTTCGATAACCCGCGCAGTCATTAGAGAGCTGAACAACTGACACTTTGCGATCAGATATAAAAATTTACGTCCCATTATTCACTATATACTGTATACTTTATTTACATATATATACTTTTTATAACCTTTACTTTATCAATAATTATATCAATGTTTTATTACTTTTATTTCATTAATAATGATGATAATAAACATTGATGAAAAACTTCATTTTTTTTCCGGGTCAGAAAATTTGAAAATTTTTGAAAAATAGTATTGGAATATTAAAGGGAACATTTTTCAAGATATAAATAATAATTACATATATATATGTAACGCGCTCTGAAGAAAGGGACCTTAGAAGCAAAAAATTATAGGTTATGTTTTGAAATTTTTAAGTGAAAATACACAAAGAGGATCAACTCTCAATACAAATTATTGATATTGAAGTCTTTATTACATTCAAAATATTCAATAAAAACTGATTTTAACATTTAAACATAACCTATAATTCGTTTGCTTCTAAGGTCCCTTTCTTCAGAACACGTCACATATATATTATATATTGTATAAAGATTTTGAAAATTAAATTTTGAATGACAATTTGATCATCTTTTTTATCCGACGTGTCGAACAAGTAATTAGCACGGCAACATAATTAACGAGTTAGCATCAAATTATTAATGATCATAAGATAAAGTGATTAATGTGTTCGTAAAATAGAAAATTTGAAATGTGATTTTAAATTCATTTGATTAAATTGAAATTTTATTAGCTCTTCATATTATCTTATTTCATTTATATTTTTTTGCTAAAGTAACTATAAATAATTGTATAATTACAATTATGAATTAAAAATTATTTCAGTTACAAATGTACCGTCGTTAAACCGGTTTCCCTATAAAACCCAATTTCCATCAAGTATAATAATAAAGCTTGCGCAAATAATTAATTTCACAACATGTAAATAATAATAAAATACATTAAAACATAAATTTACTAGAATTGAAAATTTTCATTTTATCACAATTTTGAAAAATTGATGAAAACTGGAACAACGATGTCACTGTATTATTATATTATTTTTATTATTATTATTATTATTATTATTATTATTATTATTATTATTTGTAATAATAATTATCGAAGTATTAATTAATTAAATATTACTAGTATTAAAATAATCGATTGTTAATTAAATTTGAATTAAGAGTAAAAACTACTAATTAAAGTAATTATAAGGTAAAAAATATTCTTTAAATTTCAGATCTGATTTAAAACGTTCATTTCCGGCAAAATGTAGAGCTAACAAAGGAAAATTAAGTCATTACATTTTTTTTTTTTTTTTAAAAAAAAAAGCGATTACAGTTTGATTATAAAGTTATAAAAAGATTTAAAAAGTTTAACTTTAAAAGTCAGAATATTTGCCATTTCTCTCAGAAGAAACTAGGTTTTCACTTTATTCCATTCATCTCTTTGACGTTTCTATCAAAATTTTATAATATATATATATATATTTCTATAAAATTGAGTACCAAACTTTTCTATAGGGTTATTAATTTTTCAAAACTATATATTTCCAAGAACAATATATTCGCAGGAATTGAAAGAAAGAAGTAAAATAAGAAGTGTAGCTGAATTTTTTTTGTCATCTTTCAAATATGTATATTATATGAATATCAGAATTTTATGAACTGAATAAAATTTACATTTAGAAATGTAATTTTTCCATTTGACATATTAGATATTATTACAATTCCATTTTTTTTCTATTTAAATAAACATTTTTAAATAAAAAAATGATAATATATAAAGAATATTTTTTGTTTAGAATTCTGGGAAGATCATTTTCAATGCCGATATCCAAATGCATCTTTAACACCATACAATGAAAAATACACACAACCATGCACAACGCAAGAACGTCTTACAAAGCAAAATACAGCATTTGAGGATCAACTTCAATTTGTTTCTGATGCAGTTATGGCATTCGCCTATGCCTTTCGGTATATAATTATATTTTACAATAAATATATATTATAATTTTTCCGGTATAATAATTTGAAAAAATTTTAAAACCTGAGAATCACAATAATTATTAAATTTCTTATGTTGCACTTTTGGAATATTACAAGATTAATTTAAGGGAATACACTAGAAATTCGATAAGAAAGAATCTAAGGAACCAAGAATTTTTTTCTCCCTTTTATAGAGATATTTTTACTTATATCAACTGTATTTGATACCAACATTCTATAAGAAATTTATTTTTAATTTTGGAATATTACAAAATAAATTTATTGTAATACATTTGAACCTCGATAAGCAAGAATCCAAGGGGACAAGAATTTTTTCTCCCTTTAAAAGGTATTTTCGCTTATTCAGGTTCGACTGTAATGCCAATATTTTGCAAAAAAAATTCTATTTAATTATAAAAATATATCAAAATTTTCAGGTAAAATAATTTTATAAATTGAATATTAAAATATTTCTCAAATTATCTTAGGAAATATATTTTAAAAATATTTACAAAATTTAATTTAATAATTTTGCAGGAGTATAGATAGAAATTAATAGATTTAAGTGCAACATTATCTTTAATAATTTACATTGATTCTCGGTAATGTATATTTAACTAATGTAACTGACTGAATAATTAAATTCCATTTTCTGTGAAATGTAAACGTAACTATAATCGTAAAACAGAATTTTAAAATTTAATATACATATATGTTTTCAGAAACATGCATAAGAAACTTTGTCATGGTAAGAAAGGACTTTGTGATGCTATGAGACCAACAAAAGGCACCGAGCTCTTGCAATATTTAAGAAATGTAGAATTTGAAGGTAAACAAATACTTTTTTTGACAAGTAAATAAATAAAGTAAATTATTTATTTAATTTATTTATTGTTAATTTAATAAAAAAAATTATTCTTCAAATAATAAATCACTTTATAAATTTCAAGGTTTAAGTGGAGATGAATTTAAGTTTGATTCAAATGGAGATGGACCCGCTAGATACAATATAATACATTTTAAACAAACTTCAACAGGAGTGTACAATTGGATTAGAGTGGGCAAATATCTCGATGGCAAATTGTTGCTCAATATGTCCGGTGAGTTTAATAATAATTATTATAATCTCATTATAATTAGAAGATAGTTAAAATAATTTTTTTTATAAGAATTAAATGCATTAATTGTCCTATAATTGAAAAAATACTATTGTGATAAAATAAATCTGCCCACATAATTAATGACTAGACAAATATATATACACTGTTCATTGGATAGAATAAACAAACTTTAATACTATTAAGTCAACTTTAATTTTAAGAGAATATTTAACGATCCGAAAAATTCAGATCATTATCGAGTACATTTATTTGCACCACTAATTACTCGCTGTTCGTTTTTAAAGTTCCGGATATTTTGTAAACCCCTTTTTTACATTAGCATACCTATCGTTCGAAAAAACAAATGCCTTTTAAATTTAATAAAATACGGAAAAAAACTTTGAAGTATTTATTATTCGTTTAAATAAACAATTAACTACCATTGTTTTACCATTTTGTGATTTTTTTAAAAACTTCATATTTATTTTTATTTATAAATATATTTTTTGATGCATAATTTTTCCAGCTGAATTAATAATAATTTTATGTATAGGCGAAATAAATAATGCCAAATAAAAGCGCGATCATATTAATGCATTATTATTAATTCCTATTTCTGGTAAACATATATGTTTCAAAAAAAAAATCCAGAATAATAGTATAGATTTATTTTCGTATAACAAACTTATCTCTTAAAAGCAATCAAACTTTGAAATTGAAGTAGTTTATATATATAGTTCTCAAAATCAAAAGACAGAAGCAAATCGATGCCTAACCAATTTCAATTCTGCGACTTGTGCCATTGTTGTGTGTATTGTCTATTGTATTGTCTAACATTATATCAAATTTAACAAATCCAATTTCGTAAACTTATAGAGGTGCAATTTAAACTTGGACATCCCCAACCACCAGAAAGTGTATGTTCATTACCCTGTGAAGATGGACAGGCAAAGAAATACGTTGAGGGAGAAAGATGCTGCTGGCATTGTTTCAATTGTACCCAATATCAGGTCAGATCCTTTGTAAACTGATAAATTGGTAAGCTTCCTGTCCTCTAGAGATAAGTCGTGAATTTCATGTATATATATATATATTGAGAAATATCGTTAATCCTTTGTTCTCTCGTGTACATAATCTATAATCTTCTCAGTATGTAACATTTGATTTTGAAAAAATTTTCCCAAGAAGAAAGAGAAGTGACTTTTTTTTTATATTTTATCCCATTGACAACAATAAGAACCTCTCATTAGTGATTATAATGTAAAAAGAAGAATATTAAATTTAAAATATGTAATTCAATCGCAACCTGATATTAAATTCAAGAAGAAAATCAAAATAATTGAATTTCTGAATATAAATGAATGGTAGAAATTTTACATTATTCATTTTGACAGTAAAAAATTCAAAGGTTTTAGAAGAAAAAAAAAATATTTTTCCATAGATACGAGATCCAGAGGATGAAACACAATGTGTTATGTGCCCTCAAGGCACAGTTCCTGATGAAACTCATTCCTATTGTCGTGATATACCGGAAGAGTTTTTAAGACCCGAAAGTGCTTGGGCCATTGGTGCAATGTCTTTCTCTACTACAGGAATATTGGTATAAAAAATAGTATAAAATAATTATTATTTTCACGAGCGCACATCAAACAATGACAACTCTTTCTATTATAAAAACAGTTATTTCACGTCTCAAATATCACTTTACTTTGCAAATATAAAATATTTATTCCAATAAAATATTCTTTATATATTTATCATTTATTTATAATTGATATTATTTACTGTATTTTTTTATTGTCCTGTGACAAAATATTCTAATTATTTATAAAATAATAATAATTAGTCTTCAAAATCCAATTATTATTATTTCAAATACAAGTTTATTTAATACAAAGAAAAATTATTTCGTTCATTAGAGATTGTTTTACGAGGCTTTGTGGAATGATTTAAAATAATATAATTAGTGAGCGAAGATTATTAATAATGAAAAAAAATCGTTTCTTTACAGATGACACTCTTCGTTGTGGGTGTATTTTTAAAATTCAACGACACGCCCGTTGTTCGAGCTTCCGGTAGAGAATTATCTTACATTCTTTTGTCCGGAATTTTATTGTGTTATCTAGTAACCTTCACTTTAATCCTACGACCATCCAACATTGTTTGTGGAATCCAGCGGTAAAATTAAAAAAAATAAAATAAAAAAATAATTCTTTTACAAAATCACAAAAAAAGTCAGTGACAGATCCAAAAATATTTTTTAAATACTTTTTTATTGCTTTTAAAATAAGATAATTTCGTGAGCTTTTTGTAAAAAAATAAATAGAAATTGATTAACTCCGATATCAAATTTTAAAATAACTCCGAATAACATATACTGAAAATAAGTAGCATTAATTTAAGAAAACCATATATACTTGTGCTTGATCCACTAATTTTTTTAATTCAAAAAATTTTTAATAACAAGAAAATATTGAAAATCAAATACGGACAAATACATGGGTTTTCTTGATTCAATACTGTTTCTTTTTTCAGTGTACTTACAGAAAATTAAAAGGCATTAAAATAATAAGCGTTGCAGCTTATTTTAATGCCTTTTAATTTTCTATGCTTATAAAAACTGATTGAACAATACAAAATTTTTCAAACTAAATATTTTATTTTTGGATATATCACTAAAATCTAAAAATATTTCAATAGCATAAAATATTTAAAATATAATATATAAAAATCTCGGTTTTTTTCACAGATTTACAGCTGGATTTTGCTTCACCGTAGTTTACGCAGCATTATTAACGAAAACCAATAGAATATCGCGAATTTTTAATGTGAATAAACATAGCGCAAAACGACCATCATTTATATCGCCAAAATCACAACTAATAATATGTTCGGGTCTCGTAAGTCTGCAAATACTTATTAATGGCGTTTGGATGATAATTGATCCGGCAAAAGCAATGCATCATTATCCAACGAGAGAGGACAATTTACTAGTTTGTAATAGTTACATTGACGCGAGTTATATGATTGCATTTACCTATCCCATTATACTTATTGTTATTTGCACGGTATATGCTGTACTAACCAGGAAAATACCGGAGGCATTTAACGAGAGTAAACACATCGGTAATTCAAACTATTTAATAATAATCGTAATAATAATAATAATAATAATAATAATGATATTGAAAACAAATATTTTAGGTAATGTACTATTTTATATATTTCTATTTTGAAACTGGTTTGTTGGTTGAATCGTTTCAAATATCGCAATATATATGAATTTTAGAAGCTTTACTATATATGTGAGAGTAATAAATTCTTTGAGTTTCATATATGATATAAGCGGAGTGAATACATAAATTCACGTATACCAAATTTCCCAATATTCCACTCGACAATTTTTTATCATTCCCCATGATTTCTATTTTATTTATTTATATTTACGTTTTATAAATAAAAAGTTTTTAATTCCCAAATCGAAAAACTTGGAAATGATTAATTAAAATATATACTTTTAATTGAAAATATGTTTTAATATATAAAAGATAATGTTTGGCTAGAAAACTATATATATATATGGATTCATTTAATTAAATATATATAAATGGTTTCCCCTCGTGTAAAAGTGAGCTTTCATTTAAATAAATTCAAATCATATATGGAATTTGATAGAATTTTTTCAATATTTTTTTAAATAAAGAGAAAAAAAAGTGAATAATTTTATTTTTAATATAGGTTTTACGATGTACACCACATGTGTAATTTGGCTTGCATTTGTCCCTCTGTATTTTGGTACCGGAAATCACGTGGCTCTAAGGATTACTTCGATGTCGATAACAATCAGCCTTTCGGCTTCCGTGACTATAGCTTGCCTCTTCAGTCCAAAGGTAAGGCGCATTCTACATCCGGGATAGTACCTTTAAACTTTCGTCTTCCGCAAGAAGTTTCCTGACGGCCAAGAAAGTTTTGCTCGATGCTAAACTCCAGCAATCATTGACCCCCCTTGATCGCTATCAAATTATACTTCTAACTGAATATAAATAAGGCAATTTACTTTTAGTGTCTATTCAGTTACCAAGAAACAGGATACTTCAAAGTATATATAAACCCAGAAAAAAAGAACTTTTTTTTTGTCATTTCTTTGAATTAAATTTTCGATTTAAAGATTGTTAAAAGTAAACAAATATTAAAAAAAACAATTTCTTTTTTTAAGTGAAATAAAATAATAATGTTAAATTGCTTTTATTTGATGTAAAAAAAAGAAATTGATTTATAATAATAATTAGACACGGTCTACTAATGGAGAGTTGGAAACCTTGGAAAGTGGAAAACTTTTTAGAAAAGTGCCATTACATCTTGTCACACTCAGAAAAAAGAAATTTCCGTTTTAGTGGGTTTTTTTTTCTTACTTCCTGTCACAATTTTTTTCAAAACAAGAAATACAAACTTCAAATGAAAATAATTTTGTTTATAATAAAAATTCTATTTGTGTCAAAACAAAATTTTTATTTAAAATAAAAATATCTCTGAGACAAATATATTTTTATTTAACTGCGCAAATAAATATTTGGTTTAAATAAAAATAAATTGTATATAAATTTTTTGTTTGCAGCTTTACATTATTTTAATTCGCCCGGAGAGAAATGTCAGACAGAGTATGATGCCAAATCGACACAATACAACAAAAAGTTCCGGACTCACTAACGCATCGAATTTAATGGCACCTGTCACTTTGACAGCGGTTACTTGTGATCAAAATAAAGCTGTCAAAAGGCATGTTACTACTACCATGGACTGTTCCACTCAAAGTGAAAGTAAGTTTCTAAATATTGAACGAAAATTGAATTGAAAAACTACTAAAAGGAAAGAATTATTATTCCCCTACAAAAATGGAATCCCTTTTTCCTCTCTATCATACAATTTCTGAATTTCTAATACAAATGTTTTAGATTACGAGATGGAATCAACAAATAAAAAGAATGGTAAACCACCACCTTCATTGATCTCGCGTTCAACTCAAACGTTAGCGAACCACAATGAGGGTGATTCAAATTCAATAACATCAGTGGTGTCGAAGGAAACGAATAAAAATTCTAAAGAAAATTCCGTTACTACGAAGGAATTGAATACAAGGATAGGGAATGGACCCGTAAGCCAAAATGACGTTTCTTTATAGCAGGAATACGTTTCGCAAGATATTTCATTGATAGAAGCAAACCTCACGCCAATATCTAAGGAACCAGTGATCGTATAGAAAAATTCAAATAGATATAATGTAGAATTTAAAATAAAAAAAAGGTACATGTTTATTTTATTTTTATTTATAGTATATTTCAAAAATAAAAAAAAAGTTATTTTAAATTTATAAACTTTATTTCAGAATTACCGAAATACCGCGTATATAAGCTACATTAATACAAAACGGAAAATGAAAAACAAAAATACGTACTGAATAAAATATTCCTATATATATAGCTGTGAGCATTGTTATAAAGAAAAAAAAATTAACATCATTTTTTCTGTTAATATATATATATGAATGCTCATTGATTAGTTAATTTTATATTAATAATAAATTAAAAAGAACATAAAAAAAAGTTTTTTTTAAATGAAAATTGAATTCACTTACAAAAGTTTTATTTATAGAAATTTTTGTTATTTTAAATTAAAAATTGTATAATTTTAATGAATAATTTATTATTCACAATTTAAACTTTTTCATTTAATAAATTAAAAAATTAAATTTAATATTTAAATTTAAAATTTAAAGGAAAACAATTAAAAAATGTATTAATTAATTTTTCTAAATTTTAACTTAAATTGATTTAAATTAACTTTTAAATTAGAATAATATTGTTCTCCATTAGCAAAATATTTTTGAAAACTATTCGTTCAACAAAGAAAAAACCAGTGGAAAATATACAGGGAAAGACTTTATTAATTATAAGATCACGTTATAGTAGTTGTAATAATGAGATTTAATAAAAATTTAAATAATTTATTCTACAAATAATGTACAATATTAAAGTTTTCAAAAATATTTTTTTTTTTTGCAATAAAAAACAGCGTTTTAATTTACGAGATGCTTTCTAATTTTATGATTTTTTGCTCCAAATGAAAGAATGTAAATGTTTTTAATTCGTGTATATTAAAAACAACTTTTTCGATTCATTAAAATTCAACTAAACATATCAATATTTAATTACTCAACTATGTATTTATTCTCTATAAATTAATAATGAATTTTTTCGTTTTTAACATAATATTTAATCATTTTTACTTTAAGTTGAGAGTGTTTCTTTGAAAAAAAAAATTTCAAATAATTAAAGAAATCGAATATACAGGGTAACGCATAAACAAATATTGTTATTTAAAAAATTACAAATGTTAATTTATTAAATTATTATTAAAAAACTACTATAAATTTTTTTCAAAAAATCATTAATCCTTTAGGAAAAAATAAATTAAATAACGACAAGTAGAAACTTTTTCAATCTATAAATGTTTTTTTAAATTCTGAATTACAAAAAAAAAAAATTTACTCACGTATTAAATTCTAGTTACTCTGTATAATCGAAATTCTATTTCTCTCTGTGATGAAATTATCGTAAATCATTATAATCAACGCATTTTAAATCATCAAAATAAAAAAGTTACGTGTGCGTTACAAGAGCTCTGCGAAAAATAAATTATTTTATATATAATTAAATATTGTATTTATTGTAATTAAATGAAATTGTACTGAAATATTAAAAACAAAAATAACCGTTTAAGATTACGGAATCATTAGATAATGAATTTGTAAATAAACAAAATTGAAATGACAGCGTTTATAAAAATGTAGAAAATACATCAAGTAATTTAAATCGTTGTAAATAAAAGTTCAACGTACATTTAAAAATCATAAGTTTAGAAAAATAATTTAAAAAATGTTCAAATTGGTTTCATTTTTTTTTTTTTTTTAACATGGCCTGCACTTAACAATTTTAATGAATTCTTCGATTTTTTACTAATTTCAATAACTAAATTCTACAAATATTCTCATTTTTCTTCAACAATAAATTATTAATTCCACAATTATGTTAATTAGTTATTTTCAAAAATTTATTAGTTTTAATTCGATATCAACTATAGATATCCATCAATGTAATGATTGCAATTAAAAAACATTATATCAGATTCAAAACATAAATTTAAAAAAAAAGTAGAATTCAATATATTTAGAAAAATATTGAAAATATTCGTAGAGAAAATGCGTATATCTATAAATTTATATCGTCATAAAATTTGCGAACTAATTATAGATATTATTTTGTAATTAAAGAAAAATCGAACATTTTTTTTTTTCAATATTTGGCAATTTCCGATCCTCTTAATCTGCAGGCTATAGGAATTGCAAAACTTAGAAATATGTGATAAAAAGAAAGGATTTATTGAAACTTATAAAAATAATGTTAATATATAACGACGATAAAACCGCCTAATTAATAAATAATATTATAAGAATTCAATACATGTCTAACGAAATGTTTTTAATATACTAGTTTATTGTAAATACGAAAAACATGAAGTATATATATATATAAATATAAATGATATAGGAAATTTAAGAAACCTACTCCAATTATATAAATTCTAGACATAATTAATTTAAGGATTAATATACTAACATATCGAAATTATCGAGATATATTAATTTGATTTCACAAAAAAAAAACGTATCAATCAGAATTGAAAACTGTTTTTTATTGTTAATAAAGTTTTTGTTTAAAGGAAAAAGTTTTTGCTTTATAAAATTACTACATTCTCATCATTATAATTTCATTCAAATTGTGAAATTTAATGAAAATATTCAAAGTAGGCTTTTAACAATATCTGAGCCCAATGATAAAAGCTTACTTAGACTCTTACTTTCAATTAAATTTCATAAAAATTATATTATTAATCTCTTGAATGTAAATAACAAGAATGTTTATTTTGTAAATAAAACTTTAATTTATAAAAAAAAAAATCAATAATGCATATATCGCATACACAATCAACAAGTGATGAATGATAGAGTAATTTAAAAAATTTTAAATACATACAGTAGAACCTTCCGGATTGAACTCTAATTTTTAAAATTTTTGTCATTACTACATTATGTATTAAAAATTTTAATTATTTTTCAAAATATTGCGGAAGTGAAAATAATCAATAATCATCGTTAATGTTTAATATCAAAAGTGTAAGAAAATCGAAAAATAATCTGAGAGGTTCCTCTGTATTTGTTTTCGTATAGTGAAAATTATATATTATATAATTTCACAAGACCAACAATAAGTTCATAATTTTCATTGCGAGTTATTTAAGAATTAAAAAAAAAAATAAACACGAATATGTAAATAAACAATTTATATATTGTTCGAAACACGTCGATAGTTTTAAAACTATAATATATAAGAATTCGAAATCATCGGTTAATCATTACACATGTTTAAAAATAATAATTTTCAAGTATATAAGAAAGTAGAACATCTTTTTGTGTTTAATTGTATGAATAAATTTTCATCGAAATGTGTTCTTGAGCTATGGATATTTTAAATATATATATAAAAATATATTTCATAAGACCAACAGGTCTGCCAATGAAATTAAAAAAAAAATGTATCAGAATAATAAATAATATGCAAACATTAAAAAAAAGCATTCATCACTTCATCGAGAATTTGAAAAGAAGGATATTTTATTTTCTCATATATAATAATGTTGTAACATATAATATATATTATGTTATAACATAATATGTTTTTTTTATTATTATAAATAAATAATCATAATTCTTCGGAAGAGATGAAATTTATTTTCGAAAAATACAAAAATTACAGATAGAATGATGATGTCCTTACATCATTGTTACAGTAGATTAAATCCATGCCATTGCCACAAAGTTTTCACTTTAATATCGATCCCAGAGCATCCCCAATTTTCTGATCACAATCATTGTCAGTTCATGCTGTCGTCAATCAGATTCGAAGGCCCTGAAAATCCCGATTGGTCCAATAATTTAAGACTGATTCGATCATTTAAAAAAATTGTAGAAGAGGTTTAAAAACACCAAAGTTAAAATATTCGTTCAACTATAGAAATTCATCAACTACTTTACTGTTAAATTAAAAAAAAAAAAGGAATTTTTCAAATTTTATTTCCATATCTAATATTCCTCTCTAAATATTTTTTGTTTATAAATATACAAAAAATTTATATAAAAGAATACGAATGAAATAAAACAAATTGAATTTGTTTATTAATATTTTTACCGAGAATAATTTTTCGTTAAAAAGGATGAGGCATTAAGGGGACAGAGAAATATCAAAGCCTCGCTAAAATAAGTTAATTTTTATTACATTAGCAATTACAACTCTTTAATCCAACAATTTTTTTTTTCTTCATGGCTAGACTAAATAACTTCCATAATGTCGATCATAAAACAATGATTCTCAATTATTAAAAAACAGATTAATATACTATTCTTACTAGAAACGTAAAGCTCTTGTTCGATTTTTTTTTTTGTTAAATGTACTTTTAAATATAAAACATATTTTTTCTATAAAGTTCGATACATAATAATTATTATTAGAAATGTACTATGTAATACTGACTGTGCAATAAAGCACGAGGAACTAAAGTAGTATTTTAAAACACGAATCTGATAAGAATATTGAAAACAAAGAAACAAGTATATTTGGGAAAAAGATGCTTGTAATTAATTTAATATTACAATAATATTGATAAATATTACAATTATAATTAATATTTATAATATTTAATATTATATTATTAATAATAATTCAATATTATTAATTAATAATAAATTAATTGCAATTTTTTTGTCATTCATTTGGAAAAAAATTATTAACCAGATAAAGATGAAAAACATGAAAGGAAAATAATTTCCCAAGAAACATGAAAGTGTGAAATAGACAAGAAACGAGATTTTTCTTTTCATTTTAAAAATTAATCTCTACTCTAGGAACTAGGCAATTTTCTAGAGAAATACAATTTACTTCTTTGGTGGAGAAAAGCAATATTTAATCGACATAAAGACGATATCGTTAATATCAGTTTTTCTTTATTATTTAGTTAACTTCAATTATAGTGTACTTTAGTACCTTTCGATGATCTTACAAATATTTCGAATTATTAAATAAAAAGCGATATCATTATCACAGGGTAAAAATCACAAGTTCATTTATTGTAAGTTTTAATTCGCATTCTATTATGCGAAATATGACGTGTAAGGCAAATACTAACGACAGAAAAATTGAAATTGTACAAAAAAACGCAGTCTGAACCAGTACGATATAGCAATAATAATTAACTTTCAAGTCTTTCAAGCTCAAACTCTCAAAAAATATCTACGAAAAAACTATGTCTGAGCTTGAAATTCCAATATTATACACTTTCTGTTACATATAACTTAACAATAATAATAATAATTTGAAGATTTTTATCTTCCACCCTGATTTGCTTTTTCTTTGCAGTCTTAAACCATCATCGAATAAATATATATATGTATATAAATATTATAAATTACTAAGGGACAAATTATTAATAAATTTCCTTTTAGTTTTTATATTATTATCTCAGAGGATATTTCATATAGTTTAACTTTTAAAAATATTTAATATTTTTCAAGGAAATTTAATATATTTATTAATATCATATCGAATAATTATAATTGTTCGATATATTAAATATATTTAAAAGTCTATAAAATTTAAATAAAACGAAAAATGAAAATAAACATTTTTTTTTTTTAAAGAAAATTATTTAGTTTCAACAGATAAATTTGAAGATTTGAAAAAAGTATAGTCCTGAATTTTAATCTTGGAAAAACGAACGTGAAAAATCTTGAATGTTTTACTAGATTTCTAAGGCTTCCAGAACTTACCGCTTCCTCTAAAACCCTTCGTCTTTTGTTGTTTTTTCTTTGCATCTGGAGGAACCGATAATGCCTCTCTACCAGATTCACTTCCCCCTGCACTTGTACCACTACCGGCCATGTCGGCTTCTTGAACACCACCTCCGCCAGCTTGAGCAGCAAGTAGTTTCTTAATATTTGCAATCTATAAAAAATTTAATTTAAATCCATAAATTTATCTTATATTTGTAAAATAAAAATTAATTATAGAAAATTGAGAAAACAATGAAATAGAAGACAAATTTAAAAAAAAGAGTCTAAATCGAAATTGTTACTCACTTCTTGTTGAATTTTCTCTTTATGATGTGTTGCTTTTTGTTTTTCAAGATTTGCTTTTGCAACTTGCTGTTCAATGCAGGCTAAAATTGTATCACAAGCCTGACCCCAAGCCGATAATGTTTCAGCAACAGTTCCTGCATCACCTGGTCTAACATCACGACCAAGTCCAGCAAAATCAACTTCAAGCTGTGAATTTCTTTGATCCAATTTACCATTAATAATATCTGCATATATTGCTTCTATAATTAAATCTTCTAGATCGCGAACATTTTTTATATCCAATTCTTCCAAAAGAACTGAATATGGTATACACTTTGACTTTGTCGCTAATGTCACAATTGTCAAGTGTTGAAGTTTCTTTTTTTGCGTTGGCGTTAATTCCAAAAGATTATCTTTATTATCTAAATATTGTTTGTACGTTCCATAGGCAAATAAATTAAGAGTATTCCAATATGCGGCATGTGGTCCATTCTCAAGTTCCTTGATATTTGGCATATCCAATAATTCACCAAAAACATTGACACCTGGAGTTTCAATTGCTTGTTTTATTAATTCGAGAGCCGCTGCTCCTTTAGCTGTTTTTGCCAATAATACAAATTGTTCTAGAGGATTATTTGCAGTCTTTTCCGTGTTAGAGGCTCCCATCATAATTTTTTCTAAAATTGAAAAATTTAATTTCAGAGTTAAATTATGTAATATAATTTTTACAATATTATTTATTAATGTAAACAAATTATAATATGTAAAAAAAAGAGATATAAAAAATAGCTCGTAAATGAACAACTGATTTTGTTTACAAAAAATAATGATATATAAGCCGGATTTTTATTTTTGAGGTTAGGAATCAATAATTGTTAACAGTGTCAATCGTTCAATTGATATTATGCTGATTATGCTTGATTTATATTGTTTATGTTTCGTGAAAAAAATATTTAGATGTTAAAAAAGTTAAAAATATAGAAATAGACTTTTAATACTCACTACAATCTTACAAAATCACAAGTTTATTTTTAACAAGTGTCATTGATCAGAAAACTCCAAACTAGTACAGTACAGCACAAAAGTAACAAAACAATCATAATGCGCATGACATCATATCATGATGCTGCTTGACGCGCATTTTTTTGAAAAGAATTTTACAAATATTTTTGTTCGAAATTTTTGCAAACTATTTAACGAAATGAAAATTTTAACAAGCTATTTATTTATACCTGTTTAAATAGAAATAAATAAACTAAAATTACTTACCATGATATGTAAACTTTTTAATTAAACACTTTAACACACAACACTTATTAAAAAAATAATTTCAGAAAAAAATATTTTGCAATGTATATTTTTTTTAATTATACATTGAAGAAATGGGTGAGGGTTAATTTTAATATTTATATCATCTTGACAGCTTTTTCAATTCATAATTAAATAAAATTTCGCAAAGAAAATGCGATTTAAAAAAAATATTTCACAGTAATATGTAAATTTAAAAATTTTCAATAACAAAATTAAATATCAGTCAATAATAAATTTTTTCAATAATTTAAAACAATATGTAACCTGTAAAAAAGTATATGTACAAAAAATATATTAATTAAAAATTAGGGATGGAAACCAAAATTTTATGATCTACAATTGATTTTTAAAATATACATTTTAACAGTTTTTCATTTTCCAAATTGTTTAAGAAACTAAATAATTATAATTAAATAATATTATAATAATATATTTAATTACAAAAACAGAAAAGAATTGAAATCGGAATCTTAAAAATGTTGAAACAGTTCTTGAAATTATTACAAATTTAATTAATTACATAATTAATGTATAGTAATAGTAATAATTATTATTAATTCAATTAATTACGTAATTAATAAAAAATTTCTCAAATTGTTAAAATTGAAATAAATAGTGAAAATGTTATAAAAGAATTAACGAAATTTGGGTTTCCATCCTAATGAAAAACATAACGTGTAATGGAAAATTATTCTCACCACGATGAATCATCTGAAAATAAAAATAAAATTAGACATATATTTAACAATATCAGTTTGATATTGTCATATCAAAAATAGTTAATAAACTCTCAAAACTTAATCAGCGAATGATGTATCGCTGATTTAAATTTTAAAGAGAACAATATAGTGACAGAAAAATTAAGATTCACACACAAATATTATAAAAAAAAAAATACCGATTTTTCTACCTAAAGCTATATTTAAAACGAAAAAAATTTACCTCACTCATACAAAAAAACTATTCCTCCCTAGCTGTATTTAAGAAAATCCTACTTTTTTAAAACACACACTCTCACACACCGCCCAGGTGCAATATAACCTAAACTAGGGATTACGTCCCGGAACGCATCCGTCACCTGAGCTTAAATCATATCAACATAAAAATAATTACAATGTACTTCAGGTTTATGTTAGTAAAAAATTAACAATTACTATTATTTTATTTAAACAGGCAATGTAAATTCTAAATTCTTTAGTGAAGTTTTAGAATAAAATAAGTTCTCAAAAAAATGAAAGGTTAATAAAAATATAACAAATTACATGATTTAATAAATTTAAAAAAATATTCTCTTATAATTTATACTTTTGAAAAAAAACATTAATCTACTGCTTTACAAAAATTATAAATATGTAAACAAAACATAAAGTACATTGTAAAAAAAACTTTAATAACTGACACAAATTTTGATTTTTTCATTAGTATATTAATTGAAATCTTTTACTTTATTCAATATAATAATTAACAAGAAACAATTTTTCAATTATATTTAAATATAAGCATTTCGATATTAAAATATTATTTTCCGCGATAAGAAAAAATTTAGACAAAACACGAATATTATTTTTCAATACAAAATGAATATATTATTATAAAAAAAAATTAATTATTAAAATTTAAGGAAACTTTTATAAACTACGTCACTCTTCTTAAGGTAGCTCGGGAAAAAAGTGTATATATGGCGGTTTGAACATTAAGGGTTAAAGGGCGGGAGGGGGGGGGGGTTGTGCCTGCGCGAAATAGGGTCAAAAAAAGGGCAACGTAGTTTATAATTACCCTTTTGTGTAATAATAATTAAATTAATTATTTATTAAAATATATTCATTATTAAAATTTAATTATAGAAACAAATTCATATGAATTAGTTCATATGAATTTTATAATCGAATCAAAGAAATTATTTGTGTCAGCATTGTCACTATATTGTTTAATTTTAAAAAAGACTCACCAATCATTCCCGCGTCGAAAATGTTGAAGAGCTATACGCCGCATTGCTCATAGATCCTCCCATCCTCCTTTATAGTCAAGTAGTAAAGACATCACACAGTCAGCCGTTTTTCCTCTTCAAAATTCTTAATCTTTCATCCTTCCTCTTCTTTTAAATCATCCTCTTGACACAGGTATAACGTATCCATAAATTGAAAAAAATTTCGTTTTTCCTCTTCAACAAATTCTTAATCCTTCATCATTCGTGTTCTTCTGAATTTCGCACTTGACACACACAATTTTACTGAAAAAATTTATATACATAATTATTAATGAATCTTATTCAAATATAGATATTTATTACATTTTGTAAAATTAGAAAAAAAGTTATCATCATAATAATAATAATATTAAATTTCCAATATTGTAAAATTAAAAAAATATATTTTTATGTCAAATCTATAAAACTCGGTTAATAATTATTTATAATTATCTGTTCTGTTTAAATTTTCACTTATTTTTAAACCATAAACTCAAATTGAATTTTAGGAATAAAACAAAATTATTAATTAATGTCAAAAGTTATAAATTTCAAAAATTATTTTATTAAATTAATAAATACTCACAACTTCCATGAATTCCCTCCAACAAAGACGACCCCAGCAAGATGATAATCTTCAAGTCATTCGTCTCCAGAGATCCCTCCTCAGGGTTAGAATCGAAATTTCCATGGATTGAAAATTCCGACAATAACCTTTTTTTAAGGAGACCGGATTTTAATAACTCGAATTTCTCTACTTGCTGTACCTAGAGCCTTTTTGCCAAGTATAAGTCATCCATACGAGGAGCTAAAAAAATAAATTATGGCATAATTACTTATGCACATCTAAAAAAAATGATAGAAAAAACCAAAGTATTTACAACAACAATGTATTGTTGATTGATTGAGATGTTATTGGTTATTAATTAGCTAGAGACAATATTTTAAAAAATATATATTGTTCTTTGAATTAAAAAACATTTTCGATAAAAAAAGTTTTTGATAAACTTACCATATTCAGGTAAAAATTTCGCAAATAATAACACAAGGACATTGAGTTCGTCCAGTTTTCTCCAGAAAGAGTGGCACCATACAGCTGAAAAAAATTAATTTAAATAGAAAAAATCATCAAAACAGTTTTAACAACGATTTATAATTACAACCATCTTGAAAATTCTATTACAAGAGAATTGCAATTTTTTGAAAACGCATAAATAATTTTCAATAAGAAATGTTTTCTTTAAAAATGTAATTATGTTTCCTTTAATAAGTTTATTTTTCAAATATACACGAAAAAAAAAATTTAATCTGGAACAGTGAAATTTTTAATACAATAGTAAAAGATTTAACTGAAACAATTAGAACTTTTGCTATTAAAATCTTTTGCTGTTCCTGGTAAATCTATTTTTCCGTGTATAAAACTAGATTAATCATCATTTATAAATATTTGTTCAAATTGTTTAAATTTTAACTGTTTTATTTCCTAACCTCGAATTGAATTTTAGTAATAAAATAAAGTTAATTATTAATTAATATCAAAAGTTATACATTTCAAAAATTATTTCAATAAATTAATAAATACTTACATTTTCCACGAATTTCCTCCAACAAAGACGATCCCAGCAAGATGATAATCTTCAAGCCATTTGTTTCCAGAGATCCCTCCTCTGAGTTAAAATCAAAATTTCCATAAAATGAAAATTTGGAAAATAACCTTTTACAAGGAGACCGGATTTAGTGGCTTGAATTTCTCTATATTGCTGTACCTGGAGCTTCTTCTCCAAGTATAAATCATCAATACAAGGAGCTGAAAAAAAGAAATTAAATTATTGATTTATGCACATAATCTAAAAAAATAATGGAAAAAATCAAAACATTTTTAACAATTTGTTGTGGATTGATTGAAATTTTGTCAATTATGCACAGTTTTTGAGAAACTTACCATATTCCGAAAAAACTGTAGCAAATAGCCAAAATTGACTTCGTCAAATTTTCTCCAAAAAGAACTACCATACGATGGCACCACACATGAGGAGCTGAAAAACAGAAATTTAATCATTGAATAGAGAAAATGATTAAACCATTTTTGACATGATCGCCGCCATCTTGAAAAAATGTTATTAAAAAATAATTGCAATTTTTTTGACAACGCCTACTTAATTTTGAACAAGAATCCTAACCTATAAGTATTATTACAACACAAAATCACAACAGAGTATTTCAATTATGAAAATTAGAGAGAAATTATTCCAATTTTCTCACTTTTGAGGACGTACTACATATTGATAACAATATATGATTCAACGTACACAGCAAAAATACATTGACGATTGTCACAAATTTTGTCGACAATTAAATATCTGGGTGTAATGTTATTAGAAAATATTGAACACCTTGACTGAAGGAATAGATGAGAAAAAAGTTTTTATAATATACTCACAATTTCTGAAAAAAAATATGAAAAATAAGAGCTGATGTGATCACAACGTGAAAAATTTGGCAGCAAGATTAAAATGAGAAAGTAAATGCTCTGATTGGCTGAATGTAAAAATTGGCGGTAAAGTAAAAATACTCCGACCTGACGCCTACCGTCCATTTATAGAACTAACAACCTAATTTCCCTGTATTACCGACTTACAGACGCGTTGTCATTGGTCGTTTCAAATGAGAGGGAAGATTTGAATTATTATTTTTAATTACTAATTAATGTTATAAATAAAAATAATTTTTTCTCTAATCAAATTTTTTACTTATTATTGTTTATTGTTAAAATATAATAAAAAATGCCAATAAATTTTGTAGACAATTAATATTTGCATTTTAATTGATCTCTATTATTATTATTAAAATATGAAAATTATTAAAAATTATTAGTTAAATTATTATAAATATTTATTTATTTTATTCAAATTATATTAAAATTAAATAATTATTATTATATATATTATTATATAATATATTATTATTAGAATTAAATTAATTATAATTTTAATTAATAATTAAAGAATTTAATTATCTATATATTATGTAAGTAGCAAACTGCCAGGAAAAAATAACCTCAAATTGCATTTTGGCAATAAAATAAAAAAAATTATATTACATATATAATATTAATTAATTAATAAATACTTACAATACCAATAAATTCGATAAGACGACCCCAGCAAGCTGATAATCTTCAAGCCATTTGTCCCCGGAGATCCCTCCTCTAGGTTAAAATCGAAATTTCCATGGATTGAAAATTTCGACAATAATCTTTTTCAAGGAGACCGGGTTTTAATAGCTCGAATTTCTCATCTTGCTATACTGCGAGCTGAAATTTTCATCAGGACCATATTAGGGGATCTGGAAAAGACAAATTTAATCACTGAATCAATATTTTATGCACAAAATCTAAAAAAAAAATTAGATGAAAACTCAATACATTTCAACAACGATGTACAATCGCCGCCATCTTGAAAAAAAATGACATTATTGAACAAAGGCGATGACAACAATAAAAAAAGTCTCAATATAAATTATAACCTATAATTTCTGCGACTATAAAACCTAAACCTATACTTTAAATGCAAGAATTCAGGTAAAATTGATGTGACAATGTATCCTGAAAAAACCTGATGCAAGCAAAATAATAATTTCACAAAAAATCGAGGAATGACGCGAAAACGATTTTCACAAATTTTGTCGATTATTCATCAGCTAAAGACAATATTTTTATAAAATTTATTGTCCCATGAGTTAAAAAAGTAGCTGCGACAAAAAAGTTCTCGCGAAACTTACCAAATTTAGGAAAAAATGTCGAAAATAACAGCCAGCGAGACGAACTTCGCAAAGCTTTCCACATGAAGTGAATGAGTAAAAGTAAAACTGCGCTGATTGGCTGAATGGCAATGTTCGCGGGAATTTGAATCGTCGAGTGGTGTCGTCTACTGGAAATTAAAAGAACTTTTAACCTATCCTCTACATTATCATATAGAACTCTCATTTCTATTGGCTGTCTAAAACAAGCGGGTAAATGGTTTGAATTTAAAAAAATAATTAAAAAATGTACGAAACATGATTTTATTTTAAATAATTTATAAACAAACCTTTGTATTGAAATTAAATTGTAAATTAAATTAATTAAAATTATTAATTAATAGTAAATAGTAATTAATAGTATAATTATTAATTATTTTAATTATTATTAAATATTTAAATAATTTAATTATTTTTTTCCAGTTAAATTGTTGTGGATTTAAATAATTTTTTTAAAAAATCAATTGAAGATCGATTTTTGAAATGTCTCAATTTGTTTATCTATAATGACCGGAAATAAATGTCATTTCTATGAGAGTGGATTTAATACTGTGATTTTATATCAGTGGTTAAAAATAAAATCTGAAAAGGTGGCTCGAGCCATACACTCGAGTCTCCTTTTTATTAATTTATTATGGATGGTGTAAATAGAATGAATAAACAAAGAAAACGTTCACGAAGCCGAATGTCAAGGGACATTATATTTGCCACAAAATTAAAACAACACAAGAGAAAACAAATTGCTAAAACGAAAAAATGTATGTGTCTTCCTTCAAATTATGTACACATTGAATTTCCCTCAGTTTGGTCCGAACTCAGGTTTGCTTTTTTTAGAGTTTATAATTTTTTTTATTACTGGATATTTTAATTTGTTTTAAATAAAAATTTTCTATGATAATTTAGGTTATGTTTCAAGATTTTTTGTTTACATTTCGATAGCCACCGATTATATAAAAAATAAATATTTACTTTACTTACTTATTTTATAGAAAATAATATGTCTTTATTTTTAGGACAAATCAACAACTTTGCGATGGTGTGATTCAATGCGGTGAAAATAAAATTTTTCATATTCATCGTGCAATTTTATCAGCAGTGAGTCCTTATTTCAAGGCTCTTTATACGAATAGTTTAAAAAATGGAAAAGCTGATATCACTGAAATTACGATTGATATTGTTCCGGCTACTATTTTTGAATTAATTCTTGATTTCGCTTATACTGGTACATGTAAAATTACACCTGAGAATGTCGAACAACTTTTATCGTATGCTGATCAATTTGAAGTACTTGGCGTCATTCAATTATGTTGTCAATTTTTATTGGAAGAATTAAGACCTGACAATTGTCTAGGTAAATTATTTATTTATTTAGAAAATATAGAAATTTTAGAAATTAAAAATTAAAAAATTAATTATAAAGGAATTTTCAAATTTGCTCGACATTATTTTTGTCAAAATTTGGAGGAAAAGGGACGTAAATTTATACGCTGTAATTTCAAGCAAATTGTAAAAGAAAGTACCGAATTAAAAGATATTTCAATTGAAGAATTGGAATTAATTCTACAGGATGATGAATTAAATGTACGTTATGAGGAATTAATTTTTGAAGCAATTAAATTTTGGATTGAGACAAAAATTGATGAGAGAAAAAAATATGTACCTCGACTACTTAATTGTGTTCGATTTGGTTTTATGAGTTCCAAATTCTTTAATGACGAAGTACTTAATTGGAAAATTTTTCATAACGACAAGGTAACATATCTTCTTTATCTGAAATATAAAAAAGAAAATTTTTTTATTTATTAATAATATTTTTTATTATTAAAGGACTATAAACGAATTTTACATCCAATGAGCACCTATCTCGCTGGACAGGATTCGAGGACAAATGGAGAGTCGGATTTGAGAAATCCTTTTTTAAGACCTAGAATTCCTCATGAAATTTTATTTGCTATTGGTGGATGGAGTGCTGGTTCACCAACAAGTTTTATCGAAACTTATGATACCAGGTAGTAAAAAAAATTAATTTAAATTAGTTTTATTCAAAATTATTTAATAATTTAATTTTTTTGCAGAGCTGATAGATGGTATCTTTCAGTAAATACAGATGTAATACCAAGAGCATATCATGGAATTTGCACTCTTAATAATTTAATTTATGTTATTGGTGGATTCGATGGTAACAATCATTTTAACACTGTTCGTTGTTTTAATCCAGTTACAAAAGAGTGGAAGGAGAAAGCCTGTATGTATCACTCGAGATGTTACGTCAGTGTTTGCACACATGGTAAAAATATATAATATATATTTTAGAAAATATATTTAACATTAAATAATAAAATATCAAGTTATTTAAAAAAAATTTCATTCTAGACAGAAAAATCTATGCTTTGGGTGGATATAATGGTCGAATTAGAATGAATTCCGCTGAACGTTATGATCCTGAGAGAAATCAATGGGAAATAATTCCATCAATGCATCGTCAACGTTCAGACGCTAGTGCAGCATCGCTTGGAAAAAAAATTTACATAGTCGGCGGTTTCAATGGTCACGAGGTTCTTCAATCGGCTGAAGTTTTTGACACTGAAACTAATGAATGGAGTTATATTTGTTCTATGAATATTCCACGATCCGGTGTTTCGTTAGTGGCATTTCGCGATAATTTATACGCTCTTGGTGGATTTAATGGATACTTACGACTTAGTTCTGGTAATTTTTTTTAATACATTATAAATAAATAAATATTTTATTTGACGAAATTTACAGGTGAACGATTTACTCCCCACAACAATCAAGGCTGGCAAGAAATTTCCGAAATGTTTTGTCCGCGAAGTAATTTTGCGACTGTTATTTTGGATGATATGATTTACGTTATTGGCGGATTTAATGGTATCTTTTATTTTATGAATCTCAAGAGATTTAGGGGAAAAAAAATGATTCCTTAAACAATTTTTTTTAATATATAAAAATTTATATAATTTAAGGTTCAACGACTATTGCTTTTGTTGAATGTTACGATGTTGATGCTAATGAATGGTATGAAGCATCAGCAATGAATTTAAATAGAAGTGCATTAGGTGCATGTGTTGTTGCCGGTTTGGAAAATGCTCGTGAATATTCATATTTGAGTAAAGCTCTTAATCATGATCAAGGTACAATTTTTTTTGTTACATTTTGATTATTTGTATTATTATTTATAAAGCAAAATTTAGAATAAATTAATAATAGGGAAAAAATCATCGAAGAATCAAGACAGGCCAAATCAAAGTGGCGAGGGATCCTCAATGGTATTGAATACTACACGAAGTATTGGAGAACCACATCGTCAAATTGGTCCAATAGACGGAATGGCAGAAGGTATAAATCATCCCCTTCCGGGTGAAGATATAAATAATGAAGATTTACCTAGAGAACACTAAAATTAATTTTAATGCTCTCTAAAGGTAAAATTCTTAAAAAAATTTCCATATTTCAAATTCCCACATTTACATTATATTTCATTTTTTCGAGTTTTCTCAATGTTAACGATTTATATTAATTAACGCAAATTACTTTTTAATGCTCTCCTTCAAGAAAAGCTCTTTTAAATTTTATTTTATATTTTTTAGACAATTTTTTTCCCTGGAATATAGAATTAACAAAATTTCTTATTTCATTTTTTTTAACATTTTTTTTTTATCTCAATTTACTGTAACGAATACTTTTGTAGTCTATTATTTTTTTATTTTATTTTTATCCAGAAAAGGAGTACATAATAATAATAGAAAATTATAGAGAATTTTTAATCAAATTTGTATAAAATGAAATTATATCGAAATGATGTTTCTTATTTTGTTTTTTTTTCAGTAGGTTTTAGATATCATTTGCAATCAAAATAATCATTAATAAATAATTTTTATTTATCAATGAAAAATAGAAAACCAAATTTTACAGAAATAAAAATCTTTTAGCTAGTAATAATAATAATTACAATTTTTATTCATCTATTTCACATTATGCAGATATAGTTTCTTTATATCATTATCGTATGTATATTGTATACACTGTTACTTTTTTTCTTTGGTGTTTCCATTTTTTTAAAAACAGCATTTCTCACTCTCCCTGTTTCTTTTCTTTATACATGCAAGATGTTTTTTTTTTTTATTATTTTTGGGAAGTTTTCATTTCTTATTCTCTATTCCAAAGAAATAACACTGAACTTCAGGGCCACAAAACTGCAATAATTCTATATGCAAATTATCCCCGAATAAAAATCATTTATATAAACTTCCATTATAGTTTATTTAGGATTTCAATTTGTTAGTTTTTTTTTTATTTATCTTTTCTATTTTGAAGTATTCTTTGTCAATCACTTGCAATTTTGTAATTTAAATTTTTCTAATTATTTCTTGGACTCACAATTCTCGATAATTTATTTATTTATTAAGAATCGATATAAAAACTAACTTGTTAATCAATTTTTTGAAATCCTACAGTAAACAGTTGTGACTCTGATAATTTTCTAGAAAATTGTGCCTTAGGTATATACCATTAAAAATGTTTAAATGACGAGTGTACAAAGTCAATTCACAATTAGACTTCAATGTTACAATTATAATAACGATGTAATTGAGCAAACAATAGGACAGCAATCAAAATGCCTTGATTATTAATATTATTATTTCTTTAATTCCCATTTTTAAAAAAAAAGCAAACCGAGAGATTCTAGAAGTAAATCTAAATTGATCGTCTTTCGTAATATCACGTAGTGTGTTAATATATTTAATAATTTTTTTTTTTAATTCTTTGTGCACAATATTTTAATTCCTTGTTGCGGATTTGGAAAAAATTGTCAGAAACAATTTCGTTTAAGACAGAAAAATTTTTTTATCGCAATTTCTGTTTGAAAAAGTACTTTTCTTTTGTTAAATATAGAAAAAGTTCTACAGTCATATCAGTTCTTTGAAAAAATCAAAAACGATTCATTATATAAATTTTAAATCGATATTGAATAGAATTATAATTATAAATTGTATTTTATATCATGATATATAATATAATAATCGTTGGAAATATAAACTTTTTAAATCGATGCTTAGAAAATGTTTGATCGTTTCAAAAAACGTGTAGGAAATACGACGAGATTTTTGAGATTTTATAATCATAAGTATTAAAGTCGTTACATCTTTAACAAGCGCACGGATTTTTTTTTTATACGAGATGGAAAATGTACTTTTTTTCTTAATAATACATACTTGAATGTGTGCGCAGATATATATTTATTAAACTCACTCTCATCGATTTCAGTTTTAATAAAGACTTTTTTTTAAATTCCTCCTGGAAGACAATTTCTGAACTAAATTAAATAATGAATCCCTATAATTATTAATATCAATAAACTAATTAAGTAAACTTAAACGATTAACTAAATAATTAACAAGTTATTAATTAATTAAATTATATTAATAATTAATAAATTTAATTTATTTTGCAATTACTAAAAACTATTGGAGGGAGATTGTGTTTCTTTTTCTGTTACTGATTATTTATACGAATATTCGTTTTGTTCCACACATATTACTCTTTTTCTTTGCAAAACAGTCACTTTTTAAATAAAAATCCATTTCTTTAAAACTATAATAAAAATTTAACAAGCATTTCTCTCTCATTTAAACCCTTATGAAAAAATATTACAAGAAAAGTAATAAACATTTATTTCATGCTTTTTATAACAATTTTTCTTCTTTTTTTGCAAAAAAAAAGAAATTAATTCATATATTTGTCAAAAAAGTCCAGAATCAATGAAATAAGTAAATATTAGTTTTTTAAATTAAAATAGTACAATTATTTATGATTATAAAATGAGAATGAATGAGAATTTTTTTTCTTGTAATATTTGAAAATAATAAATTTCTTCCCTTGCAAAATTGTTTTCGCGCGCATTTCTTTTTTTTTTTTTTGCATTGCTTGGTAATAATTTTCGTCGCACACATCACACGCATGCACATTTTATCTGAGGGAGAACAATTGACATACGTTTTATAACTATTCTATAACTCTTTCACTCTAAAAAAAAGATATTTTAAGGCTCGACTTTAAATTTGAAATTACAATATTCCTATAAATAATTAAAGAAAAAAGATATTCAATTTAAATCTAATTATATTGAATTTTTGTTTGTAATTTAATAATTTTATATAATTTTAGATTTAAATTCAATTCTTGAATTTAAAATTGCGTTTATAGTCGAACCTACTAAATTTTTTTTACATTTATTTTAATGATTTATAACCGAATCCATTTTGCATTTTTTTCCTTCATTTTAGGAAATTTCAATTTTGTTAATTATGCTTGACAATCATCTTTTATTTAACTGTTTATTTCATTATACTTGTTTGTTATTTTCTTGTAAAAAAAAACATACAATTATCTCAAAGTATAAAAGTGATTTTTTGTTTGAAAAAAACCAACATTAGCGTAATTTTTTTTTGTATTTCTTTGTATATAAAATTTTTTGTATTTTCGAAATGGATTCGGTTTTAAGTTACAACTTCTCCTTTTACAAGAGTAGTAGAAAAAATCCTTTATTCGAAATTTTCTTCTTGTTAATATCATAAAAATTGTAAAAATTTAAAATTTAAACACTAAACCATTATTATTATTATACATTTTCTTTGTCGATTAAGGAATTTTTCTTCAACTCTTAATAATGAATCGCGAGAATGTATTTGGAAATATATTCTATATATATGTATATATATTATGTATTTAAAACCACTAAATTTTTTTTAATGATTGTTATTTTATTCCTAAAAAATCAATTTAAAATTCAGTCATTTTTAATGCTATGGATCGAATTCGTGCGATTCTTTTCTTCCTTCACGAGATTTCTAAAAAAATTTTTGATGCGCCTCATTTTTTGATACATGTTCAACTTGACTCTCTACTTTTTGGATATAATAATTAATGCTAATAACTCAATTAATTATTATTGGCAATAATTTTTGTTTCTCAACATCGTCGGACATTTTTTTCAATTAACGCAATTTAGCTATAGTAATAATTTTTTTTATTACATACTAATAATCATAAACTGTTAATAAATTAATTAAAATGTAATAAAGCAAAAAATTCTTTAAAATAAAAATATAAAAATAATTAAAAACGTTCTTTCTTTTATTATGGGAGATGAAGTAATTTGAAAATCTCACGGATTAGGCCACATAATTTTTGTGGTGATTGAATTTGTGAATGAATTGATTTTTGGAGAAGATGTAGAAGAAAGGGCACATAAAGTTTTTATTTAAATTAAAAATTCTATTGAAAATCATTTAAATAAAATTAGAGAATTTTATTGAAATAAAGTTATTAATTTTAGTTAAAAATTTATCTAAAAAAATCTTTTTCGATTTAAGTACTGTTTTCCTTTCACTACAGAAGGAAAGAAATGTACATTTATATATTTATATATATTTGGGAGTCATGCGAATTTCAATGAAATCTCATTCACTTTCTATAAAAAACTTAACACTAATTTAAAAATTGTAAGAGATAAATCACGTTATACAAAATTCTAGTGCGCTTGCCGAAACATTTTTTCGAACATTGAAAACGCTTCTAGAAATGCTAAAACGAGGTAGGCCTCCTTTTAGTTACAGTCCTTAAGTTCGATTGCGATTTTTCGATGAAAGAGTCAAAGTTCGTGACACCTTTTATTAAATTACCCGAAGGGAAAAATTTAATTGTAAAATTAAAATTTCAAATGAATAGAAATTATATTAATTTCAATTTATATCCCATTAAGTTTAATTTTAATCAGCAATTATGTTTGAGTTTAATTTTAAAAATTAAATGAAATAATTAATGTTTTAATTAATTTATAATTAAGTAATTAATTTGAAAGAATAAAGTCGGTTTATAAATTTTCAAAATGCGTCCCATTTTTCAGATAAATGAAATTAATTTTTTGGTTTTGTTTTTATTTTTTTTTTTTTGTAAAACTTGTAAAAATTTCGTCGAACCGACGATTCGATTTTTTCTTCTTTTGGTTTTTGTACGACGAAAGAGAAGCTTTTCATGAACACGGCATAATCTAATATATTTATTCTAGCCTACTCAGTGGACGAGCCTTGGCATTAAAACAAAGAAAATGAAAAAAAGAAAAACTTATATTGTACTATCGCGATTCCAAGGCATGCGTCGACGACGGAATTTTCATGTCCTTAGTTATTTTGTTTTTTCTACTAGAATTTTTCATTTTATCATATTTATCATCACGCTAAAACATTCCGTTCTTTTATCTAAAATATTTGAGACCCGCCACGAGGAAGAACTTCTCGATAAAAAGCTCTGAATCGAGGACGGCGATGTGCGCAGCTCTGCCAATGAGGGCGTTTGCCGTTGGAGGTAGAGCATGATGAACGTCGTATCTCACTAAACTGACACCTGGTGCTGACATTATTGGATAAAGAATATTGTGAACCATTTCCCTGTAGGCCGCCCCTGATTAAAATTCATTTAGAACATTTATTTTCAATAAGAAGAAATTTTACCGAAAATAAATGTAAAGAATAAAAAAAAAGATGAAATAGTAAAAAATAATTGTAAATAATTTAACGAGCAAAATTGGCTAACAAAAATCAGAATGAAAAACACAAATGTTTAAAAATAATTGAATATTGATTTTTATAAATAATTATTAGAAATTTTTCAATTAAAATTAAAACAATTTTGTTTTATTTTTAATTTTGCCCTATGAATAGGATATTGCTTTTGAAAGTTCGGTTCAACCTAGTTTCATGCAGAAAAATATCAGAGGTCAGGAATAGAATCGATTTTAGCATTTACATTGTTCTTAAAAAAAAGGGAATTCTCAATTCACATGAATGATTTTGATTCTCAATGGGAATTAAAAAAAAAATCCATAGTGTTATCAATTTTTTTTTTTTTTTAACAAAACAAAAATAAAAGATAAAACTTACCTTGATCAGTGGGATCTCGAACAGCGGCCTTGCAGAGTTCTATACGAGCAGAATGAAGTGGCACGTAACGATCCTGAGCACTTCCACAAAGTAGTACATGCTTGAATTTTTGCAAGTTACTCTTTTGACTCAAACGAAACATAAAAGAACGCCTAACATCCGAAGCATCTTTCATTGCCAGTTGAAGTAAAGAACCCGATTTTTTCCACTTCTGCATGAACCACATTCCTAAAAAAAAAAAAAAAGTTTAAATAATTTTTTCAAACAATAAGTTTAATTTAGAAAAAGACTTACAAAAAATAAAATATACAAATTTGTTTTAAGTTAATTAAAATCAATTAATAAAAAAAAGAGTGTAAAATATTTTATACTGAATTTCTTATTTTACTTTGTTTTTGTTTATATTAATATTTATATCCAACCTGCATTTACGAGCCCGCTCGTATTGTAAAGGGTTCCTAAGTGAGGTCCACTGAGACTGAGAAAAGTATGTAAACGAGGAAGAAGTGGTCTCAACTGAGGACGGGTGAGAGCACTTCGAATAATGATGGTCCCTAAAGAATGTCCAATGAAGCTTACTTTTGCTGGATTTAAACCAGAAATCTCGATATGGTGAAGAATTTCACCCACAAGACGATCAGTCATTGTGTCAAAGTCCGAGAAAGTATCACCCTAAGAAATAATTTTTTTATCAATTATAAATAATCATAAATTTTCAATTAAAAACAAAAATATTTTATTTTTTGCTTTAAAAAAAAAAAGCATTTTATACCTCATTTCTTTCGGACATGAGAAAATCGAGATGAGCTCCAGGAAGTCCCAATTCCAGATATGTCTTGACTAGACGAAGATCGGCTGCATTTCCATCGAGGCCATGAACGCAAATGATGAGATGTGCTCCCTCAGGTGAAAGCAATCGATATTCGTCAGGGATGTGGAAATACGGCATCGTCGAAGCCAGTGAGGGATAATCGCTAAGAGGCACAATGGGTCTTAGAGGATGACGATGAGCGCGTTTACGGAAACGAAACAGCGGGGCGATATGTTCTCTAAAGGATGGTGAACTGATAAAACTTAATTATAAAATAGGATCAAATTAATTTCCAAAATAACTCAAATCACAAACAAAAAGAGAAAAACTCAACACATCTGGTGAGGTGTAAAAAAAAAATAGTAAGCTTGAAGGAAAAATAATTTTGTGAAGTTGCAACTCCAGGAACATTAAGCCCCAAATTCCAATCAATAAACAATTATATTAATTTGCATCGAATAATTTATCTCCTTTTTTGATTTTTAATTTGCTATCGTTAAAATTTATCAATTGGAAGGTGAAAATTTTGTTAAATACGTTACGAACAGGAAGATGAAGGTACAATGTAAGCTCAAATCTAAAGATACATTTCAAACAAAAAAGTGCAGATGCATTTTAAACAAAAAGTTAAACCCGTGAAAAAAACAGGTATGTTTCAATCGGAAAAGTGAAGATATATTAAATTTAAATAAATATTTAATATTAATATTTAATATTTATCAAAAACAGGAAAATTTTCAAACAAAAATCTAAAATTTTTCAACCAGAAAACTGAAAATACGCGAAGCTGCATATAGAATAGATTTGAAGAAGCAAAAAATACATGAAGCAAAAGCATATTCGTAAGTCAAGTAAAAAAAAAAAATTTCCCCTCACCTATAAATTTTTCCCGAGAAGCTCATTTGTCTCTTGAATTCTTCCTTGCATTTTTTGAAATTAATAAAATCATCCTGCGTCGATTGAAGCAATTCCTTTCCCTCTTGATAGCAATCAAGACAAATATCTCTCGTACTATAGAAACCGTCTTTATTTCTCTGCGGACTACAGGGTGCCGTTTTATTTTGTTTTGGACTTCGTGCTTTTTTCACCGATTCGTAAACATGATAGAGAGGATTATCAATTGGCGCTGGAGGATCACGAAATTCCTCTGGTGGCGGTGGCTCGTCTTGAAACATTTTAGGCGGTGGAAGTCGTACCTCCTCGTATGAATTATCAACAATTGTATCTTTTGGCGATTTATCCTTTCGTGCAATGATTTTCGACAATTTTTGTCGAAGTTGTTCACTTGATATTTTACCACGTCTATGCTCAGAACTTGATGTATCGCCACTGCTCACCCATCCTGAACATTCGGATGTTAAATTACTCGAACTTGAACTCGGTGTGGGACTACTTGGTCGTGATGATGGTGGACTTGGAGGATTTGCAATAATTGGAAGATGATTATTAATCAGACTGTCTTTACTGTCGCGAATTGGCATACAGGGCAATGAAACTGCACTTCGTGGTACAATCATTTTATTCTGAGCTACTGGCACGCTGGCGCACCTCAGTCTTCTTAGATTTGGCAATGGTGCACCTGGAATAAAATTAAATTTTGTTAAATTCAAAAAAAAAGAATCAGGAGAAAAAAAGGAGCGAAATTTCTCACCGGCGATAGAAGAATCAGAAGGTGTGGTACCATTGGTGGCAATTGGATCAACTGGCGATTTGATAGGCTCAACTTTCAGAATGATTTTATTGTTGTTTTCGACTTCCAAAACGCTGGTTGTCAATACTGATGTCGGTCGTTTAGGCAAGGGAGCTGCTATCGTCGAATCCTGATAGCCAGGTGGTGGTGGTGCTGGTTTTCGATTCCTGTGATTACACTTTTTTCTCTCATCACCATCGATTGTTGGCGCTGAATGAGGTCTTCTTCCATGTCTATCTCTTCTTCTTGGCTCACATCGAAGTTCAGATTTCACTTCCGTATTTGTTGCAATTACTTCATAAAGATGCTCCGGCGGTGATTCGATTTTCTTTTCAAATCTTCTCTGTTTCTCGTCATTATCCAAAGTTCCATTTTTCGTTCCTTTAGAAATTTTTTCCAATTTCTCTTTTCTTGGCGGAGGTTCTTCCCTTCGGACATCGTCAAAGAGTCTTTCTGTACTTTTTGGTTTCTTAAGTTTTTTGGAATCCTCTGGAGTTTTTCCATTGATGCCATTTGTTCGATAGAACAAGGAATCGAGATTTCCATAGACGCCATTTGATCTTTTATTTAAAGGATCGACGAGAAGTGAATGATGACTATTTGTTCCGTTTGTAATTTCGTTGGGTTCCCTGCTTCTCGGAGCAGTGGAAGATTTACCCGAAGTGTGATAACGTCGATTGTCGAATGTATTCGACTGATATTTATTGCTTGATTGTTGACCGTGTTTTTTATTTGGATCACGATACGTAACACGATCAAGAGTCGATGTATAGAGACCTTGAGTCTCGGGTAATAAGCTATTACCATTGGTGGTTGTTTTGGTCGAGTCAAAAATTATTTGATCATTTGCGTGCGGTGCTCGTAGAGCGAGTCGATGACTTCTTGGTTCTAATCTTATCCTCCTCGTGTCTAGAGAATGTGTGCCTGTAAAATATATATATTTGTCTTCATTTTTCATCTATGGCAACTTTCCAAAATAAGATGAATAAACTGAAATCTAATTTTAGATTTTATTTTAATTGTAAGAAAGTTGGGTCAAAATTATCATTTTGGTATATACTCACCGTCGCCAATGAGGTTAGCAGCCTTGGTGTTTGAGGTGAGACAGCTGGTGAGCTGAGCTAAATCCAGTGTTCCCACGCAGGTGGGTACGGTGAGATTGTGCTCATACGATTTTGCGGAGGGTCGATAACCGGGAAAGTGGTCGCCAGACGGAATTTCGGGGAACATCGCTGCCAGCAATGACGTGATTGATGTTGACTGAGAGTCAATTGGACGATGACAGGAATTTGGCACGAGCATTTGAGTGGATTTAGCGCGTGGAAGTGTGACAATCGGTGTTGAGCCCAACGATGGATTTGGTGCTGAACAAGCCTGTTGTCGTGATGGTGGAATAAGTGTTGCTCCCGAAGACATTGAGGATTTCGAACGTCCCCGTGATAATGGAACAGTCGTTGGTGGTGTGACATTTCTACCGCCACGCTGCTGTCTTGGAAAGAGTTGCGTCGACGCCGATCTTGGAAGTGTTTTTGGCGATGTCCTTGGTTGCAAAGGCGTTATTTCCGGTCCCAATTGATCCAGTGATTTACTATGACGTGCCGGAAGTGCCGAGGGCGCCAACATAAAACGAGCCTGAATCGAATTAATATCCGACACTATACCGCTCTCACTTCGCGGCGACCAAACACTCACATTTCGTGAATCCATCATTTGATTTATCCCACAACTGCAGTCATCTATATCAGAAACTGAAGTAGTGAAAGTAAATTCATTTTGGTGGAAAAATTTGACTTTAAAAAATTTAATTTTAAATGAAATTGAGAATTTAAAATCTCACCGCTGTTTCTGTGCCTTTGCTGCATATCGGCATACTGATCCTCAAAGATCAAGGGCAGAGTATGAAGATCTCCATCCAATTCGGGACAATGCACTGGTAATGGTGGTAACGCGGCTAAATAACGTGATCTCCTCGCTGCTTCGCTCACTGCTTGATAAGATTGATAATTTGCATCATAGCAACCGGCAGCTGAAGTTCTGGGATTTTCCGATACAAAGAAGCCTTCCGCAAAACGTTTCACCTGAAAACGATTAACGTAAATTACATTTATTAAACGAAAAAAATTTACAGACTATAGATACAATTTAATTCCTTCTGGAAAAAAAAAAATTAAAAAAGTTTCAAATAGAGCGAAAAAAGGAACGGAAATTGTGGAAACATACTCTTAATTGATGATGAACTCTTGCCAGATGTTGATGAATAGCTTCTCTGCCAGAGAAAGCTTCCAAAAAATGTTGCCAAAGAACGATATTTTGAGCGCAAAGCTGTGCGATGTCAGCCTCTTCAGTATCGATCTTCTAAAGAAAAAAAAACCCCCATTAAATAATAAACTTATTTTTGTCAAAATACAAAAAAAGAATTGATTTCAAACCTTAGTGATCTCTTTGTGTGTATTCTGAGCAACTTCCAGGGTTCTTTGTTGCCACGTGGGCAGAAGCCTTGCAAGATCAGCTAAATCATTGAGCAAAGATTCGCGAGCCGCTAAGAGCAATCTCGTAACTTCCTGCTGAACTAATTTTGCGTGCTGAATCCTCGTCGCTGATCCAACACATCGTGTCGTCGTTTCCTTTAAATTAAATAAATAAATAAAAAAAATAAAAAAAAACATTTTCTAAAAATTAAAAATAATCTTACTATGTTTCCAAAGAAAAGATTGTTATCAGCATTAGCTGGAGATTTAAGCTGGACCCAAGGTTTCCCACCTCTTGGAGCACTTATAGTGAAAAAAAAGGGAATTATTTTATTTAAGATCCTACGATTTTTTTGTTTTGAATAAAAATAATTAAACTTACCAACTTTGAACGTAATGAAGAATACTTTTCCTGAATGATCCAAAATAGTTGTAGCATGCAACAAAAAATGAAAAGTATTGCTACAGTTCTGAAGAAAAATTATCTGATCGAACTTTTTGAAGGAGCATGTTGGAAGTTGTAATATACCGACTTTATGTATGGCTGATGGAGAGCCACAAGACAAGCATGAATCGTGATGGATACAGCAGCGAGATGAAAGTAATCGAAAAGCACCGGCAGATGATAGTGAAGGCCCTTTGTCGGGATGAAATTCAGTTGAAGGGCTCTGAAATAATACAGATCTGTGATTTTTCCTATCATGGAAATCTCTTCTCTTCTTGATCAAAAATACAAATTATTGATTACATTTCCGCTTACAATCCGGTAAAATAAAAATTCATACATTATAAAAAGATAATTTAGATTTTTCATTTAAAAAAAAAAAATATAATTATAATACCTAAAACATGATTTTAATTCTTTCATCTAAATGATCAACAATTTAAATTCATGATTTAAATGAAGATGACATAGACTCGTTATGAATTGAGAATGATTTGAATTCCTAATTTGAACGCGGAGATTCATCTAAATTCTTCATTAAAAATGGGAGTGAAGATTAATTTCCACGAGGCGAGTGTTGATGATTAAAAGAAAAAAAAAAAAGAAAAAACAGCTCGCGGATCAAAAACTCACCTCGATGATACACATGCCATATTTCCGGGTTGAGTTGGTTCGCTGAACCATAACTCGACTCCAAGATTAAAGTGGGTACGAGAGAGAACCTCCTCGATCTTGTGACTGTGCACGAGCACGTGCGCACGAAACAAGACCGACGTGCCAAGTGTCACCTCTTCGTTTCGATAGAAAATCTGAAAACGCTTGCTTGTACCCGGCGCTTCCAACGAGTCTGCAAAATAAATTACATTTTTTTTTCTCTTCATTTCAGAATATAATAGTGAATTGAGCAAATAACTATCGATCAAAAAGCGTAATGTCGCTCGCTATCGTTTCGTATATGAAAAACGTGACAATATTGACTTTAAATCATAAAATTGACAATTTTTCAAAGAAAAATATATTTAATTATTAAATTAAATAATATTGTTATAAAAAACTGAATATTTAAAGAAAAAATTGAAAAATGTTTTTAATATTTTTAAATGATTAAAAATTTGGATGATTCAAACTATATACTAATTGTTACTGATAGTACCAAGATTGAAAGCCGAATATATAATCGTGTTCTTGAGAGCATACAATGTTCCTTATAAAATATTCACAAACCAACTGTCGATATAATGTGGGAATATATATAGAACAGTTGACAAACTCTGAACATACTTAATTAAAGGACTGGTTAACTAGTTTGTGTGCCACTTAAAAATTCAATAAAATAATGACCTTGATCTTGCAATTTTGCAAAAAAAAATATATATATTTTATAACTTTAAAAAACCATTACTTACGATTTCGCATTTGATTAACTTCAACCTTGATGGGTAACTTCGGCGAAACTCTGAGAGCAGTTCTGATTTGATAATATCTAGAAATTTATTTTAATATGTAATATTAGATTTTAACTATGAATCATAATGACAAAATTTGTAAAGACAAATTTGTCATTTTATGATTACTTATTATTATCAAAGTACGCAGCTAATAAGAAATTCACTTCAGTACACGAATATAATTTCGAAATGACTTTGAAAGAACTTTAATTCTGATTGTATTATTCAGATTCAGACTTCTTTGATCTTCTTGAATAGTTTGCTAACTACCTTATTTCAGGGTTTGAAAATGAAACGAGAATAAAACATAGAGGGCAAGATTTATATTTCCTCAAGTTTGTTAAATTGTGGAAAAAAGTGAGAAACATACATTAAAGCAAAAATTTTTCTACTAGATATTAATAAAACATGTAGCCTTCTAGAAACTTTTTTTTCTCATTATTTATTTAATAAAAAAAAAAAAAAACATAATTACAAATTAATTTTTCTCGTAAATTAAAAAACTTTCTTGGAAAAAATCAATTTTTTAATTTAATTATTTTAATTACATAATATTTAAATTAACTTAATTATATTGAAATAATTAGCAGCTAATTAATTAAATATATCGAAATAAATAGCAGTTAATTATTTAAATATATCATAATAAAAAGCAGCTAATTTTTTGTCAATGTAAAAGTGGAATAGATTTTTCTTCAAATAAAAAAGTGTATCCAAATTGCCTTTGTCGTTTATATTAGCAATGTGAAGTATTAGGCAAATTGACTTTAAAAAAAAAATATATATGCTTATATTCAATTAAAAATCAAAGAAAAAATAAAAATGATCTCGTACTTACCCGCGCTGAAAGAGATCGACATTGTAAAACTTGCAAAGCTCGAGAGAGAACTCGAGGGTGGCCTGAAGATCGCTCATCGCTCTTCGCGACGGATGAAACCGCTCTCATCCGTTTCCCTCCACCCTCAACTTGGAATCGTATGAAGATTCGCTTCACCCACGACGATGTTACGCGCAGGAAAAATCTTCAGGATGATGACAGTGCCCTTCCCAACGTCATCTTCTCCCATCGTGAGACATCGGTTCAACCCTCGAGATACCCTAAATCAAAGGGGAAGAAAAACATTGTTAATTAGCCATCTGACACGCACTGTAATTAATAATAATAATAATAATAATAATAATATATAAATTTCTAATAATTTAAAATAAAAAAAATATATTGTTGCTATTTTTTTTTAATATTGAAAATATATGATTTTTCTGTCGTGAAACAAACGTAAAGTATATTAAACGATAATCATAAATCACGACAGAGCAAGCAAGGTAAAAGTAAACTTGATCGAGGAAAAGAGATTAGGATATTCTCGAGCAATAATTTCCTCGTTCGCTCGCGGGTGCACTTGATGTAGAGAAATCTTCTGGAAATTGGATTAGCTTATTCAATCGAGTGACGGGAAAATTCGATAAATAAAATATTCCGCAGAATTTAAAAAAAAAAAAAAATTGACAATTGTATTTGTCATTTTAAGAAAATTGATTTGCCTGTTGATTCCTAATATATATATTTGGAATATATCAAAAAATTTTCTAAATATTATCAATATCCAAAAAAAAAAATTCGAATTTTTCAGTAGAAATTGCAATACGTAAATAGAAATTTGTAAAAATTTTCCCTGATGTAAGATTCAGACTCATTTTTCAACTATATTCTCATCGTCTTTTTTTTTTAAGGGCTTGAAATTCTCGGCATAGTTTTTCAAGTATAGTGGAGAGAATGGGTTTCACTGTCAAGGTTGAGCAGAAACGATTACAACACTTTCCATTAGAGTGTCTTGTGAGATATGAAAAGAGGGTGTACTCTCGTGTGTTTCATGCTACTATAGTTGCGTCAAGAACGTATATAAGAACAATTCAAAGTGTACTCTACTGTATGTGTATGGTACTCATTCATTTCTCCCATATGTAGCTTCACATTGTCAGCTGTTAAATTCTTCAAATTTAAGAATGAAACAGATGTCGATTTTATAAAGATTCGCATTCAAGGGAAGACATTTCTTTTTTTTTTTGTATTTTCCTGGGGCATGAAGCCGGCGACATGATGACTTTGTCGACTTCGACATTTTCTTCTTTCCCTGTGTCCTACATACGTCTCACTGTTTCCACTTCAAAGCATTTCTCATCGTTTGTATATATGAATATATATGTATCTATCCATGATGCCTCCAAGTGCAACGATTCAGATGATATCAATATTCAATCATTTTTCAATTGTAAAGTATTCTCTCGAGTTCAGTATTGAGACAAATAGAATTTTTCCTATAAAAATCAACATAATATTAACAATATAATATAAAAATTTATTATTCAAATTTATTAATTCAATTTATTTATTATTAAATTGATAAAAAAAAATTTTTTTAATTAATTGTCAAGCATAAATAAAAAATATACGAATTCAAAGATTGGGAATTTGAAAGCCTCGAGGTAACTAAATGTCTCAATCCAGCTGTGATAGAAAAAAAAATAAGAATACAAATCACACCCTAGGGAAGTTTACTGGAAAAAAAATATTGCCGTCCTTCATCGTTCAGTGTCTGCGAAACGAGGTCAAATTTAATGAAAAGCAACAAAAGTTTTTGAAAGTCGAAGTAAATCACAAAAAGAAGACGTTTTTTTTTCTTCTTACAGAAATTTATTGGATTTGTATTATAAAATCCTGTTAATTATCTTGGTAATTTCTTTCACAAAATCAAACATTGATTTAGTTGAGTAAACAAAATGAAACCAAAGGTTTGTCGAAATTTTTCAAAGGATGATAATTAATTAATTTATGTGAATCTAACCATTAGTCTGTTTTCTGTAACAGAGAAAAAGAATCCTTTACGTCAAGACTGACTGCATTAATATTATAAATGAGTATAGTCAGAAATATTATTCAAACATAAATTTCAAGAGAAAAATACACATTTTTTGGTTTTCATGTTCATTCACATATATATATTTTTTCTAATTAGTTAAGATTATTAAAAATATTTAATTTTTTCGAGTACTTTAAGTAATTCTCGATTTTATTCAAGAATTGAGGAAAGTTGAAATTTTACATTTTAAATCTAGCAAAATTTTTACATTTTTTTTTTATGAAGAACTATCTTCATTCAAAATCCCGGCTGTAGAAACTCGAATTTTACGAGTGCGGAAAATCACTATTACATAAAACTATAAAAAAAAAGAAAAAAAACTTAAGAAATTCTTTGCCGCTAAGAAAATAAAAATTGTAACTTTTTATATTTGAGAGAGAAAATAACTTTTGACATATAGAAAAAGAATAATTTTTCATTTTTTGACCTTTTTTATAGTATTTGAAGTGAATTATTACTGAAACGAAGTTAACTTACATAAAAAAAAGAGAGTTTGGTCACAACTTAGTTTCTCATTCTTTTCGAATTTTTTCTAAATGAAATACAATTGAAGAAATAAAAAACGAAGTTAAATTTTAGAAATTAAATTAAATGATTTTATTTCTTTATTTTTATATTCGTTATTGAGTTTGGAAATTGTGAAAATTTGAAAAAAAAATTTTTTTTTATTTATAAGAAACTTTAATGACGCATTAGATACAAAAAGTAACTTTTTAAGTCACTAGAAATTATCTCAAACCCAATCGAGTTTCTTACAATCGGGGCTAAGTAGATAACTTCTTAGATACTTCACGATAAAGGTCTCATCAATATTTTACTGAAGTGTACTTCAATTAAAGAGTATCTGCTCATTTCAGTTGCTGACATATTAAAAAAAAAATTCATTCACTACATTAAAAGAAATTCTATAAGTAATAAAATACTTCTAATAAAGTTATGATTTTTTCATTTCAAAAATTTGACTTTCTTTCAAAAAAAAAATACTTTTCGAATAAAATCAGTTACATTTTTTATAATTTTATATATCGATTCAGTATAATTCTACTTTATAAATTTTGATTAAATATTTAGAAAAACCTTATGAATAATTATTGGAAATTCAATTTGAATGAAGCTTAAAAATTGATGAAACAATTTTTCTATTTTGAAATAAAAATCAAAAAACATATTATAAGAAAATTTATTTTTTGAAAATATCTTTTCCTATAAAATAGAAGATAATATTAAGTATGATATTACGATCATTAAGTATGGATTATCTTATTGTTAAAGCTTTAGATATGAAATGTGTTTTTCGTTGCAGTAAAAAAGTATTTTTTTTTTTATTATATCCTGTAGTATAAATACATACACTGGGAAATATCCAGCTTCACGTAGTGTCGGTAAATATTGGTTATCGGTGCTTGAACGATAATGAAACTAGAAGCCATAATGCTTACTGAGGTGATATGAGATAATCGAGAACTGTGAAAATAATAGTTTATAATCTTATCAAATCAAATATATATGTATATAAAATTCGCATTTCTTCACCTTGAGCTGTCATCTCGACATTTCTTCACATTGAAAAGGCTTCCTTTTAAAGGTCAATGGTCATCTCATTAATATTCTTTTCCATATATCGATTATCTCTTATTTATTCTTATTTTTTTCAAGTTCACTTTTTTTTTTTCCTGAATTGCTCCAAATTTCTATTTAGCTGAATTTCATAAAATTTAATTATTATTTAAAGGAAAAAAAAAAATTCTCTTTGATAGAAAAACTGTTTGTGATGATGAAAATATAGTTAAAAATTGAAAATCGAGACTTAGGGGATTCATGGAGTTTGTAACGAAGAAGGCGGTTTGTTATGAAAAGGGTTCTTGTCAGCAGGATATGACGGAGGGAGCCTCCAATGGATAGGATCGTCTAGACGTCTGACCAAATACGCGCTTTTCTACTGAATAAGGGGTGGAGATCGGTCGTCACAGGTCAAAAGAGTCACGACAATATTTAGCCACATGAATCAATATGAAATTTTCAATTTCCTTTTTCTATATATACGCATTTTCTATTTCCGATTTGAAAAACCCCCATATGGATTTACTTTCTATTTCAATCGGGAACCTCCCCCCCATGAATATTCCCTAAAATTCATTAGCTCCAAATTTCCATATGGATCGAATTTTACAAGGCCAAATTTCTATTTAAGCGGATTGAGGGATGTAGAATTTTTTATTGAACCAAATTTTCTCATCGTTGAATTTTTAAAAGTAAAAAAAAAAATTCTTTCATAAATAATTCGACGCCAATTTAATAAAACCGATAATTTAATTTCGAGAATTTCTAATCGACGAAGATGTGAAAAATATGAAGGATTAAAAATTTCTTTAATGAAATATTTCAAATGTGTTTATGCCCTTTTGTGAAATTTTTTACTCGCGAAAAATATTTTTATATTTACAAGTCTGCAATACTGGTTTTATTCACGTGGGGTTCTTATGGTCTTTGCAAATTGCAATTTATCGCCCATACGCATTTAGTGTGTGGTACACTTATTTGTCTACATTTTCGGTTCGACGAAGCTCAATCGATAAAATCCAGTGCAACAACCTTATATATATATATATTTGTTGACATAGAAAATAATCATTGATTTTTAGGCTCTTACAATTTCTTCACTAAAAAATTTACAAAAATCAGTCTGACAGATTTTAATTTGTTTAATAAATTTTTTTTTCTTCTTCTTTAATTTATTTATTTAAAAAATAATCAGTTAATTTGAATAATTAAACGAGCTAGTTTATAATGTATGAAATTTTCGAGAAACAATATAGTAAAGTTTTGCGTAACAGAGGACAGTTGGAAGTTATAGTGACATTTAATAATCAACTTTTGCCCATATCTAAGGCATAGAGAAAATGTTTGAAAATTGTATTCATTGAAAAGTTCATTAATATAAGTATGTGTATGTATGTATGTATGTATGTGTGTCGAGAGTTCACTCGAGTCTATTTAACCTTGTTAATATCAATCCACTAAGAGCACTCAAATGCAAAAGGTTGCTCTTTGGTGCGAGAAATTAATTTTCCATAAAGTTATTAAAGCCTTGATCATGTGCCATGAAAAAATTTTACACTCTCAATACGATTTCATCTCTTCAACTTGGAAAAAAAATCCGAATTAAATCCTAATTTACTTGAATTCATTCAATTTTCCCTCAATTTCAAGCTGAAAATTCATTAAATTTATAATTAATCTGGAAAATTCCTTTTAAGCTCCGTAAAAAATTTCGACAATGAACTTCGTACGTTTCTTCTTCTTTTCTTTTTTTTTTTTTTTAGAAAAATTGTTAACATAAAATAAATTTAAATATCAAAAAATTGAATTTTCTAGAATATATTTTTCAGTTAACATGAAATGGCATTTTATAAACATTGAAACTGTATAAATATGAAACTTTTCATTATTACTTTTTTTTACGTTGCAAGTTATAAGGCGCTTTTGAGTTAAAGGTAATTAATGAATTTTGTTTCTTCAATTGCTGGGAATACTCGACTCATTAAAAGAGATGTGTTTTTTCTCTTAAAAAAAGAAAATAATAAAATTTGAATTTTTTTTTTAACTCACAGACCTTCCCCCGATTTAATTAACTGATCCTCCCATGGAACTCTATTTTCATTGAAACGAGAGCCAGAGGCACTTTAAAAAGTTTTAGTCCTCGATTAAAAAAACTGTTACTGAGGCATAATAACAGTGCAGGGTCACAAGTCAAATGCACTCATTAAATACGAAATTTTTGTTAGGTATGCCATAAAGTGAAAAAAAAGTTTTTGCGTCAAATTGCAATCTATATATATTATTAGATTTCGATACTTAAAATATCTGATTAATGTCCTTTAAAAATTATTTTATCAAAATCAATTTTGTAATTTTCAAAATAAATTCTAACTTTGATGTCATTTTTTATTTTTGAAAGCGATTTGTATTTTTGTAACGAATATTTCAATGACTTTTTCTTATTTCCACCTTGAGAATATTTTTTCTTTTCATATTTCTTTCTTTCTTATATTCACACTTGGGAATATTTCTCCTATTTTTTTTTTGTTTTACCCTTTCTCATTTCCATCCAAGAATATTTCTCTTCTTTTATTACTTCATCTTTTATTACTTCCACTTTGGAATACTTTTTCTTTTTTGGTTTCTTTTAATTTATTGTTCAGACATTTTTTTTTCTTTTCCTCTTTGATTTTACTTGAAAAAGCTTCGTTTCTGGTCACTTTTTAATTTCCTTTCTGTTGTGTTTAATTTTTTTTTTTTTTGCATCACTTGTAATTCTTCAATAAATCGTTTAATAAAAACAGATTTCAATTTTAACGACAATTTGTATTTTTGCAGATAATTAAGTAAATATTTTTATTATGATTTCAAAAACATTTTATTATTAGATAATGAATTAATATAGAAAAATCATTATAAGCCTATATACTCTGCTTTTTATAGAATTTACAATTAAAGTTTAGAAAAAAAAAATTAAATATTAAAATTTATTTCAGAAATTTAATTTTTTTCACAAGGGAAAAACTATTGTATGTTCAGGAAGTGATTTAATGAAGATATCGATTTAAAAATGAATTACAGGAAGTACTGAAATTCAACACAAAAGACTTTTTTATCACAATGTTTATCCATTCTTTGTGAAAGAAAAACAAGGAGGAAAAAAAATTTACATGAACGTTATTTCCACTAGAAGAAAGTTTACACTCCAGTGGTTCATGTTTACACAAAAAGTGAAAAATGAAGAAGCCGATATTCTCTTGCTGTATCTTATTTCTTTCAAAGCCGATTATTATCAAAGTCGACTTCATTTTGTTGCTATATAAGAAAAAAAGTAATAAGATTCTCGTTACAGACAAGTTGAAAATATTATTGAAAGAGAGATTTTCAATTTTGTTTTTGATGATTCTCATAAAATGAAAAAAAAAGCAAAGACGATAAGATTAAGAAAAGAAGAGCTTTTGTTTTTTTTTTTTTGTGGTTGAAAATCATTTGGTTGAGATAGAAATTTTATATTATTTAGTACGATTCGTGCATCAGCAGCATTTACATTGAAAAGGCAGTAAGCAATGGATTGCCTGGGGCATTTAGTTTAGAACAGTTTTAGCTGCTTCTAAGTTCACTCGCTTGATACCTATTTTCTTCTATTTTTCTTAGCTTCTCGCATTGACCTACTCTCTCTTCACTGCACTAAATATACCTCTTTATTGCTTAAACATATTAAACAAAAAATAAAATTCAATTTTATTAAAGAAAATATTTTTCACTCTCTTCCATTTTCTTCTTTTCTACTTTTTTAATTTTAAAATTTAATGGAATTAAATTAAATTAAATTAAAGATTAGTAAAGCTCATTAATTTTGTTATAACAAAAATTAATTTATTGGATCATTGTTTCCTGATTAAAGTTTAATTGTTTCGAATAAAAAAAATTATTTAAAAAATTTTTTATATTATCGATTTTGTAATCTTGAGGACTAAACTTAAACGTCCTTGTAAAAAAAAAACTTCCAGCAAAAAAGAATCTTTTTTTAAAAATAGATTATCTGCTTCATGAGTTTCTAGAGGATTTTAAAAATATTTTAAAGGTAATGCGTGCATAATAAAAAATTGATAAGTGTAAATGTATTTACAATTTCCATCCTCTTGTAAATTATTAATTAATGAATTTGAATTTCTCTCGAAATTGTCAATACAGGTTTTCAATTGAAAAAGAAATCTTAATAACAAGCAAAACATGAAATCGATAAAAATTCAATGAATGAAGATGAATTTGAATTTAAAGAATCAAAATTGTGAAATTTTTTCGTCATCTAATAATATGTATATACAACAAAATTTCATTCATCCCCTGACATTGAATAACGTGTTAGCCTTCAAAATAACTCACGAGACACGGTCAGGGCGACTTCAAGACTTGCAATCACATTATCATCATCGTCATCATCATCATCAAGTGGAAAGAAGATAATCGAGGATCGACTGACAAAATCCATGATTTTAGAGAGGGAAAAAAAATATATCGTCTCCTTTTTAAAAAAAACAACGAGTATTTTTGTTTAACCACGAGACAAGTCACTTCGGCAACACCCACTTTATATCTTTGGCCCCGTAACCTCGAGGGCAACTTTTTTTTTCCCCCGGCTCTCTCGTCGCTTTCAACGAATTTCAACTGACACGTCAACGGGGGATGATTTTCCCCGGAAAGCACTTGCGGCTCGTTGACCTCCGTCTAAGAAGCCAGGGCACAAGCCATTGGCTCGAATAACGTTGACGACGTCGTTGTCGTCGTCACCAGGACCTTTATCCGACTTTCTCTTTACTTAAGATTTTTTCGAGGAAGAAAAAAAACCAACCCTTCGCTATTGACACACGCGCACAGACTTGCGAGACTGTTCTATACAGTAAAACGAGGCGAGCGAGCGAACGAGTACGCAAGTATAGAAATAAAAAGATAATCTGGTGCGGAGAGCTACGCGCCTGTGCCTTCACCTTCACCCCTCTTGTACCCCTTCACCCGCGATTCAACCCCTCCTGACACCGCTTCCGACATCCACGCCCCGCACACGTAAAGCAAGGGGGACGCGTGTCCCTGTTTGTCCCCCATCATATATAGATATAGAACATACCAGAAATCCTGGGCTAACTCTCGCAGTCCCGTTTCATCCCTAGTAGAGAGAGCTTTCCTATTTTCCAAGCTTTTCACACGTTGACGCCGTCGTGTCCGGTCTTCATATCTCCAGGTCGATGAATTCTCCACTGATATCTCTTGCGACATCTAACGACTCCTTGTGGTGAAACTTCTTTATCAAATCCCAGGAATTATTTAACCAAATTTCGAATTTCAACCTAGAACAGAAATAATATTGTAATTTCCATCCTGGGGTGGGCAAAATACAAGTAGACCATCTGCTTAAATTATTTATTCAAATTATATTACCATTTTTTCCGAGGGATTTATGAACTACTTTCTAGTCACTCTCAAACTCATCTTTTTTTTTTCGAAAAATAAAATTATCGAATATTTATGAATGAAACTATTTTATTTTCAAAAATAATGAATTTTCGTTTTTAATTTAAATTAAAGATAGAGAAATTAGGAAGACAGCCAAGTTTTCGGATTTACTATTGTAATAGTGTCGATTTCATCTTGAGTGAATCCTTTAATTAACATTTTTGGAAACACATTGTTCATAATATGACTAAATCCATGTCCTCCATAACGTATCTGAAATAAAATTTTTAAATTGACATACAGTAATAAAAAAAACTCAAAATAAACTTTTTTTGGAAAATTAAAACTCTATTTTTTCTTTTTTATTAACAAATATTTTCATAAATTATTCAAGTTGAAAAAAATTTAATTTTTCTATAGAAATTAAATAATAATTCGAAAAATCTATCAATTTATGAAATTTTAATAACAAAAAAAAACAAACCAATCGATGCTTTGTGTGAATATCGTGGCTCATTAGTAATTTTTCCAATTTTCCATCCTCACGAAGAATCTTCATTTGATCCAATCGTTGAGCATCCGAAAGCATATCTGTTGTTGGTGTTAATTGATAATATGAGCACTCGGTACCAAAAAGATCAAATTGACAATAACAACCAATTTTTGAAAATTCCAAAAGATCCTCCTTTTTAATCAACGTACCTTCGAGAAGGATTATTTTCATTTGATCAAAATAAAAGAATTTAATTAATTAAATAAAAAATTAAAAAAACAAATTAGAAAGTATACTTACGATCGAGATGAGACATTATAACCTTTTTAGGATCACCTCCAGCTTCCATAAAAATTCTCATTATTTCAAAAGGTGCCAAAGCATTTCTGCCAGGATGAAAACTAACTGGACATTTAAGTACTTGTTGTGCAGCCGCTGTTGCTCGAATTGTTTTCTTCTCAAAATCTAAAATGTAATTTCTAAAATTGCTTTTTTTCTAAACAAATCATTTTTAAAATTAATTGAATACAAATAAATATTAATAATAATTATTAATTCAATTATTATTTACCTTCAATGGGCCAAGTGCTACCGATTTCACCAATAAATCCTGCCTTTACGTCCATATATTCCTCGCAACCTTCTGTCATTTCTTTTATTATAATATTCATTATTTGTTCTTCAGAATTCGATAAAGATTGTTCACTTTGTGTTAAAGCTACATAATGACCTTAAAAAAAGAATTTTTTTTTAAGTTTATCAAAAGAATTATTTGAATTGATAGAGGAAATAAATATTAAAGTTAAATTTCTAATTATATTACCAGTTCCTGCAATTATATGAACACCTGTCTCTTGACTGATTTTTTTCATTAATGGAATATTACGTTTTATTCCATGATTAGTATTTTCCACAATAGTACCACCTCCATGTTCTTTAAAAAGTTTCACATCTTGTAATATTGCTTCTTCATTTTCATTATTTAATTTCAAATTTGTTACACTGCTATATCTGAAAATAATTTTTATATTAAATTAAAAAAAAAAAAAATTCCGTATAAATACTAATAAATAAATTAAACTTACGGATATTGTTTTATAAATCCAACATTCTCAATAGTAATCTCACTATTAAAAAATGTCTTCAATTGATGAGGAGGAGAGGTGTAAAATTTTTCAAAATCAATTGCCAAATGTTCATGTGTTAAGGTTCTTCCGAGTTGAGAGACATTTATCGGTCCAAGAACTAATAAAATAAAAATCATAAAAATTAAATTAAAAAACAATTAATCACACAAACATAAAACAATTCACTCACCAGATGATACAGTTTTTGAACCCATTTTCAACGAGTGTAGTCTCGACAGTGACAATAACAAGATAAGACTCTACGTTTAAGAATACATAATTTGAACAATTTGTGGCTTTCTACATTAAAAAAAATGAAGATACCGTTATCAAGTCTAATTATATAAACGAAAGAAAAGCAAACAGGATACCGTTCTCTTGACTTGATAAATTTTCAAAAAATTAAAAAATATTTCCGTTAACTCTTATTAAATTTTTAGATTATTTTCCAATATATAGAAAAAAGCTACTTTGTTATTTGCATATTAAATTATTTACAGTTTGAAATTTTTGAAATATTTAATATTTTGTAAATCAAAACAAAAAAAAAAACAATTTAGAAAAAATCCGAAAGTTTAAAATATAAATTTGATAACAAAACATAAAACAAAATCAATCCAATTTCCAAGGTTTGATTTTTGACAAAAATTGTCGCTTAACAATTTTGAAGAATAATTGAAAAAATTAATAAAGTGAAATTACATTTTTAAATCGGGTACCATCACGTCATTTATTTTACAGAGTAGACAGGTATAATACCTCTTTACAAGAGTACAACGCAGCATTGATTAATATTAATAGCATCTCTGCGAGAAACACTGTGGATAATATAATATAGAAATTCGCAGTCTAGAGATTCGACAGCATTCATAACATTATATTATAGGATTGCAAATAATATTTATGTATATACAATAGCATTGAGCTGACAATGAGAAACAAAAGTTCTCTACGCATATTATAAAGGGGGAAAAAAAAAATCATTGTCTTTAAGTCAATAATTATTGTTTACACCCTTTTCGAGCCCCGGCATGATTCAATGAGCCTCAAAATTCAATATTTTTTTTTTATACATAGATTCTAAAATATAAAATAAGTTTCTTTCTTTGATTTATAGAAACTTCTTTTCACTAGTGTTATATTTAAAAAAATCTATTTTGCAAAAATTGCTACTAATCTATCAAGTTTCCTATAATATATATATATAAATATGTTCAAATACAATTTTTCAAACACTAAATTAATCACGCTTATTAATTAAATTCATTTGTGGCGTTCTTTCTCAAATTACTGCAAATTAAAACATTTTTAAAAAAAATTGTCATTGATCTAATTTTTATAATTTGCAAATTAGAATGATATTAAAAAAAACTTTTATTTTTCAAATAAATTGAAAATTTTGTATAATTTGCAGAATAATTAATTTTCTATTTTTTCTTTAAAAAAAAGACTGCGTTCACAAAAATAATAATTAAAAATTTCCATCCGGACTATAAAAACTTGGAACTTTTGACAAAATTTCCATATAATAGAAATTTGTCATTTATTGTATAGAAATTAGCGAAAAATAGAGTTAATTGGCCCATTTTTTGTTTTTAATATTGGTATTGTTAAAAAATATATCAAAAGCTCATCGAATCTCCGTGACCAACGAAATTTCCGTATTTATTTATATATATATTTTTTTTTTCTCATGCGAAATCCTGCGAAAAAAAAGAAGATGCCAAAAACAAATTTGAAAAATACATTTATAAAAAAATAGATTCGATGATTGAGAAGTGTTTAAAAAAAACACACACACATTTTTTTATAAGAGTATCTTAAAATGTTACAAGGAATGTAATCGAAAGCAGTTTCTTTTTTTTCAGCATACACATATATAAAGATCATCGGTTATTGCATTTTTCACCCCCTGCCCCCCACCCCACCCCACTCATGATAATATATAGATCCGCAGAATTTGACATTTTTTTTTTTTTTTTTGTTTGAATAAAAAGAATCGCCTACACATTATTTTTTCGGTACTTTTTCATCATTATTATTCATTTATTCTTTTATTTCTTTCAATGTGCCAAAAAAAACTTCGGCACAAAGCAAAAGTTGATAATAATCTATGAACGCAATTGGGTTTTCCGGAGACTTAAAATGGTACACTTAAAAATGGTCGTCTCTCTTTTTTTTGGGAAATAAGATAAAGAACCCAATTATGAGACACTTTTTAGCGTTCGTTCTTACTATTTCACAATAAAGCACAATTTTTGTTTTACTTTGACATACATCAGTTTAGTGGTTAAAAATTTATTTAACACAAAGATATTTTTAAGTAAATTAATTTTTATGTCGAAAATCTATGGATAAAATTTAATTAAAAATTAAATTATATAATTTAAATAGATAATAATTGTTAATCACAAACTATGAATGAATTTAATTATTATTATTATTAGTAAAAGTATTCCTTAAATGGGGGACATTGTCTCATAATTGGGAATTTCATCTTACCAGTGATGAGAAAATTTCTCGTCACTCGGACGACAATTGCACGATCGACCCGTAGTCATTTTCATGACCAAGATTCATCCCGCGATCGCTAATATTCTTACGAGTAGTATAATATTTTAAGTGTAATAATAATAATAATAATAATAATAATAATAATAATAATAATAATATAATTAATAATAACTAATAATTTACATTTACACAAGACTCTCTTATTCGCTTAGTATTTTTTTTTAAATTCCTTATAATATATTAGCTAGCTATTTTCTCTCTCCACGCGTACAAGTGAATTCGCTCGAAAAAAATTACAATCGCACTTTCAAACGCTCATTGCAAAAAAAGTCAATTATATACGTAGAATAAATACAAAGAATAGGATTATAAAAAACTTTAAGGATAAAATCAAATTCGAAAATTTAATTTTTAATCCCATTAATTGGATATACGGGACCAGTTTTTCAAAAAGTCGTTTTTCATTCTCAGTTCCGATTAAAACACAAATTTTCCTACTCTCGTTGTGCCGATTTTTTCATTAAAAATACATCGCAATTTGTCAGCAAAAAAAAAAAATAATAAATAAATAAAAAAGAAAAAGAAACACGCCAAAAAAATGTTTCCGAATTTATTTGATTTAACCTTTTCTTTTTCGTTTTAAGGATCTTCTTTTTGCTGGATTTTCTCTCGTTTTTTTTTTTAGCGATTCAATGACACTGTTCTATCTAGGATAATACACGTAAATATTTCACTTAATAAATGTCTTGGGCTCAATCGTGGAGAACTTCATAAACTATCATCGCTGTCTTCCGCTGGTGTTTCCACTGTTATATTACCACCTAAACCACTACCCTCGCCACTTGCTTCGCCGCTCGCTTCGCCTTCTTGTTCCGTAGAACTGTTGTGAGCTTGCTCGTCTGTCAAAATTTTACACTTTCGATAAAATATTGCGATTACACTTTTAATGACAAAAGTACATTTCATTTTATAATAAAAATAATTGTCTTTAATTTGTGATGTTATTGTGCATTTCACTTTAATGATAAAAGTGCATTTTATTTTGTAATAAAAACTTTGTGCATTGCGATCCAAATTTTAAATATGAAAATATTGGAGAAAGAAGATGTAAGGAGAATTTCGCAGATTAAAAATAAAAACTAATGAATTTAAATATTACCTGACTGAGTGGTTGGAGATTCATCGTCTCCTTGTCCAGGACCCATAATGGCTTCTTTAACTTGACTGTTAACTCCTTTTGGATCTAAATCTGACGCCCAACTAAAGTACATCAGCGCAAGATGTGTATTGCCTAGTTTTTTATGAACCTGAAAAAATATTAAATTAGTTAATTTTTTATCAAATATTTTTTAATTAAAATAGCAATTTATAGCAATTTCAAAATTGATATTCACCTTCCCTATAGAAAAATAGACTAGAGACTCTTTGGGCACGATATTTTTCAACTCTTCAAACTCGGTAAGAGCCTCGGCGTGGCGTCCAATTGAGAAATTGATACTAGCTCTATGAAATTTGCAAAGTGTATTGTCAGGATCATTCTCAATTGCGGTGTTCAATGTTTTTAATGCCTGCTCAGTTTTTTTCAATGCATGCTGAACAACGCCAATATGACACTTAATAGCTGAATTATGTTGATTTATTTGTAACGCTCGCTTAAAATGCAATTCAGCCAAACTATATTGCTCCTGTTTTGAGAAAATTGTTCCCAAACCAAACCACGCATTATAATGCCTTGGATCTAATCGTATGGCATTACGAAAAGCAGTTATCGCTTTGTCCAGTTCCTCCGTCATCACGTACTCATGACCGAGAAGTGTATAGGCGTACGGAAAATCTGGATTCACCTGCAAAAATAATTTATTTTTAAAACTAAAAACAATATAAAAAATATATATAAACCTAATAAAACCTAATAAAACTAATATAAAAAATATAAAATGAAGAAAGAAACGTACTTGAATGGCTCGTTGAAAGAATTTAATTGCAGTCTCATGTTCCGTTTGTGATGAAAATAAATTGCCAGTCGCACACCAAGCGGCCGGTGAATTTCTATCTTCATCAACAAGGTCTTGAGCAAGTGTTGAGAGTAACACTTCCGAATGTAAGTGCCACAAAACTGTACTATAAATTTCCATCATTTCCGTTCTGTGGGGTTCCAAATTTCGAACTTGCTGGAAGTAGCTGAAAAAAATTCAAGTTTATTGAAATAAATTTTTTGAAATTCATTACTAAGTGATATAGGAAAAAAAGAAATTATCATATATTTACTTAGATGCCTTTTTATAGTCAATCATTTCAAAATGTGCGCGTGCCAACATTGACAGGACCCAGCCTGTATGATAATGTTGCCGAGGTAAAATACTCAGTATTTCAATGGCCTCTGCACAATTATATTGGGTTAAATGTTGATACGCCATTCCACATTCTCGCAAAAGTGACATTAATCCCTCTGTAATTGAAAATCGTTCAATATTTCATTATTCAATTAATGTAAATTTTGTAATTAAAATAAAAAAATAAAACTATAAAATACCTGCGCACTGTTTCTGAAGGACCAGAACATTTTGAGCAGCGTTTGATTGATTTAAAGCATTTGTATTGGCTGTCACTTTCTCGGATGCAAGAATTTCACTTTTCTCCTTTTCGTTCTTGTTCCTTTCGTTCAGTTCATTGAAATTTGCCTTATTGAGATTAGTTTTAGCCAGTCTTGCTTTTGACTTACGCGAAGGAGACTTGGGAGTAGTAAATTTATTTCGATTTGGAGATTTATTATTTTCCTATAGAGAATAAATAATAATTTAATATTTATTTAAATATAATTTTTTAAATTGTATTTTTAGAAAAACATTTTTTTAATGTCTTACTTTAACTGAATAACTATGGCTAAAGAGCCTCGATGATCGTCTGACATTGGGACCTTGATGAGTGGGTGGAGCAGGAGTAGGTGTCGACGGTGTGACAGTGACAATATTTACGGTGTTACTTGCATTCCCAGATTGTGAGAACACTGGTTTTCCCTGCTGTAATGGTGTTTCTTTTCTTGAAATGAATTGCTAATAGGGAATAGAGTAACATAAATTTCCCAAAGTAATTAAAATCACAACAAAAAAAATGTAAAATTTCTTACCCCGACATGTGCCCGTAAACTGCTCACTCGTTTTGCTAAACTTTTTTGATCGTTCGCCTCCGTTAGAGTTGCATGACTGGGTAAAACAGTTGGCTCTGGGGTGTTACAATCAAGAGGTAAAATTCCAAAACTTGGAGTGAGAGGACTCAATGAATTACTGAACATACTCCGATATCGTGGAGGTTTCCCTCGTGGTGATGAGCAATTATGCAACTGAACTTGTGGACTCTCCTCTATCGTCGAGTGTAACCTTGTGAAAAAAAAGAACATGTATGCAAATTAATTTAATTAAAAAAAAAAAAATTAATAAAATTTTGATAAATGCAAAGGCTTACATATTATTACTATTTGGCGTAGGGGTGTTGTTATGAGGATTAACCGGAACGATGAGATCAGGATCATTTACATAATTAACAATAGGCATGGAACCATGACACGCTGAAAAACTATCCAATTTGTCTAATTGAAAAATTTTCGCTGGATCGACTTTTTCCCCAACATTGCAAAGTTCTTCAAACGAATGCCACAGAAATGGATTTAGTTTCAGTGCTAATTTATGAGCGTCGTTAGCTTTTACCTAATTGTTACAAAAATAAAAAAATGTATAGCAAAAAAAAAAGAAAAGAAAGACAGTGATTACTTAATATTTTTAAAAAAAAATGCACAAAAAAGTGTCTCATTTTTTTTTTTGCAATCATTTAAAATATATTTACCGTGCGTTGCAATTTGTGGTAAATTTTTGCTATGACTTGAAGGCAAAAGCAGGCTTCATCGCCAAATTGCGTCACTATTTCATCCAAATTTTTAATTTGTTTATAATAACCGCCAATTATTGCTGCCTCTGCGTCTGCATATCTGAAATAAAATATAAAATATTTGAATTTTGTCTAATTAAAAAAATAAGAAATAGAATTTTGCAAAAAAAAGAAATCTCACTTTTCAAGTTCGTAGCAACATTTTGCAAGAAGAAACCTGCATTGTGGAGAAGTAGGCGTCTTCTTCGATAGAAGTGCATGTGCTTGTCTTACTTTTCCTGCACGATAGTAGCATGTTGCAAGAAGAAAGAGCGTTTCTTCTGTGTCGACTGTAAATTTAATTAGATAGAATTAGACACTCAACCTACAGGTAAATTAAAAAGTACATTTCAAGTAAAATAACAATGAAATTAAAAGCTCTGAATATTATTAATTACCTTCTGCACTTAATCTCTCAGCAAGGAAAATAGCATCCGGAAAAGCATAATGATTGAGGCAATGCCAAATGGCAGCCTGCAATTAAAAGAATTAATTTAATTAATTAATAAAATACTTTGAAAACAAAATTGAGAAAATGATCAAAAACTAATGTTTTCTTTATTTTCTTATTAAAACAATTTATAAAAAAAAAATTTTTTATACTACAAACTAATATCAGTGTACTAAAAAATTTTTACAATCATTTTTATGTCTTACGACCACAAAGATAAAAAGCTGGACTTTGTAATTATTATTTCCTAACCTAAATTCAAAAATTCAATCTTGCTTTTAACATATATTCAACATTATTGAGAAAAAAAAAATGCAAGTTACGTTAATTGCCTTTTAATGGGGATAACTTATATTCTTCTTTCATCATAAAAATATTACACTAGAAAGCAGAAATTGATTTTATCCAAAAAGATATTATTCTTATCAGTAAAAAGAAACCTCTAAATAATCCGAAACTTTCTCCACAATAATAAAATTGAATAATCAGAATCCTGGCCGACAAATAGAACAAGAATACATTGATATATATTCATTGTGCGCTTAAAATCAGTGACCCAAATCTTAACTCATAATTGAAAGTCTTTCAACATGAAACATCATAATTAGTGAAAAATCAAATTTAAAAAAAAAAACTATTTAACTAATTCCAAGCCATAAAGAATTCAAGAAATGCATCTTTTTATATTCAATTAGTTTTTATCAGTAGACCAAAATAAACGAACCTCAAGGTTCATAATATAATAAATAAATTTACAATAATTAAATGCACTTTTGTTAAACTCATAATAATCACAATTTTTCACGTTTAATAAATAATTTGTCATGGAAATATATGACATTAACGCATATGGTGAAATGTCAGAAAATTCACATCTCAAATTTATTTATAGACTCCCGTATATATGAATCGTTTAGTTACAAAGCGTTACTAAAAAATTGAGTTCAACTAAGATATTGAAAAAAAGCCACAAATTTCATTTGAAAAAGCGCGTGTTAAAAATGTGAAAAGTTCGAGAAATATATATAAATTATTTTATTACACTATTAAAAAAGAAACCAAGTTTGATTTGGGATGTCAATACATCAGGAATCATGGATTTACCCCAAGGAAAAGCTGTTTGTTTCATATGCATAGAAAGTCACTTTTTTCCATACCTGCACGGGTTCCTGTACGATCATCATTTATAGCACAATTCTACGCTTAAAAAAATAGTTTCCACCGCGTCGCAATATTCAAAATTCAGACATAAACTGATACTTTTATATAAAAATTTCTCAAGAATCCATCTTTACAATGATCTGTTCGAAGTGAACAACCGAGCGACTAACTTCTAGTTACAGGACTACCAATTGTCTTTCCAGTGAAAAAAATAATTTAAAAAATTCAAAATCATTTCATTATAAAAATATAAAATATAATTTTCATATTCACCAAGTGAATATTTAATTAAAATTTATTGCAAATATTATTATTTTATTTATTATAAAATTGGAGTAATTATTTTTTATTTGTAAAAACGATTAAGTATACCAGGTGTGGTAACGTAGGAAAATAAAAATTGCGCTTGCGCTTCATTGTTTGTTGAATCTGTCAAAAATATAATTTTATTAAATAAAACAAGTATTATAATTGATTATAATGTCTGGAAGTGATATAAAACAGGCTCTTCGAAAATTAGATTATCCAATTTGTGCTAAGGAAGCTTTATATCGAATTGGTAACTATTTTTTAAATTGTAAATTTATTTTTATTTTTTTGAGGTTAGAAACTTGTATACTCATTTTATTTTGGATTTTAATTTTAAAATAATTTGTTTATATAATTTTTGTCTTTTTTTATTTAATATTTATTAATTTAATTTAATTTTACTTAATTATAAAAAAAGGTATTTATATTCCGATTGCAATTATTATGATATAATAATAATACTTAATTAAATTTATTTTATTTTAAAGAAATGTTATGCAGTCGACCAGGGAAACAAATGGATTTGCAAATTGATTTAATGTCAGAATTTGTGTTTGGCGAAATTGAGAGACGAAGAAAACGTAATGTTCCGGCAGCAATTCAGGAATTACAATTAATTGAAGTATTGAGTGATTTCTTCCAAAATCCAGGAGGAAGTCCAGCTGTGAGAAATGCATTATTTTTATCGCTCTATCCAGCTGGTAGTCCACGATATAAAGTTTTGGGAAATTTAGTTTCATTGGCAATTTCAATTCAAAATAAAGCCGTACTAAATGCAACGGGAATTTGGATGCAACAATTAGGCTCAACGTCACAAGAAAGTGTTGGTCTAGCGAGGCATATACTTAATGATTATTTTGTCCTTACCTCGAAATCAGTTGACAGACTTCAACTTCTTCCGGTGCTTGCCCCACATTTTACCGCGAATCTTCTCACTGCAATTGGCGAAGTTTATAAAGACAAAAATCCACCTACCGACGTTCTTCGATTAATCGGAGATTGGATTAATGACAATCCCAGTCTGTTATTAACTGCTTTGATGGATAATCCGGCTTTACCCACTGGAGGGATTCCTATGACGCCAATTACTCCAATTGCCGGTCTCTTCAGGTGTGAATTTTTTTTTTTTTTATTTTTCTTTTTCCTATTTTGCTTTGTTCATTTATATAATGATTTTAATTTTTTTTTTAGATGGTGTATATTGAGTCCGGTGCGAACAAGCGGTGATAATTTAAGTCAAACCGAGGATGAACAGCGACTTTATTCGAAAATTCAACAACTCTTGATGGATTCAGTGTTGCGATTGAAGAGCAATAATGGAAGTAATAAACACGCAATATCGGCGCAACATTTGGCAGCAACGACTCGCGCCTTAACATTGGTTTTACAAAGTTTCACTAATATTGAATCAATTTCTCGCGATCTTGCAATGGAACGATTAGCGCAAGCTGTCAGTGCAGCAATGTCAGCAAATTGTATATATGGAAACAAACGTGAGTTTTTTTTTTACCTTTTAAATAGAATGGGGGAAAAAAAATGTTCTAATTCAATTTTCTTCTTTTAACAGAGGAACTTTTGGCTCTCTTACAATCCTTATCCTATCAACATTTCCTGATTGAATGGACACTTCAGACATATTCGTCGAAAGCTGCATAGAAAAATTTGTAAGTTTGTAAATTATGTATTTATATTTACATATATATATGTACATGGAAATTTGTATATTATAAAATTAATTTTTAATGAAATACGTTTTTATTGTCTTCATCGTCTAAAAATTTAAGTAATAATTCCATCTCTTCAAAAGGGTTTAAATGTGCGATTTTGTTTCATTTGTTGCAATTTTTCTTTATCTAGATCGAATTTCTTTCGTAGCTCCATCAAATCTGAAATTAATAAAATGTTTTTTAATTAAAGTTCAAAAAGTGAGAATCTTAATATTTAAATTGATAATTAAAATATACATACTCTGCCGTTTGGCTTCACGAATTTGGAAAGGATAGAAATTTTTCAACTGTTTTTTCTGATTACTGGTGGATAATTTGTCTTGTAATTTATTGATAGTTGATTCTTTTCTTGCAAGAGCAAATTCTCCTCTCTTTTTTCGTCCTGTCACTTTTACCCATCCTTCCGAATCACCTTCTTCTGCTAATTTTTCCTTTCTCAAGCGCTCTGCAACTTTTGCGTCATAATTTTCCATAAATTGTTGTATATATTTTTTTGTTGCTTCTTCGTTGCAAATTGAACTGTTGTATTCCTTACACCATTCTTTGAAAACAGTAATATATTAAAATATAGAAATACAATATATTTTTATAAATTTAATTTAATGAAAATTAATAATTAACTTACTTTTTAATCCAGTTATTAAAGGTTTTTCCTTTGAACTTAAAGTCAACACTGTATCTGAAGACAATGATAAAGCTTTATCTAAACCTGATTCATTTTCAAAAATAATGTAGGTACATTTTTCTGATTTGCCACTATTCTTGACGAATTTGACAGATTGAACAGGACCACATTTTTTACTAAACGCATAGTTGACAGAATCTTCAGTTGCATAAGGAGGTATGTTAATGACAAATAATGTCTTTCCTTTAGGAAATTTTGAATATTTTTTGTCTGTATGTTCTTTTATAAACAATTGATTTCGATCTGAACTACCATCTTCGTAACGGAGCCAAAAAGCTGAAATGAATTTCATTTTAAATATATTTCTTGTTAAAAACAATTGTTCATTTAATACAATAATTTTCCCCTTATAAGATTCTTAAGTTTATTTTATTAATTATTTAAAAATTAATGAATGACAAAATATTAAAATTTTAAGGTTATGTATTTCTAGTCTATAAATTTTGTATACGGTAAACACAAGTTACTCACTTTTAAATCCGCCAAGTGATCCTTTATTAATTGTCATTGTTTATTAATTAATAAAACAGTAAAAATTATTTAGCACTGTATTGAAAAAATTAATTTAAATATATTGCAAGTAAATAAACAAAATATTAAATGCACATGTTACACTACAGTAGTCAAAGATTAAGGAAAAGTTGTCCACTGACTTCAGCAGTTGTCGAAAGAAGTGCAAGGTGAGGAATGTATAATTTAAGTTTATCATCCTTCCCAACCCTTTTCATCATAAATGCAAGTTCACAAGGTTCACAATAAAAAGTTGGCGCAATATTTGAATAAAACTAAAATTAAAAATTAGTGCTTTCCTTGGTTGCTTTATTTTGGCATAATTTTTTCAGAATTCTAACTTTTAGATATTCAATAAAATAAATAATCGAACTTTTGGCATTACTATAAATGATTGTTCATGTAACTGTACAGCGAAACCTCTCATAAGACAATTTTAGTGGGGGGTTCTCTTAAAGCAGGTTTTTCGCGAGAGGAGAAATTGATGCGCAGTGACCGTTTGCGCATGGCGGTCTATTTCAAAATAATGTTGGAGTTTATTGGAAATTATGTTAGAAGAAATAAAGAGATGAATATAAAAAATAGTAGAAAAATTACAGAAAGTAATCATAAATTTCTTTCTTGCATTTTGTCCATACCCAAAATTAGCCTTATGTTTATGCTATTGTGCTTTGATAGGTTTTGACAATTCTTTCTGTTTACATTGTCAGCCATATGCACCGCATGACGTAACTGCGCATGACGCAATATGTATCTAAAGTTTTAGGGAAGAGGAACACGATAGGGGAAATTTGTCTTATTAGAGGTTGTCTTATGAGAGGTTCGACTGTAAATTGTTCTTATTACTAGTGATGTTGATGTAAACTTCCGGTTGCGCAAATGGAAACGGAAATAGTTCTGTACTGACATTCGGCTTTGTTAAGCTTTTTTAAAGTGATATATCTTCTTTATAATTTAGTAATACTTTTAGCTATTTTTTTCTATTACATTCATAATAATTGTGATAAATAATTAGTGAACATTTGTGGAAATTCTGGAGCAATAATTTCGGTTTATAAATCTGTTACACATGTGTAAGAAGAGCAAAGAAATCAAGTCAAGGTACATAACCTCAAAACTTATTTTCTTCACTAATTTTTTCAGAGAATAAATATATACAAAAATATTAATTATTTTTTCTTAAAATTAAATGTCAATTGTTTTTTTAACTATTGTTACATTATAATTATAAATTACATTCGTTTTCTAATTGATTAACACATATTACGGTTCGTTGAAAATTTTAATTTTTGATTTGTATCTACAATAATTGTCCGGCATTATTCCATTATTAGAAAACATAAAATTTAATCAGTCGAAGATACTTATCGAACAAACATATTTGCCGTATTTTGATTAAAACTTAAAAATATAATATCAATTTAATAATCTACTGTGTTATTTTTATAACCAATGTTATAACTTTTTTTATTATAATTGTGCATGCTCGCATGGCGCCTATAAAATTACAACAATTAAAAAATAATGTAATATTATAAGTTAATGAATATTAATTATAAATTGATTGTTTATAAATAATTATACTAAATATTTGATTTCAAATATCGATTAAATTATAATCAATAAAATTGATTTGATATCAAAAGTTTAATATCATATGAAAATTTTCCTGAGTGCACTTGACTTGAGTCAATAAATACAAGAATGATCATTCATTATAAAGTTTAGAGACTATTAAAGACATACTTCTTAAAAGAAATTATAATGAATTTACATATATATGTATTTCTTGTATTGGTATTATCATGTGTATTATTTGCAAACGGAAAGTTAAATTTTGGTCCATGGTTTCCAGCAACCGAAGGAGAACCATGGCCTTTACCATGGATCAAAAATACCTCTAATGAATCATTATTTTTGCATCCTATAAATTTTGTCATTAAAGTGAGTTGCAACAAAAATATTATTCTTAAAATAATTATTTTCGAAAAACAATTTTTAATTATTAATAAATTAATTACTGAAAAATTGAAAGAAAGAAATTCAATTATGAATTACGATATTTTTGCAGACTGAAGATAATGATTGTCAAATTTTGTACGATGCTATTCAAAGATACACATCAATTATTATCACCGAATCCAATTCTGCTGGACGTTTCACTAATGGAAATGAAAAATTAGATTCTTCAATAATAGGAAATTTAACTCGTCTTAACATAAAAAAATTAAAATTCTGCGAAAAAATGCCCTACTTTCAAATGGATGAATCATGTAATTTCAAATAATTTAAATTGTTAAAGTAGAAAAAAAAATTATTTTGTATTTTATTCTGTGTGTTGCAGATAGTTTGGAAATCATCGAAAATGAATCAAATTTAAATGCAGATTCAGTTTGGGGAGTTCTTCGAGGTCTCGAAACTTTTAGTCAATTATTATCTGCATCTGGAAAAGGAAATAGTGTAAGTATATTAAAATTATATTAATTAAAGTTAAAAATTAAAATTAGTTTTTTAATTAAATTTAAAGAGAAAGAAAAATCTTTAGAATTGAAGAGATGTGTATATAGAAATCGAAAAAAGGAGAGTTTAATGGAAAAGTATTAGAATAGTAATTTAAATTTTCAGTTGAAAATAAGGAAACAAATTATCAAAGATAAGCCTCGATTGCCACATCGAGGACTTCTTTTAGATACATCTCGTCATTTTATACCCGTAAAGGATATTCTTCTCACTTTAGATGCAATGTCCTATAATAAATTGAACGTATTTCACTGGCATATTGTAGACGACAATAGTTTTCCATTTAAAAGCGCAATTTTCCCTGAATTATCATCAAAAGGTGCTTATCATCCATCAATGATTTACAAGAAAAACGATATTGAACAGATCATCAATTATGCACGACTTAGAGGAATACGTGTGATTCCTGAATTTGATACACCTGGACATACCGAATCTTGGGGTCAAGGATATCCCGATTTACTCACCAAATGTTATGGCATGTCATAAAGTTAATTAATGCAAAAAATATCATTGATTTTACAATCAGTTTATTATTATTTCTTTTATATTATTTTTAGATGAAAATGGAAACTTAGATGGAACAGTTGGTCCCCTTGATCCAACAAATCCAAAAGTATATGAATTTTTAGAGAAATTGTTTCATGAAATTGTTGATATTTTTCCAGAAAAATATCTTCATCTTGGAGGTGATGAAGTACCTTTCAAATGTTGGGAAAGTAATTTAAAAATTTTGAATTTCATGAAGAATCATATGATGAAAAATTTTACAGAATTAGAAAATTTTTACATCAACAAATTGCTTAATATAACAAATAATCTTAATTCCAAAACAATAGTCTGGCAAGAAGTAAATAATCGTTTTTTTTTCATAATGTAAAATATATATTTTAATTTATTTTACTATACTACTATTATATAAAATTGATATGTAGGTTTTTGATAATGGTGTAAAAATTGAAGCCGACACAATTGTTCAAGTTTGGATTGGTCCAGCATGGAAAAAGGAAGTTGTTAAAGTAACAGAAGCCGGAAATCCTGTAATACTTTCCGCTTGTTGGTACCTTAGTGATCTTTTAAGTGGAGGAGATTGGAAAAAATTTTATTACTGTGATCCACTATTATTTTCTGGCACTAAAGATCAAAAGAAACTTATGATGGGTGGTGAAGCTTGCATGTGGGGAGAATATGTTGACAAGTATCCAAATTTTTGTTTAATCTATTAATTATATGCAATATTTACCTCAAAAAAGTATTAATTTTGAAATATTTATTTTATTATTTTTATTTATTTATATTGGTTAAAAAAATTTTGAAAAATTTTCTTTATTTTTCTTGCGAAAAAAAAGATAAGAGAGATTTTCATAAGAAAATCTTTATTTGTAATAATACATTATTACATTTTTAGGAACAATTTGCATCAAAGAATTTGGCCTCGAGCAAGTGCAGCTGCTGAACGACTTTGGAGTTTTAACATACAACCCATGAATTTCGTGTCTAAACGTCTTGAGGAGCATTCTTGTCGAATGAACAAACGTGGTGTACCTGCCCAGCCTCCCAATGGATCCGGTTTCTGTTTAATTTGAAAACTACACAATTCTGCACAAAAAGAATTTATCGCAGGTAAACTAGAAAATTTACAAATTACAGAAATATTTTTCAATCAACTGCATGATACTATAAAATAATTGATACAAGAATATAAATAGTAAGACACAATAACAATAAGATGAATAATAATATTTAAAAAAAATTAAATAATAATAATGTAAATTTAAAATATAAAAAAAGATAATATAGAAAATAAAAAGGCGTAACATTATAACAAATTTAAAAAAAGAAAATTACTCTTAAAAAGTACCAAAAAATGACATATTTTCAATTGGTAATTGTTGGTAAATGTAAAAATTTTGTTCACATTTTTTTGTGAATAATACATTATTTATTTGGTTTTTATTTGTACATTTAAGATTTTTATGAAGTATACAGTAAATGAATAAAAAATAAATTTAGTTTCCATTGACAACAATATTGTCTGAAAACAATTAAACTACAATTTAAAAAAAAATAATTAAAATTAAATCGGTAAAACTAAACGTAATTTTTTTCATCTTATACATGTTACAATATATGCGTCAAATATAGCTGTAAAATATAAAACTATTTTTATTGAATAATAATTTAAGGAGAAAAGTATATTGAAAAAATAAGTAATTTAAAAGTAATTAAGTATTAAATTCCATCAAATTATAATTATTATTAATGTTGAATTACTTCAGTAGTGAGGTAATTAAAATCATTATTTTACATCTTGATTCACAAATAATTTCTGTAAAAATCGTCAAAAAAAATAAGGTGGTTTTCTTTTACGATGAAACTTCAGATTTTATTGCCAATATATATTATCTTAAGTTGAATTATATATTTACTTTTTAAATTTAAACGTATTAATCAATCAATTGGTAACGTAAGAGTTGGATTTTTTTTTATTTTGCAAATTAATTGTCTTCGGGAGCTCTCGTTTCTTGAATTTCCTAAAAGGAAATGTTTTAAATTAATTAAAAATTAATGAAAATCGTATCGGAAATGATCTTGATATTGTATATATGTAGAAGGACAAATGCCATACCCGATTACGGTGCTCTCCGTACTTGGACCAAAATGTTGACTTACAAGGTGACCTCTGACCAGTTTCTTTATTAAAAATATTGCACGTGGAAATAGGTGGTGAATATAAATGTAAGGAAATTGCTGTATCAACAGTGCTCGGATTTTCCACACGATGAAGTCCAATATTATCTAAAAAGTTACATATTGCGATAAATAATAATATTTCCTTTATTATCGAATCAAATTAAATTAAAATTTCATGGGAAATTAAAATTATTCAAATTTTCATAATTTTTTTCTATTAAAAAAGAAAAGTAAAAAAAATTTTTAATCTTTTTTGGAATTGTTCTTAGGATTAAAGGCACTATTTTTCTAATCAATAGAAACTTCTTGGAAGAAACTATTTTTTATATTGATAAAATTTCTTTGTTTTGTCTCTATTATTATTATTCTGTTGTTTTCATTTTTTAAGAAGAAAATTTGAGTTTCTTCCTTACCGTTAATGTATGTAATTTCATTAAGTTCAAATGTATTTTTTCCTGTTTCACGAAGTTTCTGTGATGTTTCAGAACTGGTTTCTTGTTCGTTTACTTCAGAAGGAAATGCGTAGTTGGTCTAAAAATTAAAATATTTTAAATTAATTAAAAAATTTTAAATGTTCACTCTTAAAATTATAGACTATTTTAAATTGCTTTTTCTTTCTTTTTCTTCTTTTTAATTGGCAGAAGTATAATTTAAAACGAATTAAAATTATAAGTTTTTATAAAAATTACCTCACATAATTTTCCTTGAAGAATTTTCATGACACAATGAGAGTTGGCATGATCATGAATTGCTGATCCATGTCCTTCTCCCCAACAAAGCACCATAAGATTAAACCTTCCATTTCCCTCGTCAACTAAATTTCTGGTATATCTATATTATTTAAACAAATTACATTATTAATATATTATTATTATTATTATTATTATTATTATTATTTTATTTCTAATTTTTATATTTATTATTCATTGAGATATTAACTCATTATTATCACTCTAGACCGAGCTCTAGACATTGTAAATTATAGATTTTTCAAAAGTCAATTTTTATTTTGATTAAATTTCAAATATCATTTTGATGAATTTTTTTTTATATTAAGCTCATTTACATTTAACTTTTGACCAAAATTTATCATTTTTATCTAATCTTTTAAGCGAACCAGAAAAAATTTGATGAACTGTATAAAATGTATTATTCACTAATTGCATATGATTTTAATTATACATTATTATTATTATTATCATCTTAATAAATTCAGAAACAAAATTTTTTCTTAATAATTTTTATTAGGCATTTTACGGTATATTTTTTATTTAATTATTATACTTGCCACTGAATTAGGCAAAATTATATAATATTTTTTAAGAAAATTATAAAAAAATTAGTGTTATTTTGAAAATATTAAATTGAACACGTGTTTCTTATCGTTTCTTACGCATTTTATTTAATATAAAACTTGTGACATTCTTATATTTACGTTATTTCGTTATTTCGCTATTTATCAATTTTAATCGGTGTAAATATTTTCGTAATAATGGAAAATTCTACTATGACTATTTTCCTTAATGAATAATAAGAATTTTTAGAAATTGACTAGAATTAATTAACAACAATTATTATTGAAAGATGATAAAATAGATTTTTGATGATTGAGAAATTGCAAATTTCCTGACGACTAATTTTTTTTTTTCATTACATTCACATTTTGAAAATAGTACATTAAAAATAAGTGACAAATTATTTTTTGATTCAACTAATTAATTTCTTATTTAATTGACTTTTAATTTAGATATACATTTTTATTTCTTTCATTATGTAGTTTCATTATTTATATTTTTATTTCTTAATTTTTATTATTTTCGTATATAACGATTCTATAAATTTTAAACCACAGACAATACTAAAGACATTTAATCTTTATGATTAAGAAGCTTTAAAATATGCTTGATTTTGGATCAATAAATCATTATAAATACAATATGGTTTCAAATAAAGTAATCATTTATAAATTATATACGCACGTATGCGTGTAAGTATAACTAGTATTGACTTTCGTCTGACAAGGCCTCATTTTTTAATTTGAAACTTTGTCAGATTACTATTTTTAAAAACAATTTTGATTTAATACAAGCGAAACTGATAAAATTGTAATTAATGCAGTTCATTCAATTCGAATGATGGATAAAAGTCAAATATATACATTGTTTATTATAACATCCATAAAGATTAATCTTTTTTTAAACTATATTTCGATTAAATTTAAATAAAATATTATAAATAATTTCTTTAAATAACATTTATTTATTATAACTATTTTTTTTATTAATAAAAAGGAACAATATTTTCTTGTTTCACAGTATTAATATTTCAAAAAAGTCTAGTGAATTGATAACATGTTTGAACTTAATGATACTTAATCTAATTCGTCCATTAGAAATTAATTAGCAAAGATCTTTTATCAAATTTATCTTAAAAATTAAAATAATATTAATACAATTGAATTGAATGTGATTTAAAATATTTAAAAACTATAAAATAATCTAAATTAATTGATAAACGTTAATAAAATTTGGAATAATTTTAATTTAGATATAAAAATTAAAATGAAAACAAAGTGCATATTTCACATAGCGAACGTATGTAATTTTCATTCTGTCAGTTATGAATGGATCCATAAAGATAAATAATAAATTTATAATGTATGTTGTGAATTTACTCACACAATTTAAGTAAACGATATGATTGAAAACTCTTGGATATATCGAAAAATAAAACGTTGAGAGAACGATTTCCATTGTTATTTAAGATAACAAAAATTTTCCTAGATATATTAATAATAAACTATAACTTATTGTCTGGCTTATATACGTTAATAATAAAATAGAAAAAGTGAAAGTATATTTCGTAGCAAAAGTAATTATTACTATACTGTATATATTAGATAATACTTAAAATTTGTAAATTATAACTCATAATTAATGAAAATGTTAATTTTTTTTCGCTTTTATAATTTTTTTTGTTTCTTTCATAATCTATCAAAAAAATAGTTCGATGAATCTTATAAATATTTCTAAAGAAATCATTAGAATATATCAAGTGAAAGGAATTTTCTAATCTTATAGACTAAAATGTCTATATAATTTTAGTCATAAATTAATTTTGTAAACGTTACGTAGAACCAATGTAACGGTATAAAAGAGTAAATATTTTTTTTACACTTGTGTAAACTAAATTTTTCAAAATTATCATTATTAAAATTCATAGATATGTAAATATAGTTCAATGCGATAAATTATTATTATATGACTATATAACTTTTGAGGATTAAGATTATAGTGAAAAATGCCACTGTAAAATTTTTTATTATTATAAAAAATTTTAATAATAATAATAGTGATGATGATAATAATAATAATGTATAATAATATAAATAATGTAATATTAATTAAAATAATAATAATAATATAATAATTTTTTATAATGTTATAGGAGAATAAAAATAAGTGAACAATTAAAAATAAAAAAAAATGGTAAAAACAAAAGAAAAAAAGAATTATAAAAAACAAATGTTTATCACCTGTATCTGTCAAATTTGGCGTATTTCTTCCACTCTTGAGGATTGCTTCTGTATGCCAACATAATTTCTTTAACCCTATCAATATTAACATTATCAGTTTTAAAAACATCATGTAAATGATGAATAACTTCCTTTAAAGTTAATCCTTTAGTGATGGGTGTTTCATTCATGACTTTATCGAAAGGATAATCGTGCATTGACGACTGGCACTTGTTGCTAAACACTTCCATACTTTCTTGTTTCGCACAAAGACAAATTGTTATATATGCAGAAAATAAATTTAAAAAAAAAAAATTATTCTTAAAGCCAAAAAAAAGTATTAATAAAAAAAATTAATAAAATTAAAAAAAATAAATAAATAAAGAAAAATATATTGCAAAAACTTTTGTTAATATATATTGTATACACTATGGATAACTTTCGTTCCACCTGTGCGTTTTCTCTCTCGCGTGTACACAGCTTATCACGGTACGGAGATCTCGCGAGAAATGAAACAAAAACTGGTTGTATCAAATCGTTAAGAGACAATAAAAAAATATGTTAAAAAGAATATGTTCAAATAATATTTTATTGAACTCGTATTAAAAAAATATATATATTTATTGAAGAGGGATTAAAAATGTTGCGCTAACTGAATTAGTGAATAGTTTAACGAGACTGAAGAAACTAATGAATTCCCGCGCTTTAACATCACGAACTTGATTTTACCAAAGAAGTAATCCCTACTCCATATAAATCACTAACAACTGATATCGCCTCCAAGTCTAAGGGATACCAGTGCTGCTTATAATGAACTTAAAACATAAGAGCACTAAATTATTTATTTTTCTTCTTTATAAAATTTCTTTTTCTATAATTTTTCTTCGTTTTTTTTTCTCTTTTTTAGTTCTTTCTTTTTTTCTCTACTCGTTTCTTCTTTTTAATATTTTCTTTCTTCATTTCTTGCATTTTTTACAGACTTTTTAAAAAAGTTTTGCTCTTTTCTTTACAGTTCTATTTAAAAAGTGATCGCGAAGAAATTAATTTTAGGGGGCGATTTCACTTTCCCATATTTAGACTGTACATCTGCTAATTCTGTCAGTTAAATTGTACCTTTTAATACATGAGAAAATTAAAAATTAATAACTTTAAACTACAAATTCTACACATTTTTATTAATTTTATATTTTAACATTGTACAAGTTTCGATTCTACAGTAACGAAAATCAGTCAAAAAAAATTTAATAAACAAATTTCACGTTCTACACCGTTAAACTAGGTATTATCAAACTCTACACACCATTCAATTCTACACAGAGTAAGGTGAATAAAAGAAATTAATTTAAAATCTGACAAACAAAAAACACTGTTAAACTATATAATGTTAAATTTTCCTATCAACAATAAACGTAACAATCTAGTTTCAAATGTTTTATCGTTATCTATTGTTACTATATTTACTTAATTATATTATTCAAATATGGAACGGTTATTCATGTGTAGAGTTTGACTATAACCAATTTAATGATGTAGAATTTTTACAATTTTTTATTTAATTTTTTGTATGCATTTTAGTATGTGTACAATTAAATGGATAACAATCTAATAAAGTAGAATTAATTTTATAAGAAAAATTTAACAATGTTCAATTTCAAAATTTAGAGTTTAAAAATAATATATATATTATTAAAATGTACAATGGGGCTGAAATTTAATATATTTGTATATTTTCACAAATGTAAATTGATTTAAAGTTTTTGAGAAACGTAAAATATTACAAATATTATAATACACTTTTAATAAAATTTTTTTGTCTAGGAATTTCTAAATTTTTGAAATTTGTTTAAGTATAATGACGCGTGTTTACAAAATTTTGCATAAACTATAAATATTTGCCAAACAGATGATAATATGATATGAACTATATATTAAAATTATGAAAATCGTGTTGTTTTGCAAAAAAAAACAAAAAATTATAAAAGAAGATCGCTTATTGTTAGAAGAATTGGTATCATAAATACGCAATCAAATAATTTATTATTGAAAATAGTTTATTATTGAAAATAATGTTAACGATCATATATAAAAAATACACTTATGGTCAAGATAGAGTATCAAAAAATCTAATTTTCTCAATTTTTTTTTAAAGTTAAAGGATTTTTTTCTTGTTTTAAGTTGTTATTTTACTTTTCTGGAAAAATTTAACTGTTTTTCTATTTTATCTATTTATTTTCTATTTACTGGGGAATTTTGTACTATATTTTGCTTTCCATTATTTCTAACAATTTCATACATTTTTTTTTTGTAATTATCAGAAAGCGTTCATTCAACTTGAATCAAACTATTGCACGTGATTCTGTTTAAGGATTTAATGAGAAAAAAGTCGGGGTCACCAAACTTGGTCAATAAAGTCAACTCAGTTTATAACAAAGTAGCACCTACTCCTTTTTTTGTCTTCTCAACTTTAATTGGATTGCATTCCATATGAACATTGCAAATTTTTCTTCCCTTGTTTAGATATAGATATCACAGAAAATATAAAAAAAAAAATGTTCAAATCAATACAAAAAAAAGTTCAATAATATCTAGATTTCACACTCTGTTTGTTTCATCTTTTGTTTTCCAAGTAGGGAATTTTTTAAAAATTATTTTTTTTTATCATAAACTTCCTCGTTTAAAAAGTGATACATAAACTTTTATAAATTATAGAAATTGGCACAAATTTTATTTAGTAAAATTTCAAAATTCAATCTCTATAAAGAAAAGAAGTTCAAAAGTGAAGGATTATATTATCTTTATATTAGTAGCAAAGTTCAACGCATTTATAAATGAGTGCATCTGTGAAAAGTACAATATTACTGATTTTTTTTCATTTATCCAGTCTAAATATTTTAACTTCCTGATATAGCTCTTATGTAAATTTTTATTTGACGAACAATATTACTGTCATTCATCAATTATTATCCTTTATCATGTTTAATTATCAACACCGAAAAAATGATATTCTTAAGAATATAATCTTGGCTTTTATTTAAATATATAATTCATGCATTTTATTCTTAGACTTAGAGTTCAATATTCTTGAAATAAAAAATATATTTTTTAACTAAAAGAATATAAGAGTCATTCCATTATATTTCGAACAATGTCGTTGCCGACTAATTTTTAAAAATTATGATACTTTGCAGGGATGATCTTGAAGTTATAAAGATCACGAAATGAAAAGATTTTTACTAAAATTTTTATTATTTACTTTAAAATATGAATTTAAAGTGTACGAGGTGCTGAAAATTGACAGTTTTTCAGCCAGCAGAAAATATTCGAAAAAACCTATAATTTACCATAAAAGTGTGAAAATTATTATTGCAATTTATTAAGAATGACTAAATTTACTTTTATAAATTGATTTAAGCATTTAAAGATATGAAATAATAGGAAAAACATGATTTTCAATTTCATCTTAAAAATAACCTAATTTTGCTATTTTTATCGATTAATTATGAGAAAGGGTAAATATTAAATTTAAAAAAAACTTACCAAATATCAAGTCATTGCTATTAACTTTCAGATTTTCTTTGTACTTTTTAATTTTTCTCTTTATTTATATAAAAATTTTGAAAAAGAAAATTGCCACTTTGCTAATTTTTGCGATTTTTGAAACTGAATAACTTGTTTACAGTAAAACGGAAAAATCTGGGATTTTGGGAGTATTTAAATATACACTAAATAAACACACTCTAACAGTCTTGCGTTGGTTTTTGAGCTATTTTGTAAGATAAAGCAGATCGAAATTTCATTACTTTTGAGGCTATATTGACAATAATTTGTTCTTAACTTGAAGTTGGCTCGCAAGTGTCGTGTCTTATAATAAATTCATATTTATTTATATTAAATGACAACACTTGCGAGCCAACTTCAAGTTAAGAACAAATTATTGTCAATATAGCCTCAAAAGTAATTAAATTTCGATCTGCTTTATCTTACAAAATAGCTCAAAAACCAACCCAAGACTTTTGGAGTGTGTTTATTTAGTGTATATTTAAATACTCCCAAAATCCCAGATTTTTCCGTTTTACTGTAAACAAGTTATTCAGTTTCAAAAATCGCAAAAATTAGCAAAGTGGCAATTTTCTTTTTCAAAATTTTTATATAAATAAAGAGAAAAATTAAAAAGTACAAAGAAAATCTAAAAGTTAATAGCAATGACTTGATATTTGGTAAGTTTTTTTTAAATTTAATATTTACCCTTTCTCATAATTAATCGATAAAAATAGCAAAATTAGGTTATTTTTAAGATGAAATTGAAAATCATGTTTTTCCTATTATTTCATATCTTTAAATGCTTAAATCAATTTATAAAAGTAAATTTAGTCATTCTTAATAAATAGCAATAATAATTTTCACACTTTTATGGTAAATTATAGGTTTTTTCGAATATTTTCTGCTGGCTGAAAAACTGTCAATTTTCAGCACCTCGTACACTTTAAATTCATATTTTAAAGTAAATAATAAAAATTTTAGTAAAAATCTTTTCATTTCGTGATCTTTATAACTTCAAGATCATCCCTGCAAAGTATCATAATTTTTAAAAATTAGTCGGCAACGACATTGTTCGAAATATAATGGAATGACTCATAATAATAATAATAATAATAATAATAATAATAATATGAATAATAATTAATAAATTATGTAATAGAAAAAATATTTCAGTTTTTTCATTATCTAAAGAGGAAGAAGACAATTTTTTCGTTTTTAATGTTTTTCCAAAAAATATGTAATTTACAAATTTTAGAGATAAAAATAATATAATGATTTTAATTATATTGACTAATTTTTTTTACACGTTATGCTATACATGTTCTTATTTTTGTTTATGTAAGTTCTTTCTTAATTCAATAGTATATAATATTATAAACTATTAGATTGTATATCATAAATAATTATTAAAAATTATAATTGATATAATAAAAATATTAATTATAATTCATTATTTTCTTATTAATTAATCATTAAATTAATAGTATTATTAGCATGATAATCTACATTGAATTAATTCATTAATTTGTCATTTTCGTCATCAGAGGATTCATTGGGCATATATGTTTTTTTGAAAATATAAAATGTATCACTCGTTGAATCACTAGGTAATTCCTCCTGAGATAAAGATTTTTGGGAAAATTCGTCAGGTATTAATTTTTCCTCTGGTATGGCTTTTTCCTTATATTCTTTTAATAAACTTTTAAAAGCTTCTGTTTCTTGATACGGCAATATATTACGTTTTTTCTGTAACAATTTTTTGTCACAAAAATTTAAAAAAGAATTTTTTTTAACTAAAAATGATAATTTTTTTTTTTATAAAATTATATACATACTCTCGTATGATGTGATTGACAAATTTTTGAATCTCTTTGAGATGATGATCCATGCTCTCTAATGTATCTTACAATATCATATCTCTTTTGTCTTTCGTCTTCTCGTTTTCGAATTGTTTTCATTTTTTCATTTTTTTCTAATTCTTGAATTAATTTTACATTTTTATCAAATACATTTTCCAAAGATGTTTCAACAATTTCTGAATGTGAAATTAATTTATTTTCTGGAACACGCAATTTGCAATTTCTTCGCAAATAATAATCTTCACGGAAATTTTCTTGTGTTGAACTCAATGCTTTTCTTCTGCCACAATGTTTGCAACTGGAAAAAAAATATTAATTTAGAATGTTAATTAATTAATTAATTTTTTTATTAAATACCTTCTTGACTTATTTGGCGATTCTTTTCTATAAAGTACATTTATTTGCTTATCTTCATCTCTTCTTTCAGTTTCCAATGATTGATTATCATTCTCTGAACTGCTATAGTAATTTTCATTATACCTTTAAAATTTATAATTACAAAATTAAAAAATTCGCTTTTGATTATTAAAAACAAAAAAAAATTTGATATAGTAAAAGCAAAAACCTTCTACGTAAAAGACGTTTTTCTGTTGATAATTTTTGATAATTTCTTCTTTCATTGAGTGTTTGCAAAGAAATATCTCTTTCCATTTGTCTCACTGTTGATTCATCAGCAAATAATTCATCATTTGTATTTTGATTTTCATCTATCATTTCTATTTCTTCATTATTTGAGTTTGCTAAATAAACAAAATAATGTTTTAAAAATAAAATTCTAAAACCCAAATATCAAGACAATGTTAAAAAAATTATTAATAAATAATTAATTTAAATAATAACACAAAATTAAATCGGGTCAAGGAAAATTAATAAAAAATATGCCAAAGATTGTAATAAACAAAAAATATTCATTCAAATTATGATAAAAAAAAATAATATAATGCCCCTATAGTCTTGATAGCTGGTCAAACACATGTGTATGTTGGAATTAATTGTCTATTAAAATATTGATATGAAAATATTTATTGAAAAAAAAATAGTTACTGACCACCGTAAAGTTTCTGAACTGAAGAATAATTACTAGATAAACCAGTAACATCGATATAATTTTTATCATCTTCACGGGATTCACTAAAATCATATTGATTATTTATTGACCTCGACAATTCTTGCATATCGTCTTTTGCTGACGTTGTTAAAGATGAAACTGAACATTTTGATTTATTACTCTCTTCCAAACTATCCAATTCATAATTCTGATAAAATGATATTACGTTAATAATTATTATCATATCTACATATATATTTTTTTAAAATATTTTCTTCCATTTTGCATTATAAAAAAAATTAGAAAACTAATTAGTAAATTTAACAAAAGAAATAGTACTTGAATTTCCTCATCATTGTCATTCCAAATTTCTGTTATTTGACTTGCATCCGAGGAATTTTTCGAATCAGATAAATGATTTAAATCTTGTTTATCATTAGAACATCGACAATGATAATTCATTCTTTCGTCAACTTGATAATATTTTATTCTTTCGGCAATTGACATTAAACCACTTTAATGATAAAGGAAAATAATAATTAATAATTACTAATTAAATAATAATATTATAATTACTTTCTCATTGTGATAAAAATGTAAACCTGGGTAATTCTTTTGTACAAAATTGCTTTTCATGTGGATATCGCAAAATTTGTTCATCTTTAATTTCTTGCAATGAATCGTAAGATTTTTCTTTCAATTTCTCTCGATAATCGATACTGTACGATGAAGATGATGTCGAGATAGATGAAGAATATAGATTCACAATTTCCACGTCTTCTTTTTCTGTTTTTTTATAATCCTTCGAGACTTTTTCCGTTTTCTTCATTTATTATCATTGTTATTAATTATTTATTTTATAAAATTTTATAATTTATTACAAAAAAAAGAAAATTAAAAAAATTAAATTTTACAATAATTTTTCAATATTATAATTTTGTTTTTCACTTTTTATTTTGAATAAATAAAATCAATGAAAAATTACTCGTTTCTTGTTGAGCCAAAAGAATTTTAAGAGACCATTAAAAAATTTCTTCAGTCTACCACGTTTCTTTTCTTTTTTCTCTTTTTCATATTTTCTCAATAGAAGTTTCGATTTCTCATCTAATTGTACTTCATCTTCAAATTCTTCTAAAGAAAATGAAGATTTCGATGATAAATCATCGAATTTTGATTTTTCTTTTTTACGCGAACGAAGTCCAAAACAAGCAGGACTTTCACTTTCTGATTCAATATCTTCAGTTTGAGAACTAAATATCTTTAAAATAGAATAAATTTTTTTTATACATTTTTTTTAAAACAAATATAATTTAAAAAAAAATTAAATTATACCTGAGTGGAAACATCGTCTCGTAATGTTTGAGCTTCAATATCTTTAAATGGAACTTTTTGAGGTAGACTTTTGTCAATTTGAGATTTATCATCCTGATATGCTAAATTTTAAAGATAAAATATTGAAATTTTTTCAATTTGATTGAATTAATTTAATTTTTAAATTATTTCATACTGTAACTATATTCAGTAGAAGACGAAGAAATTGAACTGATATCTTCTTCTATGATATCAATTCCTTCTTCAATTCTACGATCATCGAAATATTTTGAATCTTCTGATTCATTTGATGTTATTGATTTTCTAGCTTTAGCTTCTTCTTCTGAAGAATCTCTGCAATTATAAAATAAATAATAATAATTATTATTATTACTATTAAAATAATTTAAAATAAATTATATTTTATTGTTTAATAATAAAAAAATTTACTTTTCTTCACTGATATCAGACAAGTCTCCATAATCAATTGGTGTTTTACAAACCGTGCACATATTACGTAAATCATTAAAACATTGAACGCAAAATAGACCAACACAATTTGGAGTGGGACATTTAATGTGAGGTTGTTGCTTGTCCCTTTCAATGGCACCACATAAAAGACATATTTTTTTATCATCAGAAAAACATTTTCTCAAAAGAGGACAAATTGCTGTTAATCTTTCCTTTAATGTAACAATTTCCGTTGTTTGTCCACTCTGTATACCAAATTTTCTTCGCAATTGTCTTCTTGCAAATTTCAAAAAATTACCCCTCGATCTTTAAAAGTGAAAAAAAAATTATTTTTTATTTTTTGTATTTATTAAATAAAAAATAAAAAAATGAACCTTAGAATGTGATTGTAAAGCCAGACGGCACGTTCTTTGGCCCTCTCGGGATGATAAGAAATCATGACACATTGTCGCATACGTAAACCGTATGGTTCGAAAATAATGATTAACCAACAAAAGAACATGAGAGTTAAAATTTGTAAATATCTATCATAATTTGGTGGAATTGGATTCGGTAGACATGGAATCATATCAATTTCTTTTTCTTCACTCGATAGAGTAAAAGCATTTACGATACTTCGATAAAGTTCAGCTAAAAAACCATTTCCGGTTACATGTACACCAACTGAATTTTCCGGTATTTTTGTCTCAAATCTTCCATGATATCTGAATTTGAATTTTTATTTTTTTTAAATTTAATTCTTATAAGAATTGTAAAAAACAATTTATTTATTTACCTAATAACATCTAAAATCCAAAAGAGACTGTAATCAATAGCCATTTGAAAGAGAAGTTTAAAAGAAATTAAACTCATAAAAACGGCAGATTTTGTTAATTTCATTTTTTCAGCTTTAATTAATCGTATTGACGATAAAGGGACATATTTATTTCTCTCTCTTGGATTTAATGGCAAAACAGTTTCTTTGTCTAATCGCGCTCTTCGAAGATCAATGTCACGTAAATAATCGGTTAAATAACGATTATCAAATCGAGGATTCGTCAGCCATTTATAACGGTAGAAAATTACCCTACAAAAAAATTTTTTTTTATAAATTATAATAATAAAAATAAAAAAAAAAATAATAATAATAAATGTACAACCTGACAAATATGAGTAAAATAAAAACGCTTGTCATACAGCTTAACATATCAAAAAACAAAAAGAATTTTTGTGTTCTTTGCTTTATCTCTGTGCTAATTCCCTTTGTTATATCAGTATTGGTTCGGCTTCGATTACTCTCAAAATGAAATGAATGAGAAAATTTTACTTTTACATAAAACATAGCCTTCATGTGTTTTGCAAATTTTTTTATCTCTGCACAAAGTAAAAAAAGAATGTAATTAATTAAAAATTTATTTTTAATTTAAAAAAAAAAATTTATTTTCAAATTAAAATTATTTTTTTTTACCTACTTTTTCGAACAACATTGACAATAGCATCGGAAACAAATGACACAAGTTCACAAATAAAATCAAAGGGCTTTACAATATAACAAATGGCACCAACCACATATGTTACATTACAAAGACCACCAAAAAATGATCCTAATTTTGCTTTACAATCATCAACAGCATCTTCAAATGCTCTATTACATCTTTCAAATGGTGTGCCTAATTTTTTATTACACATATTTACAACTGATCCCAACCACTCGTACACTGATTGAATTACTTTTACTATAAATTGAAATAAATAATAAAATTTTAAACTAATTATTTAAAAATAAACTATAATTAAATAAAACTTACAAATACTAAGCACAAGCCTCTTGATTGCAATAAGGGTGTTTTTAATTTTTTTCACAACAACTTTAACGGTTTTCAAAACTTTTGTTATTGCATCTTTAAGTGCATTGAATGGCTCTCTAATTAAATCGAGAATAGATTTAACAGCTTCTTTCAAATGTTCCTAATAGTGAAATTAAACAAGCTTAATTATTTTCATCTGATATTTGATAACAAAAATTTTATTAGTTTTCATCTTTAGTGTATTATATTTATTTATTATTTATTTATTATTTATTTTATCTATAATTTTTTTATATTTTCTTACCTCCCCACAAGATAGAGATTGTGACAAAACACCAATATTGTTTAAAGTATTTTTAGCTGGTCCTGTGAGAGCAAGAATGAAAGCATACGCCAATAGAGCCTGTCGACCTCGTTTTGACAAAAATTGTGGCATTATCAAAAACACCAAACATCTATAAAAAAATTAATTTTTTAAACTCAAAAAAAAAATTACACCCGTTTATTTAAACAAATATTAAAATATTTTACATTAAAAATTTAAATAAATAAAAATTTATGAAAGATAAATTAAGAACAAAATAAATAATTATAATAATACCTGACATACTTGGAAAATGCCAAACCGAGTGTTAAAATAATACCGAGTAATGAACACCATAATGTTGCCGATGGTAATGAAAAATTTAGTTGAAAAACAAAAAAAATAAAAAATAGATACGTAAGAAGAATTCCGCCTAAAAATCCAAAAATACTTTTTAACACAAAATTCTCTAATGTTCCATCAGTTTGCAATAACAATGCCTTTTTGTGAAACCACGTATCCTCTGGGCAGGAGACAAGTTTTTTCAAAAAATCCTTGATCTTCTTCTTAACACTGTCTTGCACAAAAATACAAAAAATTACAATTCAATGATAAATTACTTAATAAAAATAGTTGATTTTTTTAATAAGCTTAATAAAATATAATATTATTCTTTTTTGTTATATTATTATTTTTTTTTTACTATTACTATTATTTTTCATCTTATTATTATATTATTGTTATTATCTTACAGTAATTTTGTATAACGAATTTTCTGAAAAATATTATAATGCAATTTGGCTCCTCTTGAGATTGCAATTGATTTTAATTTTTCATCATGATAAACAAGACGTGCATTTCTCAATCGTGTTGCTTTCACAACTTGTTGGAAAAACGCCATTTTTAAAATAATAATTAATCTATTTAAATTAATGAAACTGTTCCACATTTATAAAAACATATTTTCTACGTATTTTTTTTTTTAATTTTTGATTTAAAACTTTGATTAATTATTAAGGTTATAAATATGCTATACTATACACGATTTATAAAAATTAATGACACTGCATTAATCGACATTTTTTTGTTTTAGAAACTCACACTTTAAGACACACACACACATATAGAAATAAAAAAAAAATATTAACAATGGGGGAAAAATGTATTTTGTAATTGGAAATTTTCGAAATTTTCTATTTATAAAATATTTTTATACATAAAGAAATTAATTACTCATGAAATTTTTATTTTTTTTTGGCTAAATAAAATTTAAATATATAGATTCCATAAAATAAAAATTTTATAAATTAGAAATTTTTAATTAAACAAAATATATTTTTAAAAAATGTAGTTTTCAATTTTATTTAAAATTTAAAAAGTCTGATAAAGAAAAAAATTAAGAAATGATTGATCTACAGAGTAGAAATTTAAACGAACATTTCTCACAATATTCCACCGATGGCGCTAACATGATCTTTTCAGGTTTCAAATTTACTGAATGACAATATTATAATTTAAACTATGTTATCATTATGTAAATGACATTAATGTCTGTTTATTTTTATCTCTCAAACATAAAAAATATATATATTAAGTAGATCATGTTTTAAATGGAACAAAATTACATATATTTCAAGAAAACGAAATATTATTCTCAGAAAAAAAATTAAAAAATTATGTTAATACAAAAAAATCGTATTTTTGCTTCAAACAAAACTCTAAGTGTACTTTTTGTTTAAAAAAAAAACTTATTAAACATTTATTTATCTTTTCAAAAAAAATTTTACCTCTTTTGTTGCATATATGAATGTAAACTGTAATTAAAATTACATGAAAAAGTTTTTAAAAATTTTATAAACAATTTGTGCAAATGGAATTTTGTGAAATCGCGAGCTATTTAACAAAACCGATAAGACTTATCAATATTTCAATTTAAGAGGTCATTTTTAATATGCTCTTTCTTTGCATATATAATAATTTATTTTTTTTTTTGATCGGTAATAATAAAAAATAAAAATCGACTATTAAACTAATTTGAATTATAAACAAACATCGACGACGAAGCAAATAAAAAACAAAAATTATTTATTGATAATTAATGATAGTTTCAATTATTGGCAGTTTAAATTATTTGATGTACTCTTAATTAGCATTTGAATTAATTAAGAAATTAAAATTGTTATTTGCAATTAATTGAAAGTATAAAGTTGAAATTACCATCAATTAAAACTATCATTAATATATAATCATTAATATAATAAATTAAAAAAATTGAAGCTATAAGTAATTGAAACTATACTAACAGTAATTGGAACTATATTAACAGTAATTGATTTAAATTTGAACAAAAAAATCATTTAGAAAACAAAATAAAATTAAAGAAAAAACTAAATTAAATCAAATATCATTTAAAATATTAATAATAGACTTTTCTTTTTGCAGACAAAAACTCGGGTTCTTCTTCACCTATCACCGATCCTGTCGAATGTGTAGGAGTGGGGCAAGGGGCGCACAATCCGAACCGATAGTAGAACCCACACCAGCAGCAGTTCTCTTTGCCAGCTGTGTGTGGTTTCGTGAACGTGTCTTCCCTGTTATTTGTAGTTCATATACCCAGGTAAAAACGTGTTCTCATATTCGTCGACAAAATAAAATATATCCTTTAAAAAGTTCTAGTGAAAATTAAAATTTATAAACGTGTGTCCTTTTTTTATTAAGCGCAAGGAAGAAGAAGAAGAAAAAAGAAGAAATGTCCTGACTTGTTTCCACGTGACCGCGATGTTCAAATGGAGTAGTGATTATTTTTTATCAGTGCTAATAATTAACAGGCAAATGTTGCCAGTCAATTGTGAGAATACACGCGGTGTGTAAGATTTTACACACACGCATTTATTATCATCATCATCATTAGTATTATTATTATTGAAGAAATAATAAACAGAAATGACAACGAGGGAGCTTTACGTCAAGGTACTATTTATTTTATTTTTTTTCCTTTTTTTTATATATATAAACGCTCCGCTACTTTAAGGGTTGAAAGCTCATTTCTGGAGCAGTGTGCTTTAAAAAAGAAAAGAAGATCAATATTGAGGGAGGAAAAGGTGAAGCTCAATATTATTATATTTGTCCCGCTTGACAATATTGTCATAGTTTCAATTTCAATTCACTGATATTGTTATTATCATTAGTTGACAAATGTGAAAGTTGACAATAAATTATTTCTTTCATTTTTGAAGGGTTGAGAGAGAAAGAGAGATGTAATTTGTTTTCATGTCAAATCAATGTTGATGAAGGTTTTGGTTGGTGATGTAGTTCAGTAGCTGCGCATAAAGTAACTTTCTCTCCCACATATATACATGAGAAGATATTCAGCTTTAAAGGGATGTTTTGGATCTTATTCGTACTTTAGTAAAAAAGAAAATCTTACATTAAGATATTTATCTTAATTAAAATCCTTTAAATCTTGAATTAAATTTATATTCATTTTATCTGATTAATTTATTTTTATTTATACATTTAAGTCTTGAATAGTGAAAACAGCAAATTTCTGAAAAATTGTCCAAAAAAATTAAGTATCTTCAAAATATTTTAATTTAATTAATAAACCTTCATTTATTTATTTATCATTTACGTAAAGAAGTAACTATTAACGTCTTGATAAAGAAAAGTGTATAATTTTATTATCGTTTAATCAATTTTCTATTTAATTGATATTGATCAATAAGTAATTTCAAGAAGTTATAATATATAAACAAAGCTTTTAATATCCTTTTTCTTTTTTTTTATCCAAGGTCTCTGTAAAAAAAAACATATTTTTTACCATTTCCCTATATATAAATAAATAAATTAAATTAATTGAAAGAAAAAATGTATTAGAGAAAAATTTAATAAATTAAATAAATGTTTAATAGATAAATAAATATAATAAGAATTGAAAAAAATAAATAAAAAAGTAAAAGTATATAGGTTACAGGTTACATCTTCTCTTGTAATTACATCCAGTGAATTTGCTCTCTGAAAGTACATTCACCTTTTGAGAGAATCTAATGTAGTTTCATATATATAAAAACATTAATGATTCTCTTAACATTTGTTACATAGTTTTCAAATGTCCAATTATTTTTCTAATTAAAATCAAAGACAACAATAAAACAATTATCTTGAACATTAAATTCTTTTGTTTTTGTTTAACATTCTAAAACTGTTGTTTTGTTTTAATTGTTTTAGTTTTATTATTTATAATCATTAAAATAATTAAAAAAAATTATATATACATAGTATATAAGAATATAATTCTGGATATGAAAAGTAAAAGTTTAAATTTTCCAATGATCTAAAATTAACAGCAAAATTAAATTTCATTACCAACTTAACCTTCATTATCAAATGTATAAATGTAATGACAGCTCATTGAATAACGGATTGACCGGTATTTTATGTAACACACTCATTAACATTTAAACGCAGAGAGCAGTGAGCGTTTCTCCAGTGTGTGCGTAATATAATTTACACTCTTTACAACGTGCGTGGGAAATTGAGAAAATCAGTTCAGTGAAAAATTATACACTTCACATCAAAATGAAAAGAACATAGATTATTAAACATTATTAAATCAACCATAATTTTCAAATTTACAAAAATAAATATTGTTTTGGATTCTGGTTTGTTTATTTATTAATTAATGCAATTATTGATATAGCTTCAATTATAATGCTTGGTTTCAATTTGGTTCTTTGGTTCTGTGAATTTACTAATAAATATAAAAATACAAAATAAATAATAAATAAATAATCAATAAATTTATGAATATTTGAGAAATAAATAATATAATTTATACGATATGGATTATTGTAATCGCGTGCATTAATTGAGATTTATTATACGTTTTTAATACACTTTGAGTGCAATTAATATAAATCAGAAAATTTTTTTCTGATATTTAAACTTTTGCCATTTTGCCAAGTTCGATTTCATTAAATTGCCTGAACGTTAATGTATACGCGGATCGGTTTCGTAGAACGTGATCAGCTAAAGTTACTATAACTTGTAGTGTATAGCAAACGTGTAAAATCCCTTCTCTCATTTCCTCTCTCTTTCTCTCTCAGAAGAAATAAGAGAATAACTAGGATAGGTCACTGGTCGTCCTGCTTGGGTTCAACGAGACTTATATATATTTATTTAATACTAGTTTTCTTCCTTCAATGCAATATATAAATAATATATTGATTTAATTTCACAAACTTGTAATTTAATAAATAAAAAATTTCTATTTGATTTAAAAAAAAAAAATGAATTTACCGTTATAAATTAAAATAACTGATGTATAGTTTGAAAATATTTTAAAAAAATAAAGGGAACTGTAAAATTTTCGATTTTTTAGAGAAAAAAAAACGTTTATGGGATTGTGAAACGTTTATTAGATATAAAATTTTATTTATATGGTTAAAATTATTACTTATGGATAGTAGGTATTTAAATATATCAGCAGTAAAATACGGAGGTGAAGGCGAAGGACCTTACGTTGGGGTCACTGTGCTACTTCCTTATATGACGGTGAATTTTTTTTTGTATGCGTAAGAGAATATATGAACTCTTAAAATTATATATCTCGTGAATTTTGTATACCAAAATGATAATTGAAATTGTTCCATTTACTTAACTTTTTCAGTGACTGTTTCCTTGCTAAGATAACTTTATCTATAAAATCAAATATATCATAGCGAAACTACTTTTCCTACTTAAAAATTTGAGGCGTGTCTTGCCACAACAACCTTATCTACTTAAAAATCGTATTTTCTTAAACAAAATTATTTTGTAATAATTATTAAATTAATTAATTATTTTTTCTATATAAAAAAATTGGTCTTGCTAAAACTACTTTTTCTACTTAAAATGCTATTATTGTCACGTCAAGATAAATTTATCTGCTTTAAAATCAATTCTGTCTGTGCAAAACTAATTTTTCTACTTAAAATCAAATTTATCTTGGCGAAAATAATTTTCCTATTTAAAAAGCGACTATTGTCTTGCCAAAAAAAAAATTTACCTACTTAAAAGAAAATTTTTCTTGAAAGTACTGTTTCTATATATAAAAAGTGATCGTTATCTTAATCAGACAGTTTTCTCTACTTAAAAATAAACATCTATTAATAAAACTGACTTTTTTGTTAAAAATAAAATTTTTTTCAAAACTAGTTTTTCTATTTAAAAAAAAAAAAAATAGTTTTGATAAGACGATTTTTATCTACTTAAAATGTGAATACCTGTTTTGCATATTTATTTTCTACTTTATTCAACTTATTTTCTATTTTTTAAAAAAAGTTAAAAAAATTTATTATAGAAAAAAATGCAAAACAGGGAATTATATAAATAAAATTAAACTAAAATTAAATAAACGATTAAGAATGTTAAAGAATGTAGGTGGGAAACTTGACCTGCTTTATTCTTTATATGGGGCAACAGAATTCTCTCGTTCGTAGGTTCACGATGCGGGTCTCTCTATATGTGGGGCAACGATCGATCTTTCGACAAAACGCGTGATACCTCTTACTTATAGGGAATATATATGTATATACATATACACCTGAATCAGCAGTGGGTCTTGACACTTGCTCGAATATAAAAAAGAAATTAAAAAGAGAATTTAAAATAACAAAAGAAAAAATTAACTACATACAAGGTCGCATATGTCACCACATTTTTTATTCATACAGAAAGCAAAAAGAAATCAAAATTTAATGAAAAATTATTAGAAATTAATTAACAATTACATATATTACTAACATAATTTTTTTTTATTAATTAAATAATTGAAAAATTATTTATTAAATAAATAAAAAATTAACAAATAAATAGAAAATTCGTATCAAAATATTAGTTTATCATTGAACTAAATAATTATATAAATAATTAATTTATGAGTAAATTTAAATAATGTAATTTAAAAATTTTTATTAATTTAGATTTTTTTCTAACTTCCTGATTCAACTTCTGTATCAAGTTATAATGTTGATATATGATAACGTTGCTTGGTACCAAATGTCACAGACATGTGGCTCAACATCATGCTTCTGCAATTTTTATTTATTTCTAATAAGTAATATTTTACTAAAATAATTATTTCAGATTTTCAAATATTTTTAATAATTTCGAAAAGAAGAAATTATTAATTTAAAACTGAACAATAGTTTTATCAACTGAAAATTTGAATTTGTCATTTATTAAATTAATAATTAAATTAGTTTTTTTTTTTATTTAAGTTTTAAATTGTTGTAAACAACCATTTTTGTCAAAAAAAAAAAATTTCACAATTTGACTCATCGGAGATTGCAATCGATTTTGATAAGATTACAATTACTAAATGTCTTTTTATTTTATCTGTATAGTCTTTTTTTTCTACAAAATGTGATTTTAATTTAATAAGGAAAAGAGAAAATCATAATAATTTTCTAAAGGAAGTGGCTGGGGAAAAAAAATTTATCTCGCTCTCGTTTATATTATAATTTTATGACAAACTGACCGGAACATATTATATATACATTTTTGACAATATTTTACATTTCAAATTTTTTTTTTTTCACATAATTCATGAGTCATTTTAGAAAAAAAAATGATGATCTAATTACTTTTACTTTCTTCCGCGTGTGTGTATGTGTGTAAGGAGTCTTTGCAAAAGACTTTCTCGGGATTTTTCCGTTCCCAAGAAACTCTTACTGTAACAGTAAATAACTGATGTAAAGATTATGATGATGATCGTGACTACATCACACGGCTTTTTAATGCTTTTCCCAGATTTTCAAATCCTGAATAATAATTCTCACCTTATCTTCTCTTTTAGATCGACTTTAAAGCATTCATAGATGCAATTTTCTGTATTTTACAATTGTATAAATTATTTATGCGCATATATCATAATTTTTCTATTTTTTTATGAAATTTCTATATTCTTCTATGTCAAATTTATTTTACTAAAAACACTAAATATTTGATTTTTTTTCCTTTTCAGATAAGAAAAGAAATTAGAAATAAAAAAAAATTCTTATGGTTATTGAAAATTAAGAGAATATAAATTAATTTTTGAAAATATATTTTTTGTAATATATGAGCGTTGATTTCAATTGTTAAATTGGCCTTCGAATGACATAAAAATCGATCTTTGATTTCATTTGAATTCCCCCTTTTATATTAATTATCTTTTGTTATTTTCTATATATTTTTTTTAAACTATTTTTTTTCTATAAAAATTTTATAACTTATACAAATTTAATTTGTGTAATTTTTTTAATTAAACAAATTTTTTTTTTCTGTAATATATGAATTTTGTTAATAAATTAATTAAATACTATTGAATAAATGAAAACTAAAATTTGAAACAAAAATTAAGAAACAAATTTAAATAATTTTTTATTAATTTTGTTGTCTCTATAAACATATTATATGTTTTGAAAAAAAAAAAATTATCATAAATTTCACCACTGAGTTTGCACTCTTTAAATACGACAGAAGCCTTAGATTGTCGGCAAAGTATAAACTATAAGAGTTTTATTTCTACATCGGTCGTCTACACTGTTGACTATTTTACGTGTGAACTACTTTTTTATTTTTCAAATCACAAAAAAATTTACCTTTTTTTATTTTTATTGAATAATTTTATTATAAATAATAATAAAAAAAATTTTTAATTTAAATTATAAGCGATTAAAATAACAAATTGATTTCTACATTAAAATTTACACATAATACAATGTGGATTCTCATCTTGTTATAATTAATGTACCGTTTATGTGATATAATAATAATTAAACTTTAAATCAGTTTCAGAGAAAGCGAGTTTATATGTATATAATACTATATCTACTTACAAATTAAATTGGTCTTGGAAAAATGAATTTTTCTACTTAAAATCAAATTTCTTGTCAAAAATATTTTTTTTTTTATTTAAAATCCCATAGATAAAAAATAGTAACAATTTTGAAAAAAATAAACGTTAAAAATAGTTAAAATGTAGAAACTTCACTTCTTTTTTCCTTCCTAATGGAAGAACTATTTTTTTAAAACTATTTTTATTGTTTATTATTATTATTATTTATTATTATATAAATATATATATAATAGTGCGCGTAAAAACAAATTGTTCTTGTTCGTGAGTTTGAAGGTATAGAAAGCTTGGGAACTGTTCTTTGTCAGGAATGTTGATACAGACTAAGAACCATTCGTGAGGAAAAATTCCTTATAGTCCGGTTAGGCTTATAGGATAAGAAGTGAAGGAGGACAATAAAAGGATATACAATCATCCGTGTAACTTATCATTAAGCAAAAACAAAAAAAAGATTAGTTCAAAGAAATTTTGAACTTTAAAATGTCACGACAGAATTTTTTGTAGTTTATTTTGTAATTATATATAATAATAGTAATAATTTACATAATAATTATAATAATAAATTATGATTATTATAATATATATCCTATTTTACTGGTATATTATATTCATAAAATAAATTCATTTTTTTAGAAATATATAACTTAGAAAATATATTTTCTAACAATAGTATAATATATAACAATCAAAAAATGAAAGTTAAAAGAAGAGGAACTGATTATGTAAAGCAAATGACAAGTCTTTCATGACTGAATGAATTTAAGCAATCGTATTATTATTATTTGCATAATAAAAAATAAGTTATGTTATTAAAAATAATTTATAATAACAATAACGAAAGATTATCAAATTTTAGCTAATTTTAAAATATACTAATATTTAAATAAATAATGAAATATATTAATATTTGAATAAATATTGAAATTAGTCAATGAAGAATGGAAAATTTTCGTTTACCTATAAATGGAAGTGAGGAAAAAAACAAAAAAGTTAAAGAAATAAACTGTTTTTCACAAAAATAATAATAGTTATAATGAATATGCATATATTTAGTACTGCATATTTAAAAATATAATTTAGTTTTTAATGTTCTCTCTTTAAAATGAACAAAGGAAATTAAATCCAGTTAGGAATTTAAGTTTCGGACATAGTCTCTGTGAAAACTATGAAGCTGGAACGAAGGAGTCAAGTTTATGAACCAAAGTGTATTACAGTGATTATAATAACGGTATAGACATTAAAAAAAAAAAATGACTGATTATATTTCAATCTTTGGGAGACTAAACTAGCCGTAACCACAAAAACAATAAGTAAATCTTCACTTTTTTGTATCGTTCAATTACAATTTTTCTTTTTCAAATCATCTGTTAAATAATTATTTTTTATTCACTATCGCAATTTGATAAAAAAAATGTATGAATATATAATAAAAAAATTAATAAATAAAAAAAAAACTTCCGAAAGATTGAAATAAACTGATTGAATAAATGGTAAATTTTGTTAAAAATTATCTTTTAAAAGACTGTGTTTAGCACATTACAAATTGTTTTCTTTTGTAATTAATGCACATGCACGCGATGATCATCTGACCGCATAACATATTTATTTCTTAAAGGAAATATATTGTGAGAAAAGTAAAAGAGCTTCTATAGAATAAAAAAAAAATGATTGACTAATTAGATATAAGATTGTAATTAACAAAATAATTTTAATGAATCGATAGTCATCAAAAATGCACATAGTGACAATAAATTAACATAAAATTCTATTATAAAACTGGAAAGTAGTGAAATGTGACCTTGATCTTCACTTTCGTTCTCCTTTATGCATGTTTCATCACAATTACATAAAATAATTAGCAATTCTTCAATTTTGTACTTCAGCAAAAATTTTTTTTTATATTAATTCATCAGTAAATTTCTTTTGTCCTTAAAAATTTCAGAAACATTTCTAAAGAATTTACAATTTAATTTTTTTCACATCATCAACAATATTATGCAAATAAAAAAATTGCTAAATATCTTATTAAATTAAATAATAATAGATTATAAAATATGAAATTTAATTCTTTATCATATTAATTTAAGAAAATTTAATTTTCAGGATGCAAAAGTATGGGTACCACATCCAGAGAAGATTTGGGAGGGTGCAATACTTTTGGATAATTACAAATCGGAAAAAGGAACACTTCAATTACGCACAGATGAATCGAAACAAACTAAAATAATAGAAATAAAAAGTGACACGGATCTTCCACCATTGAGAAATCCTGATATTCTTTTGGGTGAAAATAATCTCACTTCTCTTTCATTTCTTCATGAGCCAGCGGTTCTTTATAATTTACAAATTCGCTTTCAAAGGCATTGCATTTACACTTATTGTGGAATTGTTCTCGTTGCTTTTAATCCGTACAATGAATTACCCATTTATGGCAATGACACAATTTGGGCCTATCGAGGTCAAGCCATGGGTGACCTCGAGCCCCATATATTCGCCGTTGCCGAGGAAGCTTACACGAAACTGGAAAGGTAAATGAAATAACTAACATATCTATAAATTTTTGAGAAAACTATTTTTTGTTATTTATTTGTATTTTTTATTTGCAAAAAGAAAGAAAAAACTGACCATGGATTTAAAAAAAAACCGAATTCATATTTGACATACAAAGATTACAAAGCGAAATTGATATTAAATTGAATATCAAAGGATTTTTATTTAACCGAATTTGCATTTAAGAAAATTTTTATTAACCGAATTTTTATTGAATGAAATAATAGAAATTCTCTACCAACGAAAAGAAAATTCGATTTAATAAAATTTTTTATAAAAATTCTGTTAAATAAAAATTTTGAACTAATGAGTTTTAGGGGAATATTCTACATATTGGTGATAATTGCAAGAAAAGCAATCGATGGTTGAGAGATGAGTTTGAAAAAAAGGCTTCGTAGAACTCAATAACTAGAATTAAGGCAGGGCTTCCTCAAACACTTGTAAAACTATAAGTTATTTTTGCATGAGAAGTTCTTCGCTTGGAAATTAATTAGTCTTTTCGTTTTTCATTATTATTATCATCTTTTTCTTTTTTTTTTCTTTTTTGCAGAGAAAGTCACGATCAATCAATTATCGTTAGTGGCGAGTCAGGAGCTGGTAAAACTGTTTCGGCAAAATATGCAATGCGTTATTTCGCGACTGTTGGTGGTTCATCGACTGAAACACAGGTGGAAAAAAAAGTATTGTCCTCTTCGCCAATAATGGAAGCTATTGGCAATGCAAAAACTACAAGGAACGATAATTCATCTAGATTTGGTAAATTTATTGAAATTCAATTCAATAAAAATTATCACATCATTGGCGCTAGTATGAGAACATATTTGCTGGAAAAGTCAAGAGTCGTTTTTCAAGTGAGTAAATGAATTTAAAATTATTTTCTACTTTTTATGGAATTTTTAATAATAATTTTAATTTTTAGGCGGGAGGAGAGAGGAACTATCATATATTTTATCAAATGTGCTCAGCGATGAAGAAGCTGCCGCATTTGCATTTAGATTTTCAAGATAAATTCCATTATTTAAATCAGGGTAAAGATCCAATTATCGATGGTGTTGATGATTTAGTTTATTTCGAAGAAACAATTAATGCATTTACAACGCTTGGATTCACTTACAAGCAGCAAGATGATATGTTTCGAATTTTAGCTGCCATACTTCATTTAGGAAATATTCGTTATACAAATTCCGATTCACAGGGAGGTAATGACTCCGAAGGAAGCAATATATCTGTACGTTGTTTGTTTTTAATTAATAAATTTAATTAATATAATAAATTAAATTTTTATTTATTTTCCTTTTTATAGGCAAAGGATAAAAATCTTCTTATTATCTCCGAATTGTTGGGCATCGATGTAAATGCCATGAGAAAATGGTTGTGTCATAGAAAAATTGTATCGATGAAAGAAGTTTTTCTAAAGCCAATGACAGTCGATGAAGCGATTGGTGCACGAGACGCATTAGCAAAACATATTTACGCTGAGCTTTTTAATTGGATTGTTTCGGGAATTAATAATTCACTGCAAGCACAGGCAAAAAGTCAATCGTTCATTGGCGTATTGGATATTTATGGTTTTGAAACATTTGAAATTAATTCATTTGAACAATTTTGCATTAATTATGCCAACGAAAAACTTCAACAGCAATTTAATCAACATGTCTTTAAATTGGAGCAAGAGGAATATTTAAAGGAAGAAATTGAATGGACATTTATCGATTTTTATGACAATCAACCGTGCATTGATCTCATTGAAACAAAATTGGGAATTTTAGATTTACTTGATGAAGAGTGTCGTGTACGTTAAAACATATTAAATTTTTTAAATTATTAAATATATATAAAATTAATTAAAAAATTTTATTGCTACAGATGCCGAAAGGAACAGACAGTTCGTGGGCTGAGAAGCTTTATACAAAATGTGGAAAATCGAAACATTTTGAAAAGCCACGATTTGGCACATCGGCATTTTTGATACATCATTTTGCTGATCGTGTACAATACGAGGCTGTGGGATTTTTAGAAAAAAATCGCGACACTGTGATTGAAGAGCAAATTGATATATTGAGATCAAGTCAAGTGAGTTAACGAATCTGATAACTAATTTTGTTTTTATAAATGATAATAATTAATTTATTTTTCAATACTTTCAACTCTTTTTTATTTTTCTAGAATAAATTATTGAAAAAACTCTTCTCTGAAGAAGATCCAAAATTGACGGTTCCTAATGCGAGAATTAAAGTTTCTGCGCAGAAAACAAGTAGTAGTAGTGCACCTAAACAACATAAAAAGACTGTGAGTATTTGCAAAAAAAAAGAATAGTTTTAATTCAATTTTTAATTAATTTTTTATTAAAAAAAAATTATTTTCAGGTTGGATCTCAATTTCGAGATTCACTAAATATGTTAATGTCGACATTGAATGCGACAACACCTCACTACGTTCGATGCATCAAACCCAATGATACAAAAGAATCATTCGAATATAATCCAATTCGTGCAGTGCAACAACTTCGTGCTTGTGGCGTTCTCGAGACAATTAGAATATCGGCAGCTGGATTTCCCAGTCAACGAACGTATGCCGATTTTTTTCATCGTTTTCGTTGTCTCTGTAAATTTAAAGAAATCAAACGTGATGATTTACGTGAAACGTGTCGTCGTATTCTCGCCACCTACATTAAGGATGAGGATAAATTTAAATTTGGCAAGACAAAAGTTCTTTTTCGTGCCGGTCAAGTGGCCTATTTGGAAAAATTGCGAGCCGATCGTCAACGCGACGCATGTATTATGATGCAAAAAACTGTTCGCGGTTTTATTTGTCGCAGTCGCTATCGTAAGATAAGAAAATCAGTTTTGGGTTTACAGAGGCACGCGCGTGGCTATTTGGCACGGCGAAAAGCCCAAAAAATTCGCGAGGAACGTGCTGCAGTGAAAATACAAACGCGTGTAAGAGGTTGGCTTGCGAGAAAGAGATTCTTAAATTTGAGACGAGTAATTCTTGGTCTTCAGCGTTATGGACGTGGTATTATGGCAAGAAAACGATTCCGTTTAATGAGAGACAATGCAGCGGCAATTGTAATTCAAAGATTTGTCCGTGGTTATCTTGTGAGAAGACGTTGCAGAAAGAAGCTTTATAATATTATTTTAGTTCAATCGTGTGTGAGAAAATTCCTTGCCAAACGAGTGTTGCGTAAATTGAAAGCCGAGGCAAGAAGCGTTGAACATGTCAAATCATTGAACAAGGGTCTGGAAGTGAAGATTATATCACTTCAGCAAAAGATCAACGAATTAGTGAGTTTTTTAAAATATTATATTTTAAATAAGTTAAAAATTTACTCAGATAAATTTGAAAATATAATTTTCAATTTTTCACCAGGCAAAGGAGAATCAACATTTGAAATTGACGCAAAATGAAGTTGTGGACTTGAAAACGAAACTCGAGGGACTGAAGACGATAGAATTGGAAAATAAAAAACTAAATGGTGTAGTCGCGGAAAAAGAGAAGGAAATCGTAAAAGTGAAGGAGGCTATCGAGAAAGAAAGAGATGAGAAAATGGATTTACTTCAAGTATGTAACTAAAATGTCAACAATATTCTATTTGGAATATTTTTAATTATTATTAATTATTCAAATTTGTTTTTTCTTAATAGGATAAGGAAAGAATCATGAATCAAAGGAATGAAGAGAACAAGAGGCTCTTGGAGGAAAATGAGAAATTGAGAAAGGAACTTGCCGTGGCAAATGAGAAATTAAGAACAAATCTTCGAGGAGCAGAGGAGAATCTTAAAACTCGATTGGAACTAGAGAAGGATCTTTTATTACATGAACAAGATCAGGATCGAAATGCTTATCAGAAATTGTTGAAAGATTATCACGATTTAGAGCAACAAAATGAATTTCTTCAACAAAAATTGGCTCTTCACGTTCCTAGTCATTCGCGATCGTTGAGTAATGCCTCGAGTGGAAGTGGACACATTACTTCAACTGATCTTCCACCCGATGATCAGAATATTGTAAATACATTGTTTTTTTTTCTTTTATTTCTAAATATATTATATTCTCGTTATTTAGGAATTTTTGAATCTTTCACAGGATTTCGGTTATGGATCAGTGAAATCAACAGGATCTTCTAACACACCGTATAATAGAGTTGAGAATATCGATTGGCATCAACAACGAACGGACAGTCCACCAGATGGTGAAATTTCCGTAACAAAATCGCCTCTCGAAAGAAATGGTCCAGCGCATGGTCCAGTGGATGTTGGACTTGTGCTAAAACTTCAGCAAAAATTGAGGGATGTAGAAAAAGAAAATGGTAGATTAATTCGAATGGTCGAGGATTTGGAACGCGAAAGTCCCGAAGAAATAACAAGAGCTCAAGATACATTCAAGGTATGAACAACAAAATGATTATCAAATAATGAAAAATAATAAAAAAAAAAATTTTTAATTTTCAGTTGCAAGAATTTGAAATGGAGAATGAAAAACTGAAGAAAGATTTGGGATCATTGCAAAAAACAGTTCTGGAAAAAGATCCTGTTAATGCACAGAATAAATTAATGGGTAATTTTTCAATATTATTACATATTTTTTAAGAACAAAATTTTTTTAAAATTAAATTTACATTGTTTCGACTTTTCCTGTTTGACAGAAGAAAAATAACTTTCATTCATATAGAAATTGTAAACAAAAGTTTCATTATCGAGTTTAGAGACATGTATATTTTAAAATGTAAATAGTCTGAATAATGAAACCGATTTGAAATGATCAAATATATTTAATATTATGAGACTAAAATTTTAATTAATTTGACTAAAGAATTTTTAAATTATTTTTATTTAACAAAATGTGTGATTTTACGTTAACGAATACGGAATTATTTAACATAAGTGATTTTACGTTTACGAACATCAGTACGGAATTATTTGACAAAATTTGTGATTTTACGTACATGAACATTAATGCAGGATTAAAAAAATGTTGGTTGACAGCGTTAAAATTCAAAACACAAATGAGAGTAAATAAAACTACTAAAGATTCTATGATCGGTAACAATTTTTTATTATTTATAACTAAAATTAATGTTTATAAATTATTATATAAAAAATATGATTTTTTTTTGTTTTTAAATAATTTTTTTTTATTTTTCAAAGAACAATTCGAAGCTCTTCGCGAAGAATTGGTAAGAAGAAGAGAAGAATGTATTCAACTTCGTACTGTTTTGGCTGAAAATACACAACGAATGAAGAGTCTTGGATCTAATTATGGACGAGATGTTGATATTGTTAATGAAGACGGTGAATTAATATTAGCATTTGAGGCTCAAAAGAAGATAAATAGGTGAGATTAGAAATCAAGGAACGATTTTATGAAATATAAATAGAGATTTTTAATTAATTTAAATGTATTAAATTTAAAAATTTACTGATTGTTTGTTTTCATTTTCTAAGACAATTGGAAGATGAACTTCAGGACAAAGAAAAAGGTTGGCGTGAACAGCGAAAAGAATGGCTAGCAGAAATTGATCGACTGCAAGAAGAAATACAAAGGCATCAAAAATTATTGAATGTCAATTTGAGTAAAACTCCACAAACACAGACTGAAGCTTATTTACAACATGAAATAACGCGAATAACTGCAGAAAATTTGGTATATTATTGATTTATTATTTCAAACTTTTTTCTTTATTTCTTTTTTAAAATTTAAATATTGTATTAGTTAAAATATTTCTTTTCTCATTTATTTTTCTTTATGTTTATTTTTTCTTTGAAATATTTTTGAAAAAAAATGTTTTCCCACAGAATCTTCAAGACCAATATGACAAAATGGCCGAAGAATGTAGGAATTTAAAGAAGAAATGCAAAATTCTGGCTAAACGGCTCAAAGAAGCTGGCTGTAAGTATATATTTTTTTATTTATCACCATTAAAAAAATACAAACTTTCGTTTTAAAAGATTCATCATTATTAGTAATCATAATTTACTTAAATTTTGTTTATTTACAAGCATTTAATTATTCATATTGATTTTGAATCGCTTTGAAATTTTTTTTATTTACTAAATATGAAAATAAATTGTAATGCTTACAAAGACGAAGGATCTGACGTTAAGGAAAGTAGGGATCGTTCTTTCGTTTATAAAGGACATGGTGAGTGGTCACTAGACGTTGAATCACTTCACTTATCATTTCCTACCTACTCAAAAAATGTTTTAATTCCTTCAGCAACTCGAAAAAAGAATAATGACCACAAACTCACGAATCATTTGACACTATACATTCTAAAATACAAACGCAAATTAGAAGTATTATTTAATTAGTGTAATTCATTAAATTAATAATTATAATTATTATTAATAATAATAATTAATATTTTATTTCAATTTTTATAAATTAATTTAATATTTATAACATTTGTTAGTTTTGACATTATCAATTTTCTCTTTTCAAGTTTATTTTCAAAATAATGATTGCTAATGAATTAAAATTTTTTAGTACCGGACAGCGTGGAATTATCAAACGATCCTGCAACGAACAATCACTCGTCTGCGGATAGTGGAAGTAATATGCCTGCAATTCGTAAAAAAGAACGAGATTATGAAGGAATGCTCGAATTCAAGAAAGCAGATATAGGAGTGATAATTAGACATTTAATTATCGGTAATTTTTGGATTTAATTTTAATTTTAAATAAACTTTGAAACAATATAAATATTAATAAATAATTTAAAAATTATTTCAGATCTGAAACCAAGAATCTCAGTAACTTTACTTCCGGGTCTTCCCGCTTATATTCTCTTCATGTGCATAAGACACACCGATTGTGTTAATGACGATGATAAAGTGAGATCATTATTAACAGGCTATTTGAATGCAGTAAAGAAGGTCATTAAAAAACGTGAAGATTTCGATTCAAGTGTATTATGGTTAAGTAATACACTTCGATTATTACACAATATGAAACAGTACTCGGGTGATAAACCATTTCAATTGGAAAATACACCGCGTCAAAATGAACAATGTTTGAGAAATTTTGATCTCAGTGAATATCGTGTTGTTCTCAGTAATGTTGCACTTTGGATATTTAATAATATTGTCAATAATCTCAAAGAACGAATTCAAGCTCTCACTGTACCGGCACTTTTGGAGCATGAGGCAATTAGTGGTTTGGATTCAAATAAACCTGGTAGAGCGAGATCATCATCAATGGGAGAGGAACCAGAATCAACTCAACAAATGTTGGATAAATTACTCGATGAACTTAGCTCAGTTGATAAAACACTTCAATATCATGGTGTTGATGCTGAAATAATTGTTCAATTATTTAAACAACTTTTCTATTTTATGTGCGCAAGTGCTCTCAATAATTTACTTCTGAGAAATGAATTGTGCCATTGGACAAAGGGAATGCAAATCAGGTATGAAAAAGGAGTTTACAATTTAAATAGTAAATATTTTGTAAAATTTTCTTCCTTTATTTCTTTTTAGATATAATATGAGTCATTTGGAACAATGGGCGAGAGATCATCATCTTGTCGCAGCATCGGAAGCATTACAGCCAATAGTTCAGGCAGCACAGTTACTTCAGGCAAGAAAACGAGATGAGGATGTTGATTCTGTGTGTGATATGTGCAATAAACTCACCGCTAATCAAATTGTCAAGATATTAAATCTCTATACACCGGCGGATGAATTTGAAACACGAGTTCCCGTTTCTTTTATTAGAAGGGTTCAAGAGAAACTCACTGAACGAAACGAAAACACCGAACAAGTAATTTCTAAGTTTATATTTCAAAAAATTTTATTTTTTTTTCAATTTTTTAAAAGTATTAAAATAATAAATTGAAGTAATTAATTGATTTTCAATTAAATTCAAATATTTCACCTTATTTTCAGTTGCTGATGGACTTAAGATATTCTTATCCAGTGAGATTCTCATTCAATCCATCGAACATCAGACTAGAAGACATCGATGTTCCAGAAGTGCTTCATTTACCGATGCTCAAAAAAGTTTAGAGCATTTAATTTTTTGACAATCGTGTTTTTTTTTTAAATTAATCATTGAGGAACACTAACAACGACCCTTAACTCAACTATAAATGAGGTATGTTATTTAAAATTATAGAATATATATTTCGTTATCAGAAATGGAAGATATAATATCTATTTTACGAAAATTTAATTTAACGGGACATATCTTTATTTATTAATATAATTATTTGCATAATTAATATTAATTAGTCTCGATAAATTTGTATAGATCTTTTTTTAAAAAAATTCGTATTCAGATATTTCCTCCATTTCAAATACAAAAAGAAAACAAAATTGAAAATAAGGGGTACCAAAAGTAGTATAGTAATTTTGCGGAACCAGTTTTTGTAAAAAAAAAAACATCGCTTTCTTTTTTTTATCCATTTGTAGTTTATATTAACAAAGTAAATCCGTTTTAAAGAAAAGAACGTTCTAAAGTTAACATGAAAATTTCAATTTCCTGTAACTTTTTTAACGTTTACGGCTTATTTCCAATATTGATAAATAACAAAAATTAAGATGGTTCACCTTAAAAATATTAATATCAGAAATTTGATAAATTTCAATGATTTGTTATATAATATTTATTGTTTATTTATTTATATAGTAGTTGTAGACTTAGGAGAAGAAAATTTATGTTTCCTGGTAAACATTGACTTTTGGCGAACTGATAAAAAAAAAAAGTAAAAGCCAAAAAGAACCACCGATAAAATTTGTATATAATTTTAATTTTTTATTATTAAATTTTTAAAATCGTACCAATTTATAAAAGTTTTGAGAAAATTCGAAATGTTCTTTTTTTGTAAATACCTAATATTAATTTAATTATTATTTTCAAACAATATTTTCTCTATTAGACCAAATTTACAAAAATAAATTAATTTCATTATTTTCGAGGGTGAATTAACTTATAAAAATAAACGACTTAAAATTAAAAAAATACGTACGAACATTGAAAAATTTAATATTTATAAAATAATCAAATTATCTAGTTCCCATTGTAAAAACAATTGTCCATGTTTTGTTCAAGTTAAAAATTTATTTATTTTGAATGATTTTGCGTGAAATTATTTAATTGAAAAAAAAGAAATATATTGTAATTAAATTGTGTAAAAAGAGAGAAAGAGAATTTTAAGATACATACTATAACGTTATGTTGTTAGATTGTATATTTTGTGATACGTGGAGATTGTTAAAGAAAAAAATTGGAAGATCTTTATTGATCTTTAGAGAGTGAGGGAGAGAAAGGTATATTCTAATTATATTACTGTTAAAAATATCATTTACGAATAAAAAGCGTACACGTTACGTTTTGTGCCATTTCACAATTGTATTGAAAATTTTTTTACGTTCTACATATATTAATTTATATACTTTTTTTGTGCTATCATAAAAAAATCATTTCAATTGTTGCAAAAAGAAAAAAGTTGTACATCTTTCATAAACAGTATAAAAGACATCAAGTGATTTCAATGATTACATTTTTGATGTAACAAATTTATTTGTTCCTGAAAATAAAGTAAATTATCGTTGACTTACTGTTGTGAGTTTAATTTCTTCTTTTTTGAAGTACAAAAAAAAAATAAAGTAAAATACAAGAAATAATTTCATAAAAATCATTTATTTCAAAACTTGAATACATAAGCAGCAATTACTTTATCGTCGTTTTATTATCATAATTAAAAAATATTTTCGACGGTGATAATTTTATTTCTCTTTTTTTTCATTTTATTTAATGATTGTAAAAATTGGATAAATTATTTAAATAAATTTTTTGGATTCTAATTATTGTTTACTAACGATATTAAATAGATGTTCAACTTTGTTCGTTTTATAACTGCCATAAAATGAAAAAAAAACAATGAATTATGACAATGTGATAAAATACGTCAAAGACATGAGATTTGAAAAAAAAAATTGTTTAATGTAACAAAACTACAAAAAAAAACACAAATTAAGCAATTATGAAGCGTAGTGTTAATTTTATATCGATAATTTTCGTGTATGTAAAAAAAAATTATTGCAAATGCTTAATTCATTTCATTTGCTTCACTGGAAGAACGAATATCATCGATCTTCAAGATCATTTTCACCATTTGTGTTGCCAAAAGAATTTGCTGGGTCTTGCTTTTCAGTGATTCAATAACATTTTGTACTTTCATGTCTAAAATCAAAAGATTATTTTCAATTTATACAAATTCTATCAAAAATTAATGTATAAAAAAAGAAGAAAATTCTTACCTGAAGTTCCTCGATTCATGCAATCGATACCCAATGCTGCATTATATTCGGCAATTTGTCGTGCTTTAATTTCAGCCAAAGAATTAACTGGTGACATTCCAGAATTCTCAGCAAGTGACATGGGAATTGATTCAAGTGCTTCAGAAAATGCACGGAATGCATATTGTTCTAAAGTGCTAATTTTGTCAGCGGCCGCCGCGCAAGCCAAGGCACAAGAAATTTCAGCAGCACCTCCACCGTAAACAATTCTTTCGTCCGTCACCAAATTACGTACTGCGCACAATGCATCATGCAAGGAGCGCTTTGCTTCTTCAATAATCTGTGAGAAAAATTTATAATTTTATTTACAATATTTTTTTCTTCTTCAATAAGTTTTCTTCTTTAATAAAATTGTAGCATTATCAATGCGTTTTGATCAAATAATTGATTAAAACGAGAAAAATGATTAATGCATTACTTTTGCAAGGTGTCTGAACAATTAGATGTATTGAAAAACCATAATTGGAATTCTCCTTGCTTTTTTTTAATTTTGTAAACATTTTTGGCGTACATACCATTTTATTACCACCTCGAATGAAAATTGTTACAGCACGGGAATTTTTGCAATCCTCGATAACAAGCATCTTGTCCTTGGTGGTACCAAAAGATAATTGTCTCACGACTCCTGCAAATCCAAGTTTCTCTGGTGTTAATTCTTCAAAACGTGGAACAATTCTACCTCCCGTAGCAATGGCAATCAACTAAATTTGAAAATTTATCCCATTAATTCATTTTAGTTTTAGAACAAATTTTTTTTTTAATACACTAGTAAAATTCTCCAATAAAATATGAAGCCCTCAGATCTCATAATCATTGATCATTGAAGACGACTGCAAGGAAACAAAACAAAAAAAAATGTCGATTTCTTAAGAATATTTATATCTCTAAGTAAAGCTGATAAAAAAATCAACTATACGTTATGATAAAAATTCTGTTTGGAAAAAGACAATTTTAATAATTAAGAAACCTCACTCCCTCCTCTATTGCGCTTTGTCATCATTGGGCAAAAGTAAAATTTCTATCTTTTTGTTTTGAAATTAAAATTACCTCGATTTCAGGACCTCCGACCCATCTAACAGCGGGCAATTTTTTCTGCAGAAGAAGATAATTTGCTTCGTCATCGAAACCCCATTGACAAATCGCAAGAGTTGCTCCAGCATCTTTAACTTTGTTAACAATTTCCTCGAATTTTTCCTTCTCGTAATTACGAAGTGCCCTGTAGTCTTCCACAGAAGTAACGTCGAGCTTATGCTTTGTCTTTGGCTTCGGTGGTTCAAATGGACAAGTCAAAATTGCCAATTTCACATTCTCCAGTCTCTGCAATTTAGTTTTTTTTTTGTAATTCTTTATTTCCAATAAAAAAAATTTACATAAAAAACAATTTTCGGTTATGAATCATAGCCCTCAGATCTCATAATCATTGATCATTGGAGCCACCGCAAAAATCAGAAATTTTACAAGTTTTCCTCACAAAGAAACTCGTTAGATATAAATTAAAAATGAATTTTTATTTATATCGAAAAAATGTACTTTTGAGAAGAAAACAAGTTAAAATTCATCCTCTCACACTCCTCTATTGCGCTTTGTCATCATTGGGCAGAAAATTGAAATTTTATGCATTCTATATTCGCAAATTAAATACCTTCGGCATTTGAGGATGACTGAAATCTTTATCAATAACGACTCCGTGAACCAGCACGGTGTCCTCAAGTCGACCACCAACTTTACCTTCAACTTTAATAAGTTCAAAGTTCACATCTCGTTTCTCCAAATCAGCAACAGCCATAACTGCATTAACAGCAATTTGCGCCATTTCTCTATGCAATTTGTTTACGCTGAAATGAAAAATAAAATAATTAAATTATCCTTTATTTAACATAATATTAATAAAATCAAATAGTTTAGAATTTTTTCTTACATTTTTGATCCAAGTGTTGTCATTGCAGTTTTGATTAGAGGCTCCAAATCATTGGGATTAACAGGGAAAGCTTCAGAAATACTTGTGAGATGTTTAATAGCACATCGAGCAGCCAATTCAAAACCATCGGCTATTCGAATTGGATGAATACCCTTGTCCAATAATTTTTGAGCTTGTTCCATGAGTGCACCAGCTAATACAACAACACCAGTTGTTCCATCGCCAATCTCATCGTCTTGTGATTGAGACAATTGGACCATGAGTTTTGCTATTTCATGATCAACATCCATATTTTTAAGGATTGTTGCACCATCATTTGTCACGGTCACATCACCATCAGGGCTCACCATCAATTTATCCAAACCTTTTGGTCCCAATGAGGATTTAAGGGTGTTGGCAATTTGGCTGGCAGCGAGAATATGTGACTATAAAAACAATTTTTATTTTCTATTACTAGCCGTTTTTTCATTACTAAATATTTTAAATATAAAATGATTAATATAAAAAGTTAATGTAGCATTATTTATTATATTCGGTCTATTAAAAAAATATAGATTTGAATAAATTTATTTAACAATGCTTTACTTTTGCAAAGTGTCTGACCAGGTAGGTATATTAAAATAGCACCACTGGAATTCTCTTTGCTTTTTTTAAATTAAAAATATTTAATATTTACATCGACAATTGATTTTTGTTTTAAATAAAAATATTCAAAAGAATTTATTTAAAAAAAATTTAACAAATCAATTAATAAAAAATAAAATAATTATTCCTTAATTATAATTTGTTAAAAAATGTTTAAATATTTTTTCGAAGAGAATATTAAAGAATTTTCAAAAAATTTAATTAAATAATATTACTTCATTTTCATTTTTAAATACATTCTATAAAAATTTCTATTGAAGCATGAGTTAAAAATAATTATAATACTCCTGCCTACTCCACATACTTTTCATGTCCTTTTATGGTCATAATGTAAAAAATTCTCATGATGCCACAAAAAAAATCGAATATTCAAATAACCTCAATAAAAACAATTAGTGTGACGTTTTTACAAGTTTACTTCATTTTTTTTAAAAAGAAAATATGAATTAATGGATATTAAAAATATAACAAAGTATATAGGAGCATCATTCTTTTCTTTGATATATTTTTCGGAGTATCGCCATTAATCACGTGGCAAAGATGATTCTGAAATTCCCGAAACTATTGAGAAATTGAAACATAAAATTGCAAAATTAAAAGAAAAAGACAAAAGAGTATATAAAATTCAATATTTAAATTAATATTAAATAAATTATATAAGTTAGGAATAAATAATTTATAAATGCTAATTTAATATTCTTACCTTGATTGCATCGTTGCCGGTCAATCGTTTTTGTTGGAATTGATCTCGTAATATTATATAGGGTTTACCGTACTCATCAAAAGCGATAGAACCCGGAAACGCGTTCATTTTGGCGAATTTATTACTTCACGAAAAGATAGATAATATACCTTTTTTATTAAAAATTATTTCACTCACGCTGTGCGTACTTTCACCAAAAAACGTCCATTTTGTTTCTAAAATCTTTAAATAGAAAAAGCATATCTAGAGTTACAACAGCATTTATTTTTTTACATTGCTAACTTCACTTTACATAAAACAGGAAGTGATAATTTAAAACTGGACACTTTTTTAAATAGAACCAATCGTATTCGTCCATTTGCATGATCGGTGTTGTGGATGCACCTTTAGCATAGCAGTTGCAATGAGTCGTGCTGTTCCACGGCAAGTTCATTTCCGCCTTTACCGTTGACGATTGCACACGTAATCATTGGGAGGGTAAGTAACCCTTTTAATCTGCAAATAAATATTGAAAAACTATTCAACTTTTTATATTATTAAACAATTATTTAGTTATAAATCTTTTTTTAATATCGAAATAAATTATTTTACATTTTATTTTTGCATTTTTGTCAAAGAACTTTTTAAGGTTAGAATTTTTTACTTTTTTCTAAAAATAAAAAATCCTTTGCATCCGAAATAAATATTCGGACAATATTATTTTTCTATTAATATTATTTGTCTAGTGCAGAATTAATAACGTAAATCTGATTAAAATTATAAATTGTGATTTTTGATTCATAGAAAATTATTTTATGACTTGAAGTTGGCAACTTGGACAAGTCATGCCGTAGGGAGGCTTCCACCGTTTCACGGCAAGCAACGGCAAGTTCATTCCCGCCTTTACCACGGATGAGTGCACACGTAATCATTTGGAGGGTAAGTAACCCTTTTAATCTGCAAATAAATATTGAACAACTATTCAACTTTTTATATTATTAAACAATTATTTAGTTATTAATCTTTTTTTAAGATCGGAATAAATTATTTTACATTTTATTTTGGTATTTTTGTCAAAGAACTTTTAAGGTTAGAATTTTTTAGTTTTTCCTGAAAATCCTTGTGCATCAGAAATAAATATTCGGACAATATTATTTTTTCCATTAATATTATTCGTCTAATGCAGAATTATTAATGTAAATCTGATTTAGATTATAAATTGTGATTTTTGATTCTTAGAAAATTGTTTTATGACTTGAGGTTGGCAACTTGTAAGTTAATATAGTTCAGTTACCTGCTTCAGGCTGTATGTACAAATTGTGATTTTAACGTACTTTTTTTCGTTTATTGATTATATTATAAATTTATAGTATTTGTATTGGGTATAAGTATCAAAAATCGCAAGTTATTTGTTATAATCGTTACCGTGACTTGAACTTTTACACGATTTTCTAAATTTATTGTCGATTTGCAAAATATTCGTGTTCTCAATCTGGGTTTTTTCAAACATAAACTTGGAAGATTTTTGTTAATCTTTTTTATTTCGAATTTTGTAAATTTGACGAAGCTGAAGTACGCAACGTTTATATAAACGATTTTTAAAGAAATAATTTTTTAAAAAGAAAAATTCTATAATTTTTTGCCTAAAAAATATTTTTTTATAATTTGTTGATTAATGAAAACTATAAGAAATATTTTTTAGGCAAAAAATTATAGAATTTTTCATTTTAAAAAATTATTTCTTTAAAAATCGTTTATATAAACGTTGCGTACTTCAGCTTCGTTAAATTTGCATATTTAGGTGAAAATCATATTAGGTGAAAAATTAATGTATAAATTATTATTTTAATATTATCCATTGAAATAACAAAAATTTCTCTTCGAATAGAAAATTTATATAATCCATGTTAAATTCCCTTTTACAAAGTGAGGTTGGATTAAACTTTTTCTCAATTTATAGTTGAATAATATAAATAATTTTTTATTATTCATGTTTTAATTGTTATTTTAATTAATTATTAATTAATTTTTCTTTTTGCAGATTCTATCCTGGCTTGTGGTGTCTCACGTACTTCAAGATAAGGCGAAAGTAAAAAAAGGGTATTTTATCCTGAAGGACTCAGAATTCTTCAGTTTCAGACTTTTTAAAACTCGGTCTATTTTTACGGTTATTTTTCACATTTTTTAAATGGAAATTTAACTTGAAAGTAGGGATCTCCGAGGGCTATTTAGTTTGAAATAATCTCATTGAAGTTACAAATTCGTCATTAAGGTAAATATTTTATTTTATTGGAAAAATTTTATTACAAAAAAATTTATTACAAAAAGTTTATTACAACAAAGATTTTTTTTTACAGTTTCGAAGATAGTAATCGGTGAATTTCGTTTTTAAAGTAAACGATTATTTCACAATAAAGCCGATTTTCAGAGGATAGAAGGAAAGGGAATAACACACTGGACATACGAAATCAAATGGTATGCAAATTACAATTATGATTAAATTCTAAAAAAATATTTTTCCTTATTTTGTTTCAAGTATATTGTTAATCGATTGAAATTAATATTATTACTAATAATATAAATCAATAATAATTTTCAATTTTATTTAAATTAATAGTACTTTTAATCTTTGCTAATTTAAATTCACTTTGTCGATAAAAATTAGATTCATTAATTCGAACTAATGAATTTTAGAGAATATTTACAAATTTCAAAAAATATTTGAAGGGTTTAAAAAAAAGTATGAATTATCAAAATCTGTGCAATTAATTTTGCAAATTTTAGTTTTAACCCTTTTTTTTCTAATGTGCTTATCTTGCAACCCTGCGCGCGGCCCCTACTTCTTCTAATTCCCCCAACCGTAGAAAAGCAAACCCGCCTACTATGGCGATGTTTACAGTACAGTCACGGCACGAAAAGTCCATGTGTTCAGTCGGTGGTTTGTCCGGCTATCGAGCAGGTAGTGCGTATGCGTCGAGCGGCTGCGCATTTCGTATCTCAAGTTCTTTCGTGTCACGTGGTCCCATCAAACATCCCGCCGAATTTACTCCAAAAAAGAAAATCTAACTAATCATCATTTCAATAATTTTCCACTATTGATCTTATTATTAGTGTCACGTTTTAATTGTATCGAATAGGATCTAATTGTTTCTGACATTTAGTGAAAAAAAAACTTGTGAAATTATTCTTTTTTTTTTTCTATTACAAAAAAAAGGAGTGTATTTAAAGATTGTAAACTTTAGAGGGAAAAATTTTAATTCTTAGTGAAGTGAATTTTGGTGTTAAAAAGTGATTCTTGCAATTTGGAGACTAGTGTTAAACTTTTTTTTTGAAAAAGTGATAAAATTTTGGTTTTTTAACACTTGAAAAACCAATAAAAAATTTATTCAATTGATGCGAATGAATGTTTGTGAACGACGATTATTGTTATGACCGGCGTATTATTTTTTGACAAGGAGAAGAAGCGGGTGGAGAACAATGATAAGTGGTTATTGTTGACAATTGATTGGCAAGAGAAATTGGAGGCGGAAAAGGATAAAAAAATTGGTGTGCTGGAGGTTGGCAACGCCGGTACCGTCGGCACTACCGGCACAAAAATAATGCCTCGAGGTTTACCAACAAGACGAGGCCTTCAGGCATTGGCTCTCATTCTTGTCACCGCTTACGCTACAATTCTTCTTTATCAGGCTGTTGCACCTCGTCAGGTGACCCATCTTCTAATATATATATAGTATATAGTGGTAATTAGTCACTGTCGCGCCGTTAACAGAAGTAATTAACATTACCTCTCTCTCTCTTCTTCTCTCTTTTCCTCTCTTGTCAAAGCGGAAACACGTTCCATAGAGAAACGTGCTTAGTGTGATTATTCTCATCAAGTAACTTTCTTTAACATTCCTTCTTGTTCTCTTCGTTCCTTTGATTTTTAATTCTCTCTTCTTTGAAAATTCCACGTTTAATCTTTTACTTTCTCAATTAAATTTCGTTTTTAATTTAACATGATTTTTATTTTATCATTTTGATTTTATTACGCTGTTTTATTTTCTACTTAAGTGAAATTGAAATTCCTTATTGCGGTTGACTGATTATATAAGTTTGTCGCGCATTTCGTAATAATTCTATCGATAATAACACAAGTCCTGGAAAAGTTGTACTGATTAGAGAAATAAAGTCTAGAATTTATAGTCTAGACTTTGCATTCAAATATATGTATCTTAAACTATACCATATATAAATATCATATATAAAATTATTTGAACGAGAGCGAAAGAATTTATATATCTTATCAATTGCGTAATTTTTTTATTTTTATAACAATTTTTTTTTCCTTTTTTTACAGTGGATTGATGAAAGTGCAGAAGTGATCAATAACAGTGTCGCTATTGAAGTGCCAATATCTAGAGCAGCTGGTGAAGAAGATGCAGTAACACCGCCTGGAGCAACTGCTACAATGGCACCATTTCCCACTGATCTTGCTGATGTCTTTATCAGCGTGAAGACCACCCGTCACTATCATCGTTCCCGTTTGCCAGCAATCATTAACACGTGGTTCCAATTCGCTAAGGAACAGGTCAGTTTATTGTCTACTTGTTCGATAAAATAATATCTACCTGGCGGGTTTAATGGATTATAATATCGCATGATCCGGTTATGCTTCGCTAAATTGCGATCACAATTATCAATGGTGTTTTTAGTCTGAAAACATTTTTTTTTTAGAAACTTAAACGTTTCCTCAATTAAATTTAAACACGTTTAAGTATTATTAAAATTATCCTTCACACTTACTTTTGCTATATATTAACGCTATAATTTATTTATTAAAACAGTGAATGGGAAAAATGGCCTTGACAACTTTAGAATATTGAGTCATTTGTTTTTGCAATTTGGTTTTTTTTGGAATTTCACTTTCATATTAATAACTATAAATGTTAGTGTAGAAATATAATTGTAAGAAAAAAAATATAAAGGGATAATCACTTCATTAACGTAGCAAAAAGGATTTACGAATCATCAAAATACATATATAGTGTTATTGGTCGTCATTCTTAATTTTCTTCTCAAGGATATTTTCTCAGAAATTTTCTTCTTCTTTTATGTCCATTCACCTATTATTACCTTGATGTATATACATAAATCCATTAAGATGTGGGTAAATCTATAAAGACTTATGTAATGCCGCGCAGATACCATGCAATATTCTCTCTTAATATTATGCTTTCAGAACATGACATTCAATTATTATTATTGTTATTATTCTAAGATTATTGGAGTTAAGGCAAATTATAATATCTCTTTTGTTTGTATCTTTTGTAAGAAATTGGGCAATGAAACATTGTTGATAAAAACAATTTTTCGTCTATTTATGAAAAATGAGAATTGAGTTTGAGAATATCCTTAGGATAAAGTGGTCGTTTGTTTCATCGCCTAGAGGTGTGATGTCCTTCAGCGCCTCCGGATAGATCCTGCGAGCGACAGATGGTCAGCTGGGTAAAAGTTATCGATGCAGAGAGACGGCGCCCTGGCTTTTTTCTTTCTCTCTCTTTTTCATTGGAGATTGGCGAGAGAAATAGACGGCCAATTGTACAGGATTTACGTCCACATATATATGTGTTTACGCTTTCTCACGTGCATTCGCGTGTATACGAGAACCGTGTGTAGTCCCGCGGAACTTGATGAGCCCGCGGCGTGGGAACATGCTTCACCCTGTTCGCCTGATTCCGCTGCCCAACGACTCCTGATTCTCTCGTCTCTTTTCAAACTTTTCTTCTCTCTCTCTTTCTCCCTTACCACTCATTGGCCCTTGAATGCGAAAACATTAAGTACCATTTCACTCTGGATCTTTTGCCCGAGCATTAAAAGAAGAAAGATTTCACGATTTTTATCTTACAGCAAATTGCCGGCATTGTCCAACCTCAAAAGCAATCTCCCAAATAGAAGTAAAACTTTCTGGAATCTTAACGAATGTCCCTTTCGTATCGAAAAAAGAAAAAGAAAACTGAATTTGATAATTGTTACAAAAATTATTTTTTCTTTCAACATTGATTTTTCTATATATATAGGTTTTTTGCGCAAAGATTCTTCAAACAAGAAGTTGTTGCGCGGCAAATAATAAAGCCGTTTCGGTGTTTGCCTCGTGGGAAGATCTCACGGCTTACCTTCGACCTTCCGACCCAGTCCATTAACGGCGACCAGAACAACGTTAGGTCCCTGAACATTATCCGCGGAACCGACTCGCGTTTTCATCCGTTCTTCCTCGATAATTAAGCGATACACCAGCATTGCCAATCCAACAGAATCACGACTGTATTCCCCTATTTTCTCTATACCAAAGTCCACTTTTGCCCAGGTGCAATAGTGTTGCATCAACCTTTGCGTGCATCAAACTGTATCTTTATTATCACTTTCAAGTTTCACCTCAAACGTGTCAGGCTAAGGTTCATTTCGATTTTGTATACTCCCCAAAGGGCTTTTCACAAAAAAAATAAAAATAATGCGAAAATGATTCCGAAAATTCTTGTTTCTGTTTTATTTTTTTGTTATACTGAATTTATTTGAAATGAAATTAAAATTAGTTTCGAATTTGATAAAAAAAATCAGAGCGCATAAATTTCACACAAAAATTATTTGATTTTAAAGAATTTTATTAGGGGTCATCCATAAATTACGTTACCTTTTTAGGGGGGAGGAGGTCAAAAAAACTAAAAATGTATTTAACGCAATTGTAACAAGAGGGGAGGGGGTCTAAAATGAAAAAAATTGGTAACATAGTTTAAGTATGTATAATATTTGATTTCAAGACGAATTTTCATTTTCCAAATTAACATTTGACAGAATTTATTTTTAAACAAAGTTTTACTTTACAAAATGTTTAGGCACCAAATTTGGATTGGACAGAATTTTTATTTTACAAAATTTCTCTTAATACAAATTTTGATTTACGAAAATTCTAATTTAATAGAATTCTAACTCTCGAGAAATTACCTCCAATCAATTTCAAAAACAAGCAAAAAAAGATTTAATTTTTACGAAAGATTTTTTAAAAAACTTAGAAAAATTTTTTGTGTAACAGAATTTGAAGTGCTTTGAATTTTTAAATGGTAGAATTTCCAATTCACTGAATTATGATTTGTCATAAATTTTATTTTTACAAATTGTTATTTAATAGAATTCATAAGAAATCGTGCAAATAAAAATTCGTATCACTTAAAATTCTATAGAATGAGAATTATGCTAAATTAAAATTTAATTAATTTAGAATTCTTTTAAATAAAAAAAAAAGTTGGTTAAAAAGAAATTCTGTGAAATAAAATTTTTAGTAAATAAAAGTTTGGTAAAAATTTTGTTAAATAAAAATTCGTCTAAAAAATAATTATATCTAATAAAATTCTTTAAATTGAAAATTTTGGGGACGCATGATTATGTTCTAAAAATCATTAGTCATAATTTACATTTTATCGAATTTTATTTGTCCTAATTAGTTTTGAGCCGAATTTTTATTTGTTCGAAATAGCATTTTGCATAATTTACATCAAAGCGATTTTCTATATTACAGAATTTTTATATAACCGAAAATTCACTTCACAGAATTAGTAGAGTAAAGTAGAAAAACTACTTTCATAGTAAAACGGGAACTGTCCGAAGTTTCTGCGCATCTCTAGCATAACTTTTACTCCAAAAATAGTAAAATTTACTATTTTTGTATAGTAAATTTTACTGTTCCGTAACTATTTCTGGAGTAAATTTTACTATTTTTGGAGTAAAAGTTGCCAAAGATGCGCAGAAACTTCGTACAGTTCACAGAAAATTAAAAGGCATTAAAATAAGCTGCAATGCTTATTATTTTAATCCAATTTTGCTTATTTTAATCCATTTTGGTATTAATATAAGCAAAATTGGATTAAATTAATAAGCGTTGCAGCTTATTTTAATGCCTTTTAATTTTCTGTGTTCCCATTTTACTATGAAAGTAGTAAAAATTACTTTTTCTTTTTTTCCGTGCGTATATAAAAAATAATTATTACCAATTATATAAGATTTTTATAAAAATAGTTACGAGAATAGTTAGCAATAACTGATGATATATAATGGATTGACCAAAACGATTTTTTTTTTTTTTTGCAAAAGAATTGCCCGTTGATTACAAAAATCGGTTTTTGTTAATTAGCGGATGCATCATCAAAGGATGATTCATAGATTCAATGATAATTAGCATTCCTCATGAATAAATCCATCTCAATAATTGTGAAAGATCTAACTGTTTTCTTTTATAGAAGAAGCGGGTTCCGCTGTTTCTTTTTTTTTTTTTTTTTTTTTTTGTGAAGAGATATATGTTAATCAGTCTCAAGGAAGTTGAGGGGCTGATTAATTCACATTTCATTAGAAAATAGGTTCTCATGATAAAGAAGCAATTCGAAGATTTATAGAAAGTAGGAATAATTAAGAAAGACACTTAATGATTTACCTCACAATATTATAAGACTATTATTAACGCCATTTGAGAAACACACAGTTAAATTTTGTTTTTAATTATTCAACTTTTAAAAAATACGATCGGAATAAATCAAAAATTCTCTCGACGGGTTTTTTTTTTCGAATAAAAATTTTCTGCATCACATCTATTTTATTTTTTTTAAGTTCAGTTTTTAATTAAAGGATTAGAAATGAAATTTTGGCAAGTGGATCTCTCTCGATTAAGTTTTCATTCAAGCACGAATAGACATATCGTATTCTATCTCGTGACGGATCTTTCATGCTTAGTCAAACTGCAGAATATGTGAATATGTAAGCTCTCGCGGTGATGGAGCGGATAAAAGAGGAGTTTTAAAAAGAGAGCAAAAAAAAGAAAACAAAAAGAGAAAGAGAGAGAGAAAAAAAGATAACTAGAGGAGAGCGCAGGTAGCTGGTAGGTGTTAGGTTTCTTCGCCAAATTGGATACAGGTGAGCAAGAGGTCACGCATTGTTTTGATGATTAGTATACGCGTCGTAATACCGACACTAATACGTGTTTTTTAATAATGCGCTCCACTGAAAGAGAATATTAACTTCCTATTAGACATTTATGACAAGCTTGCTGATCATCAAAGTATCGCCAAGTTTTCATCCCTTTTATAGTCTCGTCCTTTTTTTTTTTTTTTATTTCCAAACGAAATATTTCAATTATATACCTTAATTAACGAAGATCCGAGAAATTGGTTTTTAAATTTACGTTCTGGGTGTAGAATTCGTTCTTTGAATTGTTTTTAAAAAATAAATTATTTTCTTTTTGAGTATCATTTCTCTTTTGCAATATTTATTATACAATTATTTTAAGAATCGTTATATAAAATTATGTCAAATTGACTATTTTCTATATTAACTAATTGGCAATAATTTATCAAAAATAGCGAATAATTTATTCGAATTGTCAAATATATCCCTTTTTTTCGGTGCTGATAATTATTTTCGAATTTAAGCTTTTGTTGAGGTGGATCATTAAAATTTGTCTTGAATATAAAACGCATTAAAGTATATATAAATGCAAAGTCACCGATGTCGATTGGACAAAGTTATAATGATATACAGGAATTTAAGAAGCGTCGACCAAAAAAAAAAAAAGGGCGGGGAAAATCTACTGTCGATCAGAGGTTCTGCTCCTTATATTTTGAATGAGAGACTTGAACCAAACAACTCTCTCCAATTTTCTGAAGGGCAAGCTTCAGGCGATACTGGTCCTGGATAATTGGTCAATTATATCCGTTTATTTAGTTTCATGTCTACACGTTTCTTTAAAATTCGCGAGAAATTCCTTTTTTTCAAATGAATTTGGTTCAGATTTATTTTTAATTTTCCCTTGCTTTGATTGTGAATGTAAAATTTTAAATAAAAAAAAAAAAAATGTGTAGCTAAAAATAAATTGTGAAAAAAATTTATTTTCGTGACGAAGGGGCAATTCTTAATATAATTATGTCAATGTAATGTGACTCCTCTGTACAGCTGACGTCACGAATTGTCATTGTTTTTTGCTCGTTGGCTCGTTAGCGGATTAGTTTTCTTTCTACGAACTCTGATGAGTCCTTCTCGGATTCTCTTCATTTTAGCTTCTCACTCTTTCACTGTCATTCCTCTTTGGTCTTTGTTTCAGTCCAGATAGCAGACGTGTCAACTCATTGCACTCTTCTTTGGTTCTTTTTTTTTCATTCTTTTTTTTCTTATTTTCTCAACGGAAGTTTAACGTCGGAATTGTCGAGCTTTTTCCACGACATCCTTGTCGGGATCTTTAAGTACTTTATAAGCCTCACTTTCAAGAAAGCCTTCCGCAATTAAATCGTATGTAAGTACAGGTGTCTCACCTGGCTCGTATAACAATATATCACCTATGTTGAGACAGAGGATAATCCTTCATGCTGCTTCTTCTATTACCCGATTGCCACCTTCAGCCCATCGTTATATTTCATGAATACAAGAAGATAAAGTTTCTTTTTTTTTATTTTCATTTCAAATAGTTGAATTTAATATTTTATTTATGGAAATCTAAGCGCTGAGCAATTATATAATAATAAAATGCTTGGTCTGTCCTTCTGTCCTAACTTGAAGTTGGCCTTTTCTGATTTCACGTGTTTTTTTGAATAGTAATCTTATGACGTGTCAAATTTTGACAATTCTTTTTCTCATTTTTGCCAAAGTTGTATAATTGTGTTTTCAAATTTCGGAATAAGTTTCTTTAAAATTCCAAATTCGAAAATTCAATTCACGAAGCTGAAGTATACAACATTTACCAACGAAATTTTTTTTAAAGTTGTATATTGATTCAAAAATTGTATACAAATACAAAAAATTTATGATGAGAAAAAAGATGCGCCAGGAAATTTCGTACAAGATAGTAATTTGAAAAAAATTTATTTTTAAAAATTAATTTTTAAGGTACCAGGGGCCAACGAATACCTATTAAATATTAATTATAAAAACACAGGCCTCGAATCAACTTAAAGACACAAAAAAGTCGTTTTATTCGATTTATATTCCAAAAAAAAGTGGATTTGTTTTTTATTTTAACAAAAATATTTTACAGATTTTTAAATAAAAAATTTTTTTTTTAATAATAATCCTTTTCGAAGGGTTAAAGTTGAAATTTTTAGAAATTATTAAATTTCAAAAGATATTGTTAATTTTCAAACAATTATTATTAAATTTTACAGAAATAAAAATAATTTATCAAACAATTTTTGGAAAACATTTTTTAAATTTAATTGAATTTTCAATAATTTAAAATTGAGATTTTTGAAATTAATTGAAACTTTAAGTGTTTTGTAATTAAAATTTTAGATGATTTCACTAAAAATTTATTAGAAAATGCGGACAAAATACAATAATTTGAAAATCATTTTTAATTGAAAAATGGTTTCAGATAGTTGAAATTTCAATGAATATTATTAAAATAATTAAAAATAATTGAATTTCCTTAGAGTTATAATTGAAATTATTAAATTTAAAAAAAAAAATTTTCGATGGAAAATTTTAGAAATAATTAAATTTTAGATGCTTTTAAATTTAAATTATTGAAAATTCAATTAATTTTGTTTTCAAATTTTTGAAAATAATGAAATTTTATTTGATTTTAAATTTGGAAAATAGTTGAATTTCAGTTCATTTTGAATTGAAAATTTTGGGAAATAATTGAATTTTAATTGAAATTTTGGATAATAATTTAATTTAAGTTCAATTTTGATTGAAAATTTGGATAATTAATTTTGAATAGAAATTTTAGAAAATAATTGAATTTTATTTCATTTTAAATTGAAAACTTGGTAAATAATTAAATTTTAAACTGAAAATTTTGGATAATTATTGGATTTTTAATTGATTTTGAATTAAAATTTCGGGTAATAACTGAATTTTAGTTTACAGTCCTATAGGACTCCGGTTATCCGAGCTAATGTAGACCGGACCTACCTCAGATAAGGCGAAAACTCGGATAATCCGAATTGTTAAATATTTATTACAATTTAACATTATTATTGTTTAAACAATTATTATTTAATACAAACGGGAAAATAATATTGTAAATATTCCATAATAATTTAAACAATTTGAATTTATTAAAAATAAACTCTTATTTATAAAAAACTAAAATTAAAAATAACTCGGATGACGCGGACTAGACTCGTATAATGCAGAATTTCCTACTGGGACACCACCTCGGATAATCGAGACCTCGGATAAAGCGAGCTTGAATAAACGGGGTTTTACTGTATTTTGAATTGAAATTTTTAAAAAATAATTCAATTTTATTGTGATATTCTTTTTTTGAAATTATAAACAATTGTTAAATTTCATAAAAATTTTAATTGAAAAATAATTTTTATATAATTGAATTTGTGATGTATTTCATTAAAATTATTAAAAATAATTAATTTAGTGAAGAATAATTTTAGTTCAAAATTTGTTAAATATAATTGAATTGAAGAAGATCTGAAGAAGATATAAATTTTATACTAAAAAAATGTATTTTATTTACATTTTTTTTCAAATGTAAAAAAAATGTCGCATTTTATTAAAATAAGTCGATAAAAGTCGTATTTTTGAAAAAAGTCGTATAATATTCTAATAAATTAAATTATTATTGATAATATTAATCATTAATTTCTTTATAACAAACAATTAAATACTCAATTTGGCGCGCGTTTAATTTTGCTAGTTATATACATAAAATCTTAGAAATATAAAATAGAATTTTTCCTTGTGTTTTAAATTTTGAAATAAAATTCGTATTTTTCATTAATGTTGAAGTCAAGTTTTACAACTTCATCGATTACTTTTGATCGTGTTACCAGATGTCAAGAGGGAAAAATTAACGATCTATACACGACTTTCAAGCGCACTATGCGTGCAGTTTAACTGATATTATTTGTGGTATGAACAATCACGCTCTCCTCGTATATACGTGCAACCACGCGAGTGAGTCAAGCTCACGATCTTATAAATGAAATGTAAGAAACTAACCATAAAACGAACCTCCCATTGAGTTTCGATTTCCACTATAAAATGGGAATTTTTCATTTAGTTGTTAGGTGCTTTTTTTCCTTTAAAGTGACAGAGAGTCTAACAGATATATTTTTCTTTTTTGTTTCAGACGTGGTTTTTCACCGACAGGGACGATCCGTACTTTCAGAACGAAACAAGTGAGTACACAATTTGTCTGTTTTAATTTTTTTTTATTTTTAAAAGGGGTAAAGTCCTAATATTAAATAATAATTATCTAATATGAATGAAATAATTAAGACATTTTTTGTTTTACTCAAAAAAAAAAAGTGTGACATTTGAAAAAGTTTAGAAAATTGTTTCTTTCTCATGTTCTTTAAACTGAGCTTTTTAAAAAAAAAAATTTTTTCTTCAAGATTCATTAAGGCCACATGTTAAGAAACTCATTTTTAATGAAGGCTTCTCAAGGTAAATGAAATATTTGACTCGCGATCTAGATTTGTGTAAATCTTCTTTCTCATTTCGTTTTATGTATATATAGAGAGAAAAAGAGAAAGAGATAGGCTGAGAGGAAAGCTGTGAAGGGCTCGTAAATCATTCTGAAACTTTACTTACGCCTCTTAACGTAAGTAAATCAGCAGCCACTGGGGTTCGATGCTAATGATTTTTAGAACCCCACTTCCGGCTTTCCTCATTGAACCATTCCACATCAATTTCAGTTTAAGCGGAACATTTTCTATTCTAATGGGCAATTCGCGTAAAGTGCTTTTATTCAAATTAAATCAATTTGTGAAATGGAAGTAAAATTAAGCGTCATCGCATTTTTATTGGATGGAGAAAAAAAAATTATTACGTTTTATTTAATAATTTAAAAATGTTATGATTTTTTTTTTTTGAACTTAATTGACGTAGTTTTATCGATTTAGCGAATATAAGAAAGAGGTTTTGTTAATTAGTGTTTGGAAATTAAATTAAATTGAAAAATAAAGCTGTGAAGATTATTTCAGACACAGAGAGAGAGAAAGATTCACAAGAGATGTTTAAACCAAAGTCGATAAAATGCAGAAGAAACGGTGTTCGGGCTGGGTTGTATAAGCTCCTCGTAAATAAAAACGTCTATCTCACTAGCAATTAAGGTCCAGTGCTTTTATATATATATATATATATATATACCTTTAAACAGAAAGCCTACCGAACGACCTAGACATCTGAAATTTTTGTATTCTGCCATAAGGTAATTCGACATCCCAGTTAACGTTCTGACGGGAATAATTAAATACAAGGGTTCACGATATTATCCTAGCTGTCCTGGTTTCGCTAAAAAAAAAGAAAAGGAAAAAAAAAGAGAAAGAAGACTCTGATATCGAGGGATCTCTTCATTGATATTATCGGACATGGCCGAGCAGATTCTCAGGCGACGACAGGTCATTAATTAATGAGTGAGAAACACCGGGTCGACATCAACCGTTCAGACTCTCAGAATAGAATGTCATCTTATCGAATATACCCTCTCATTGAATATTTAATTATTTTAAATTACTGTTTCATTTTTCCAAATATTCTCTCAATATAAAATAAATGAATTTTTGAAAAAAAGAAACAATAACTGAAAAACGGAAATTGAAAGAAACACATCACAAAAGAGAATCAAAACTCCGATTTTCGGATGATTAAGTTCATTGTTGAGTCTTGCGCGCAAGATAATCCGCAGACAGTCTAGAGAACAAGAAAGGTGAAATTACAGACATCAGAGAGTTACTGGCAGACAACTGGTGAAAAAAAAGGAAAGAAGAAGAAGATTGGAGTATAGAAAAAGGAAAAAATGAGAAAAACAGGGAAAAAAAATTGCTGAGAATTGAAAAAGCGTGATGTGCCAATTATAAAAGGATTAAAAGAACTTTCTTTAGATTATATGGGTGTAAAAGGGGGTAGAGGGGGAGGGGGGGGGTTATATAGAAAGAAAGATAGATGGATGATAAAAGAAGGATAGAGGGGCGCACGCGAACCCTCGGGCTATGCCCGACATTTGACCTCAACACGCGCTCTGCACCGGTTTACTGCAGACCATATTTCCTTCAGCTTCTGCCTCTCTTCTCTCACCTTTTAATATATATATATATATATATATGATTCTTCTTTATCATTTTTGTACCTTCTGGTGACTTTCTCTTTTCTTTAATAACGTCCTTTTGCTTATTACTTTTTCACGAAAATTACCTATTTACCGTTGCATTTACAGTTCGTCATTAATTGTTAATTATTTTTTCTTGAACCTACTTTTGGGCGCGAATTTTCAATATTTTTTCGCACAATTCTCGAAGATTGATTTAATATTGAAATTTCCAGGGTGTCTAACGGTCAGGGAAAGTCAGGGAATTTTGTTGGTCAGGGAAATGTCAGGAAAAAGTCTGGGAATTTCAGAAAATTTCGTTCAAAGTCAGGGAAATTTCTGTAAATTTCTACAAAAATTAAAATTTTTTGTGAATTTAAAAATTTTTTTAATCTAAAAAAAACTTGAATGGTTTTTATTACCATTTGTTACTACCATTAAAAATTAATTTATTGTTAAATATGTCAGTAATCATATTTTTGTCCAAAGAAAGCAGAAATAAGGTTATTAAAAAGTCAGGGAAAAATAAAATAATGTCAGGGAGGAGTCAGGGAAAAGTCAGGGAATTTTTTTCTCAATCCTTGTTAGACACACTGAATTTCACATGTTTTAGAGCGCTTTTTACATTCCTCAATTTTGGAAAATTAATTTTTTTTTCATAAAATATTTTTCCGGTTTTTTTTACTCATTGATCCTATTTTATGTTGTAGCTTATTGCACAAAAATTTGGTTTTTGAATCTAATTTCAGAAGAGGAAGTATTATAGATTCATGTAAATTTGAATAATTTAATCTCTATAAATAAAAATTTTATTTTTTACTAAATATTTTCTTCATGTTGCTCAGAAAGTTGGTTTCATGTCAAAAATTGCTGAAAACCAAAAAGAAATGATTTTTTTAAATTCATTTAAGATAATCTTAAAAAGGTGCTTACGACTAGAATTTTTAACTGGCAAAAATTTGTGTTATTTCATCAAAAATATCAATTTATTATCATTTTCATAAAAGTTTGGATATTTTATGTGGATTTGATGAAATAGAAATTTTGATTTTTTAAAAATTCTTCTAATCACAATTCTTTAAAATGAAAATTATAAAATTAATTACTAGTTGTAGAAATCGTCAAAAAAATCGAATTTTCATCGCAAAATCTTTTGTTGAGTTAATTAAGATTCTTGAGAGGATGTTTGAATACTTCATGATTTAAATTTGGAAATTTAATATAATTATAAATCAGTGTTAATTATGAAAAATTTGAAATTTAATTTTCAAGTTAAATTGAATTTAATCAGAAACATTGATACATTCATAAAGTAATTAGGGCTTTCTGCAGTTGTAGAAGAATTCTATTTTTGAATTTAAATTCTCATCACAGAGGAAAAATAATTTTTAATTTAACTTATATTTCACGGTACCCTGGAACCAATCTCAACCCTCAACATTCTCCCTTTCAAAAATCCCTGTTGCAACTTGTTCGGGGTACCTCACTGAATATTTTTCAACAAGAAAAATCAAAATCCGTCGGGCGCTTTTTTTTAATTTCAATTTTTGTGATTTTAGCGCCACATTAAAAAAAAAACTGGTTTTTATAATTATTTAAAGTAAAATTCAACTTCACATGGTCAAATTTTGTTCCAGAAATTATACAAAATCATAATTCCGGTAGAAATTTTTCTGTAGAATCGAAATCTGACATTGGCTTTCGAATTAAAAGCAGAGGAATCCCAGAAAATCCGGAAAACTGTAAATATTCTAAAAACAATCTCACCGTAGCGTCGTTTTTTCCAAATTGTCTGTTAAATTTTATAAAAATAAGAGCAATTTCAAAATTTATCGAAATTTCCCAATAAGTAACAGTTACATTTTCAAATTTACAAAACAAAATATTATAGAATGAACATTTTTTTGGCAGTGATTAAAATTTTGAATTTAAAAGTTAACAAAATCTAGGGTATGTTTACGACGTTTCTACTGATTTTAAATTTTCTGATTCAAATTTGTCTGTCTGTTTTTTCCCAAGAAATTTGCGCCTGCCCCAATTAATCTTGGCTTTTTCACAAAGAACAATTTGTATATTTCGAAAACCAACGCAGCAGTTTTGTGGAATTTACCACTGCTGTTTGTAGATGACGTAAGGAATTCTGTGTTTAATACAGAAAAAAAATTTCGACACAGAAAACTTGAAAAGAACGACAGTGAGATTGCTTTTAGAGTATTTACAGTTTTCCGGATTTTTTGGGATTCCTCTGCTTTAAATTCGAAAGCCAATGTCAGATTTCGATTCTACAGAAAAATTTTTACCGGAATTATGATTTTGTATAATTTCTTGAACAAAATTTGACCATGTGAAGTTGAATTTTACTTTAAATAATTATAAAAACCAGTTTTTTTTTTAATTTGGCGCTAAAATCACAAAAATTGAAATTAAAAAAAAGCGCCCGACGGATTTTGATTTTTCTTGTTGAAAAATATTCAGTGAGGTACCCCGAACAAGTTGCAACAGGGATTTTTGAAAGGGAGAATGTTGAGGGTTGAGATTGGTTCCAGGGTACCGTGATTTATATAATTTTAACATTTTTTTTTTATTAAACAGATTTTCAATTTGATTTCTCAAATATCGTTATCGATGATGAATTCTTTTTTTTTGTTATTACTGGCACCTGACTTTGAGTATATAAAATGAAGCCGCGCGCTCGTTTTCTGTAATCGCGTGAAAGCAGGAGGTCCTCATTCTTGCAAGGTGGCGCGCGCGAATTTAGATCGTAATCGTTGGTACGGGACGCGAATTAATTAGAGCAAACCTTATGCCACCGAGAAACTCTCGGGATATGTTTATTATTAACCTTTTAATTAATTGAGACTCACCTGTGTTTATTTGTGCATGTGTGTGTGTGTTTTCCAGACGGTCATATGATCAACACCAAGTGCTCGTCGTCACACAACAGGAGGGCGTTGTGCTGCAAGATGTCCGTGGAGTTCGACAGGTTTCTCGACAGCGGCAAAAAGTGAGTAATTCAATCAATTAACACATGCATGAAAATTAATGTTAATTAAGTCAAGAAGTCCTTTTCGTTCTTGAATTTCCATTTTGAAAAAAAAAAAAAAATATTAATCATATTTTTCGACTCTATTATTGATTTATGAAATATGCTCGAAAAAATTTTTTTTACGATCCTGTGATATTTGACGAGAAAGTTATACAAGATTTTTTTTTTGCTTCATGGTGCTAAGAGCAATTTTTTAGTTTACAATTTGAAAAAAATTATTATATTTAATATTTATTTAGTGAATATGATAATTTTTGGTTCTATTTCAAAATTCTTTTTTTTTCTTATCGTTGCTTAAAAAAAGGAAGGTTTAGGGGAAGGAATTCAATTACTTATGGAAATGAACCAATTAAGTATATGAAAAGGGAAAAGAACTTGAAACGCGTATAATGATACAAGGAAAACATTTCGAGAATTTCGATTATGAAAGTTTTGCTTGGCATAAAAAGTTATTAAACTCGAATTTTCAAGCTGCTCGAGAGAAAATACTGTCTTTATTTCGAAGTTAACTATGCATTGCTTTTACGTGCTATAATAAAAACATGAAAAGAAGGAACTTTTCGTGGCATTTGCTTAATAGGTTGGCAGTTAAAGAGTTAACGGACCATTCCAAGTTTCTGGCTTCGTAATAGTGTTTTTTTTTTATTCGAGATCGTATTGCTCCGACGAGTAACTCGAGAGCCCTTTAAGCCATTGGAATCAGGGCCGAGAGTTAAATTAAATTCTTTTAACATATACACAAAAATCATAAATTAAAAACGAATTTTAGTAAACGAACATTAATTCATAATTTATTTATTAATGATAAATTTATTGTAAATTAATTATCTTTAATATTGAATAAGAAACATTAAATTATTCAGACAATATTTAATTAATTAATTAAATAAGTTTAATGATATAACGAATTCATTAATATGGATTTTCACTTAAGATTAAATTAATCGAATATAATTAAATTAAATGAATTATCAGAGAGGGGCTATAATTAAAGATTCGTTTTATGTAAAATAAATCGGTGCTTATTTTGTTTCGAGGTTCCCGATATACGATTTCAATCGTTTGTCGTTTTATTTTATTCTCAAAAGTTCTACAGCGAAAAAAGTTCTCTCTTCCTTTTATTTCGCAGAAATATTCCCTTTTATATTTAAAAGGTTTTTCCTTTTTTCATACTATTATTATTATTATTATTTAACCGAATAATTTTTATTTTACCGAATAATTTTTTAATATCCTCTCAAATTGAGAAAAAAAAAATTCTCATTCTATCTCTTCTGTAAAATTAATATAAAAATAATTAGGTTTTATTGATCTTTTATTATAATAAATATAAAATTATTTATTTTAAATTTATTTTATATTATTATAATAAATGGAAAAAATATTTACCTAGAACAGCGAAACGTTTCACTATAGTAGGAAAAATTTTACTTGTATCAGTTAAATCTTTCGCTATTCTAGTGAAACATTTCGCTGTTTCAGATAAATTTTTTTTTTCCGTGTAGATATAAAATGATTATTTTTTGTAATTTAAAAAGAAAATATGAAAGTTATTTATGCAAATTCTATTTCTCTTATAGTGAGTGGTATTTTTTTTGTGAATTCAGCATTTATGTAGAGCATTGCAAATATAAAAGGGTAATCAACTGACGAAATTAAGGTTGAATTGTGGGATTGGTCTTGTGCGTTTTGAATGCAGTGAGAAAGATCGTTGAATGGAGACAAGAAATGTCTATCTCTGCCTTTTTATCCTTTTATTGGTTTGCGTCGTGGTCAGGTGACTTGGCGGGCTCGTTAATTAAGGATTAGCTGGTTAATTAGCATGAACGTTTTCATCCTTTGCTCTTATATATATATATATATCCCTTTCCCTTTTTCTTGTCCCTTTCGTTTTAACGTGTGTACTTTTTATTTGTATGTAGTGTATGTGCTCGCTCTTTTGCGGCAACAGGTTGATCTCGTCCTTGCAAAAGGCAATTTATGTTTCCTTGCCTCTATAGGTCCTTTTCGTGCTAACGAACCGAAAGAGGAGACCGTTTAATTTCTCCTTCTGTATATATGTGTGTTTACTTCGGTTTCACTCTCTTTGACGAGCATTCATTATATTTCCCACTAACGAATTTCTTCTTTTTTTTTTTTGTCGTAACAATTTTTAATTAATATTCCTATTATAATTAAAAATTGACTATAATAAAATTTTATTTTTCGCTAAACTTTTTCTTATTTTTTCATTAAAAATTAATTTTTTTATTAAAAAGTAATTTTTTATTAAAAAGTAATTTTTTATTAAAAAATAATTTCAAAAAAAAATTGATCGTATCAGATAGAGAGAAACTTGTCGTGAGATTTTTTTTAATTTTTGAAAGTATTTATTTTATCTCACCTTTTATATATTATTATTATTCAGTGAATTGCAAAAAGAGTCAAGGGAAAAAAATGTACCGTAACTTTTTATAACCATCGGGAATGTATTAATTAATTAGTAACATGAGTTTTGGTATAATTGAATGACTTGTCAATAAATTGAATGCAAATTGGTAATTTGAACTTTATGTAATAATTTTAGTTAAGTATACACATAATTTATTATTCTGAAAAAAAAATTATATGTGGAGAAAATTTGATATGAGAGTGAAATTAAAAAATTTACAATTATTTCTAAATATAAATTTTAGTTTTTGGATTTTTTTTTTTTGAATCATATAATCTTTTTAACACTTGTTTTGACTAATAGCAATTTATTCTCCTTCTTGAAAACCAAATTTCGAATAAATTTTACGAGGTCGTTAAAAAAAAAAATTTTTTTTTTTTGATGCGTTTGTCGGTTGTATTTTTGCTCAGGAGCTATGGAACTAACACGTGCATGTGTAAGTACCATAAAAGAAACTCTTTGCTTTATCTGATGTCAGACTTATTTTTTTCTTTTTATAGATTTCCTGATTTTTTTTTCTCTTCATTCTCTGATTTTTTTTCATCTTCCTCCCTCTCTCTCTCTGTCTTTCTCCTTCTCCCCGCGATTGAATGGACCTAACATAAGCGCACAGACTCCATAACTCGTGACTTATCTGACCGCTTGTCGATAATGCGTATCGATGTCTTTCGATAAGCAAATGATTGCCTCGTTTGTCGGAGGCCGAACATTAATATTTTTCTCAGTATAGAAATCGTCAAATGAAACACCGATAATGGTAATAGTTTACAGTGACGAACGTTTATTGCTCCTACGATTTCTTCTTTTTAAAAAAAAAAAAAAAATCACCGTACAAAGTTGTTCTTAAATTCTGATAAAATCATACTGTTTGTTAAGATTTGCCTTTCCAAGATTATTAAACGAGGAATATTAAATGCTGATTTGTGGTTTACATAAGAATCTTCTCGTTATATTCAACAAGTTTTTTTTTTAATTTACAAAAAAAAAAAAAAATTCAATGTCCAAATATATAAATTCTAAATAACATGATTAATCCAAAGGAGAAAACTTACTAACTCAACACTTACGTAAGAAATTAATTTATCGCATTTAACTTGAAATGATTTCACTAAAAAATTTATCTTTCCCGTTTTGATAATTAATTACAAAAATGAATAATGTATGACGTGATGAACATGATTCAAAAACAAAAAAAGAGTAACTATTTTCGACGCTTGTAAAAGATATTTTATATTTAAATATTCTGATTTTTATCTTTATTGCGCTGTGAAATAAAAAAGAATGAAACTTTGATTTGATAGAATAAAAAAAATTACACTATTAAAAAAAAGAATAAAATTCAATAATCTTGATTAAAATTCAAATATTCTACAATAAAAAAAAAAAAATGTTTGACAGTTCTATATCGGTTTCTAAAAATCAATTTATTAAATTTAGCTTCAAGCAACTATTTATATGCATAATAATTAAAGTAAGTTTATTAAATTTTACAAATGTTATATATATATATATTCCGAGAAGATTCTTTGTGAATTAATCGTTTATCTTCAGAGATCGCTTCTATATATTATTTTCGAAAAAAAATCAAATGCTCGAGTTTCTAGTCGTAAATGCGTTATGAATTATTGTTGAAGATAACAGAAATCAACTGTTATAAAGGATTTGCTTAAGCATTATTAATATGCTTCAAAAGTATAAAATGCTTCGAGCTTTGGTAATTTTTGTCGATTTGTTTTTTTTTTTTTTTTTTTTTTTATCGAGAAATATAAAAGTAAAAGAGAGGGTATCACGTTCATATGGGGGAACTCTTTTCACGATGAGATTCGCTCCCTTTATAATTACCGTACACCTAATACCTTAACCGGTTTTGCAAGACATGGTTAATAACATCTTGATAACAGTTGCAATCGTTATGCTTCCATAACGATATAAGAAGTTACTTCAAACGAAGCGAAAATTTGTTATCAATTTGTTATTTACCGCATATATATGTATATTCAAAAGGATGGGAAATGCAATTATTTATTTTATAAAGGAGCTCGTTTGTGATTTTTATTATTTTTGTTTACATAAAGAAGTTTTTCGCAATTAATTTTTAATTTTAATTTAGTTTATTGTTTTTATTCGGAACTACTAAAAAAAATTTATTTGATGAAAATAATCGGTTTACTGTTATCAAATAAATATTTACTTGCACCAAATAATTTTTATTTTAATTAAAAAAATTGTATTTGAAATTATTTCTGTACTTGAAACAAATTGACTAGAAAAATATTATTTGGTTCAAGTAAATATTTATTTGATAACAGTAAACCGATTATTTTAATCAAATAATTTTTTTTCAGTGTATATGATCTTTGATTTTATTATTTTTGAATTGATTGAATGCACTTTTTCGGCTGTAAAAAATTTTGTGGGTAAAAAAAGGGTATAATAGGGGGAGAATTTCTCATGATTTGACGTAATTTAGAGAACGTGTTATACGTCTCGATTTACATTTTCGATCGTCTATTTGTGCGCGGAACTT